ATATTCAAACAGAACTCTGGAATTGCAATGGGCAACCGTCTAGCACCTCCTGTTGCTATTGCATTCATGCATGCGTTTGAGACAAGTTTTCTAGCCAAACTATCAGAGCTACCTGTCTTCTATGTACGCTATATAGATGACATTCTTGGAATTTGGACCTATGGTATCGACCGCCTCAGTCATTTCTTTAACATTATGAACAGTCACAATCCGGCCATTAAGCTTACCATGGAGCACACACTAACTTCGGGGAAGATAGCCTTTCTAGATACCTTGCTTACGGTCGATCCTTCGGGGTCTTACTCCACAGAGTTATATTTTAAGCCGATGACAGCTCCTATCGTTCTCCACTTCACCTCCGCGCACCCCATGTCCACTAAAAGAGCAGTGCTAAACTCAGAGGTCCAGCGAGCCATGCGGGTGTCATCGAACCTACAAACAATGGAGCGCAGCCTCAGCACTATTACGACATTATTTAGAGAAAACGGCTATCCAGATAGTATGATTAGGAGCACTATCAAAAAGAACAGAAACAACATTCACAAACGAACCCAGAAAGAAAAACGCAACACAGCACAGCACAACTCACAAGTCTACATGAGGCTACCGTACATTAACGAGACAATAGTCCGCCGCGTCAACGGCATCCTTCGTGGGGCTAAAGCCCCTATTAAACCGGTATGGACGAACAACAACTCACTTCAAAGGAAATTGATCTCATCAGCCCTCACCCGTCCTCCCTGTCCCGCCGGCAACAGACATTGTCATGCCTGTACCAATGGACTCGACAAAAAATGCAGTACGAGAAACGCAGTGTACAAAATCACGTGTAGGCCATGCGAGACAGCAGAACGTGCGGAAACCTACATAGGAGAATGCACGAGACCAGTTCGCTACAGATTCAACGAACATCTGAGTAACGCACGTCTAAGAAAGCTAGACACACCACTAGGCGAGCATATCTTGCACTCTCACAACGACCTTTCCAATAGTGACATTAACAAGTCCTTCCGCATAGAAATTCTAGATACAGGTAAAGATTGCGCGGAAGTAAAAATAATGGAATCAATCCACATCAGAAACCTTCGGCCTAGCCTGAACACAATGCAAAGCTCGTGGCCTTTAACACACTAGGCTCTAGCGCACGAGCACCCAACACAAACACACAGCCCCCCCCCCCCCCCACACACACACTTGTGTAGTTTATATGACCACTTGTATACGATTTGGGGTACTGTAAAAATTGTAAGGATACTACTTGTATAGCCTACATGACCACCTACATATATGGTTAAATATTGGTACAGTGTGTGATGCAGTTGAATGTGACGGCGAGCGTGCTGCGGTCTGCTCTTGTTTAATTGTATTGATTTGTATCCGATATTTGCATTGGTCTTTTTAAGTGTACGTCTCTTGCGCAATACGTATCGCTACATGACCTCCAAAAGCCATCTGGGCCAATGTGCACGTGTTAATATTTGGTTCTGTTCCAATTTTTCAAATGTGATTGCCTCGGCTAAGCCAGAACCCGATGATGTCGTAAGACGAAAGCTCGTTCTATATTTTCGGCCTCATTTTGTTATTTAAAAATACATCTTACTGCCATGTTACTGGTCAATTTCATCACCATATTTAACATGAAAAAGGATGTAACTACGTACGTACTTGGATGTGAAGTGTGTGCGAGGAACAAACCACCCAAAAAGCCCGGAAGGGCGCCATTGCAACGAACAGAGATGCCGAGTGGACCCCTCGAGAAGATTCAGGTCGATTTTGCAGGACCCTTCCCGAGTGCTGACAATCATCCGTATCGTTATGTACTGCAGATTCAAGACGTCTTCAGCCGGTACCTGCTACTACTGCCAGCGGAGGACAGCACAGCGGAGACCGCGGCCAGGCTTGTCCGCACCCGCTGGATCAGTACATTCGGCGTACCCGTGGCGGTATGTTCAGACAGGGGGCCTCATTTTGCGGCGGAGACCTTCCGAGGGATGTGTCGCAGTATGGGAATGCGGCATAAGATGGGTGCTCCTCTCCATGCAGAGAGCCAGGGGCAAGTTGAGCGTCAAAACCAACTGATTGCCAATCTGCGCTGCGTGTGTGACAATGACGCCCGTCTCTGGCCTACCCGCATTTATGATCTCCAGTTTAGCCACAATACTTCACAGAATGCGGCTACTGGGTTCAGCCCGTTCGAGCTACTATTCGCCCGCCCAGCTCGTCGACCGGAATCGGCGATCAGCACCGGCGAGGAGCCGGGAGCAGCGCGGTCACCGATCGACGAGGTGGCTGAACGGCGGCGTCTACTCGATGGTATGCATCAGAAGGCGCAAGTAAGTGTCGAACGTACGCAGGAGGCACGGTTGGCGCATCACGCTACCAGAGCACGGGGACAACCGTTTGAGATCGGTGATCTGGTTCGATTGCGGCTAACAGTCGCGGAACGGGGCCGACTTGGTGGGAAAATGTCACCTGTTTTGTCGCCGCTGTACCGGGTGATTGAGGTGATGCGTGGCGGATGGACGTATCGGGTTGCACGTGTGCAGAGTACAGGGAGGAGGAAGAACGACATAAAAATTCGTCACTACAATGATCTGGTACGTTCCACAGTTGAAGCGGACCGGGGATGGATCAGAGCGGAGACGAAGACCGAGACGGCGCCGTCGGCTGAGTCCAGCACAGGATCGACCAGCACCGCTGAGGACAGCAGTAGCGAGGACGACTACGAGGACGAGGATGAAGAGGAAAGATCAGCCACCATTCGCCCTCAGCGCGCGCGGGAAGCACCTGACCGTCTAGTTGTGGATCCTAGACGTAAAACCTACGAAAGCCGAAAATTGAGTGGTGGGGTGTGATAGGCTGGCTACCCGCCGCCTACTGGTGAACTGTTCATCAGGCCTGCTGACCGCCACCTAGTCGTGAACTGATAAGCTGTGGTACGGCCTCTGGCCGCAGGGTGTCGCCAGTGTTGTCTGACCCCGGCTGGAAAATACATTCAGTCGTGACCTGACCGTGGTCTGTCTCAAAATGACACATGTAAATAACCATTTAGGCATTTAATGGGATTAACACTTTAATCAAATCATATTTTGCCACAAGAAAAATGAACATAAAAAGGTATTTTTAAGTATTCTAAAATTGGTAGGAATTGAACTATTTCCCATCTTTAGAAGCTAGAATTAGATAGTGTTTGCAGCAGATGCTGATTATGCATTGACCAATCAGTAAAATCACATTACCTAGTTCAAACCAGCTGCATAATGGTTGGCTAACAATTGGTCTCAGCCATAGTTGGCTGCATTCCTGGCATTCTTTTGTACGGGAAAAAAATCCCTGTGTAAGGGAATAATTTTGGCACAAGAAAAGTAATATCTTTGCCTAAGCTGATCATTGGTCTATAAAAGCTCCTGATATGTGCTAGTCACTTCTCAAGCTACAAAACTGCTTTTTCAGTTCCAGCCCCCATGTTACCCCCCCCCCCCCCCCCCCCCCCCAACAGGACTTGGAAGTTGGAACCTGCCAGGCATAAATGCACAGGTTAACCTCACCTCACCCAATGCAGAATTTTAACAAAAAAGTATTGTGGACAAGAATTTGTGCTTACAAAGATTTGCCTGGTGACCCAGCCAGTGGCAAAGTCAAAGTGAATCAGAGAAGCTTTCAAAAGAAAACCACTGTTTCTCCAAAAAGCCAGAGTTTGACTTATGAAAGCGAGTACCAATAGGGTCTATAATTCCTGTGGTTAATCTAAAAAATATCGGAGGAGGTTGAACAATGCATGAGCTTTAAGAAGTCTTAAGAGCAGCCATGGGAACATTTACGCAAGAAAATAAAATAAGCATCAACTTCCATTCACCTAACGCATAGGTTTCACACAGAACTATAACAATAATAGATGGACAGTGTTCTGACATATAATTGCCTGGTTGTGCAGTTAGTGGCAAAGTCAAAATGAGTTATGGAAGCTTGCAAAAAGAAAATTTTGGCTCTCCAACAAGCCTGCGATGGATCTTTTTTGTTTCACTACAAAATGTTTGGCAGTCAAAAAGCAATCAAACTAAATGGATACCAACCAAATCGACACAGACAACCCAATACCCACGGGTCAAAAATAACCCTTCTTCGCGTTGCGGAGTACGCGGGTAACCCTAGTTTTAGCCAAGGCCCTAAATACAAGGTTGCACGGACTAATTTCTACTAAATCTACCAGAATATAGTTTACCGGTTGGGTATTTTGATAACTATTCAATCAAAACTTCTTTATTATTTTCTCGTTATCATTTATAAGCAATTTTATAAATTGACTTTCAATTTGCTTGCCTTTTACTGGCAAAATAACTTTCTAGTATTGGGTCAACATAGTTGTGTAGCAGTAGGAACCATATCTGGCAAAACCCCAATGCCTACATACAGCAGAAAAGCAGCCACCAGGTGTCGCCACAGTCGCCACTTGGTCGCCACACAGATGTCGCGCGCGTCGCCAATCGCCACACTACCGATTTCCATAAGGACGCATATGTACGGATATGTATTGGAAAGTCGCCCTTAAGGATTACGCTTACATCCTTTGCTTATGAGGTCGGTGGTTGGAAATTGGGAGGGGCTCAGCTATTTTCGACCACGGATATGGCTTTACCACATGATGAGGAACATGCTGATAAGCGTTTTATGTGTCATAACAGCACATAAGTATTTTTAATCATTTTTCAAAAATAGCCAATCCGCCGTATCCTTCAGTGCAAAGTGCCGTCGGTCAGTCCCGACGTGACGTCACGCAGGGAATTTGCCAGATTTTCCTACTAGACTTCGACACCCCCTGGTTTTAGCTATAAAAGCAAGAAGGCATGGCTCATGCTCGATGCTGGAAGTGGGACTCCTAGGAATCTTGGGCAACTCATGAGTCATGGGCTCACATTACGAGCGCAGAGCAACTGAACACATCCCAATATGAATCAAAATATAAATGTATAATAAATTGTGGAATTTGATTTCATTGAAACCTTCAGATGACCCAACGCGGTACTCCCGAGTCCTCCTGAGTCAGAATCCCGAGTCAAAGCAAGAGTCAAAGGCGATTTTTTTACAGCCTAGGATGATATGGAAGCACTCGCTCTCGGCATGTAATGCGCAAATGAGACAATGCGAAGAGTGGGTTGATAAGAATCGCACATATTATTTTTGGTGACATATATTATTGGAAATTTATGGCCTATTGATGTTTTTTTTGTTTTTTGTATTTTTCTCAACTTTTTTTATGTTGTATATATTTTTTTACGACAGCAGTTAATGATAAAAAATACAAATACCTTCTTCTAGTCACAAGTAGTAATACGTCATCAAATAGCCAATTTTTTGCATATAATAATTAGTCTGTTGAGCTTATCTAAGTAAAATCGCGCGCTATGTTTCATTTGCCTTGCGCCTTGCATTTGCCTTGGTTGCGAACTTTGGCATTGGTTGCTGCATATTTTATGTTTTTTTTCAAGAATATAGGGAGCATTTTATACGGCCTTTGGAGCATTGTATTTCTAATCTAGGGGTTAGCTGGTTGACAAAGTTCTTTGGCAATAGACCGTATTTGCTTATCTTCAGGATGACTTCTTCCTGCATAAGGGAATTATTTTGGAACAAGAAATGGATATCTGTGCCAAGGGCGATCGTTGGCCTGTAAAAGATTCTGATTTGTGCTTGTTGCAGCTTTAAGAACTGCTATTTAGGGCAAAACTCTTGTTCAAACTGTAACCTATATTTCCGCTTTATTACTGCCGTAAGGACTCGTCTAACATCTTGTTTCAGCTGTGGACGAGTGGATGACAGTCTGGTACCACAACCAGGAAGCCTGAATATGCTTTTTTACCAACAAGGCCACTTAATTAGAAAAGTCAGCATTTCCAAGAAGGTATCATGTATAAAGCTTGTGATTCCACAAATGTATCCTACCCTCATTAGTCATTGGTATCTTATAATTGTACATCCCTAATTGTGAAAGGTACCTATGGCAGACGGCAGTATGTTTTGTACCACTGAATACTGATGATCAACCATTGAATTTTGTTCTAATATTATTGCAGGTTTGAAGCACCAGTGAACTAGCACCCTAATTTGCCTAATTGAAATGGCATCAGTATCAATGGTACCATCTATTCGCCGCCTTGATGAGACGGTTGTCAACAGAATCGCTGCCGGAGAAGTGGTCCAGAGGCCAGCAAATGCTTTGAAGGAGATGCTGGAAAATAGGTAGGAAAAAATTTTTAGTAGCTTTTTTTACTCCCCCATATTCATTTAGGGCTTTGGTTGATAATGCAGTTCCATGCCCTTGATGCATAAATGATGAGCATGCCTCACAAAGAACCAAGTATGTTTCTTATCACAACAGAGATGTCAAAAATTCCATCGTTGGATCCAGCAGCTTGCCAAAAGTAGACATGTTCCAAGTCTCAAGAGACTCATAAAAGTCATGAAATCAATCCTCCCGGCCCACAGATGCTGGTGAGTTCAATTTGGATAACATCGACCATCTTTCTGTATTTTATTTCAGCCTGGATGCCAAAGCCACCAATATAACTGTGACGGTCAAAGACGGAGGCTTGAAGATACTTCAGATACAGGATAACGGAATAGGTAAGGTTACATGATTGATGGTATAACCACACCTGTTTCGTAGCACAGCTGTGGAATTGGAATCGGCCCCAGATTCGCCAAAATCTTACCGACTCCGGAGTGGGAGCCAACATTGCATGGCTCAAAGTCATGCCCTATAGCATTTATTTGCTTAAGAATATCACTCTCAGTGCCAGATTTAGTTGAAACCAAGGCAAATTTTAGCGCAAGTAAGACCGTCCCGGTATTCGGAGTACGACTGCCCGCTCTGTGCAGGTATTCGGCGTGAGGACCTGTCGCTGGTCTGCGAGCGCTTCACCACGAGCAAGCTGACGGCGTTTGAGGACCTGATGCAGATCGGCACGTACGGTTTCCGCGGCGAGGCGCTGGCCAGCATCACGCACGTGGCGCACCTGACCATCACCACTCGCACAGCCGACTCCAAGTGCGCCTTCAGGCGAGTGGGGATACACAGGACCGGGACTACCTACCGCTGAACTGCCGGGGTGGGCAGTCCAAGGAATTTCACGCTAATGCACTGCTAGAGGGGTCCTGATTCGATCGCCTAACGGCCCGCTCCTCGTCGGTTCGGTGTTAGGTTCTGTTAGTGCCTAATGAGCTGCTGAAGTGTTCAGGGTGCGATAAGCGGCCAACACGCTACAAAAGGACCGTAATGCGATTCTTTCTGCGCAAGCTACCGATTCTGTTCCGTGTCCACGGGGGTATGCTTTGGTTCTTTGTGCACTGAGGACTGACTCAGTAATGTCCGTGTGCTCAGCGCGTACTGGGGACTGACCGAGTAAGGTATGCGTACTCAGCGCGCACTGGGGACTGATTGAGTGATGTCTGTGTGCCCAGGTCGCACTGGGGACTGATTGAATAATGTCTGTGTGTTCAGGGCGCGCAGCTGGGGACTGATTGAGTAATGTCTTATGTGTTCAGGGCGCGCTGGGAACTGATTGAGTAATGTCTATTGTCTATGTGCTCAGGGCGCGCTACACGGACGGTCGGCTCCGGGAGGACCCCAGGCCCTGTGCCGGTAACGTCGGCACCCAGATCCTGGTGGAGGACCTGTTCTTCAACATGGCCGCCCGGCGGCAGGCGCTGCGCAGCCCGGCAGAGGAGTTCAACAAAATCTCCGAGGTGGTGAGTGACCAAGTGCATTTTCGTGAAAACTGTTGCGAAAAAAAAGAAATGTATTCGCAATAAATGTCTATCTTTTAATGCAATCTGGAGGCCAACAGACTGAGGTGTCACGTGACGGCCCAATTGGGAAAGGACGGCGGAAGAACTATCGACTGCCCCATCCGCATGCTTTTAAGTGTTACCGTAAAGCTTTAAAGCATGCGGATGGGATGTTCGATGGTTCTTGTACCGTCCTTTCCGAATTGAGCCGTCACGTTTTACGTAAAACGGTTTGCGATTTATAGCGCTATTTAAGCAATAGGTGCACAACTTACTACATATCGGTTTTATTTAACGTCTTCTGACCTCAATCGCTGACGGACTCCGGTGCACCGCGTCCCTGCCCTGCCCAGGTGAGCCGGTACGCCATCCACAACAGCTCGGTGGGCTTCACGCTGAAGAAGCAGGGCGAGCCGGCCGTGTACCTGCGCACACCGCCGCGCTCCTCGGCGCTGGACAACATACGGACCGTGTTCGGCGCCGCCACCGCCAAGTGGGTCGTGTAACTCTGCAGGCAACGGGAGGGGAGGGATTGGGGTCCCTGGGGCGGTCAGTGGAGGGAGGGGGGGGGGGTGTTGTTAGCTATAATAAGTGGGCGGTAGTTTACGAAATACGACGATATGTTGAGGTTTGGCTATTTGTTTGGTACCAAGTTGAGGGTTTTTATTACATTTTTTTCTCGTGATGCTTTTCAACGAATCGCTCCGGGGAAAACACAGTGCAGGTGGTTGTTGGATATAAATTGACTAAAAAGACCCAGTAGACCCAGTAGTAGACTGACTGGCCGCTCGCCGTTTTTGCTCTGTGTACGTTCAGAGAGCTGCTACAGCTGACCCACGAGGAGTCTTCTCTAAAGCTCAGCGTGTCTGGATACATATCTGGGGTCAACTTTGCCGCCAAAAAGTCGACCATGCTGCTGTTCATCAACCATCGCCTGGTCGAATCCACCGGTAAGATTCTACCACTGGTATGTGTCTGATGAAACTGGCGACGTACTCGTAACTTCGCTCAGCACCTGTGTAGGCAAGCGCTTGTTTGCACTGTGCAAGCTACCTTACATTCATGCTGCATTTAGAAAGTGACCAATGCGCTGCATTCGACGCGACCTCTGTGCGACCGTTAGCCCGAGGTCGTGTGAACTGGCGTTGTACCGTGCTGCCTCTGACCTGACCTGACCTGTCTCGCCGCAGCGCTGCGGAAAGCCCTGGAGCAGGTTTACTCGTCGTACCTTCCGCGGCACGCGCAGCCCTTCATCTATCTGAGTCTACAGATGGCGCCGGAGATGGTGGACGTCAACGTACATCCCACCAAGAACCAGGTGTGTATGACGGACGGCGGGTGTACGCACCGTCAGTGGGGTGAATTATACAGGTTGGCTTGCAAAAGCTATATTTACTCCTTTGGTTTAGGAAACGCTGCAGAGAGCCGGATGATCCATAGCGCGTGGTGTGGTAGTTGCATACTGTATCGCCTACACCTGATTTGCCGACTTTGAACTTATGTGAATCGAATGATCGGTTCAAATGTGAATTGTGAGTTGTAGTCCCTGGCCTAAATTTTAACTGTTTTACCTGTTACAGGTGTATTTTCTGCACGAGGACCAGATAATTGAGCTGATTCAAAAGAAGGTCGACTCCCTGTTAGTGGGCACCTCAGCGGCCAGGACATTCTACACACAGGTGAGATTCATTTAGATTCCCTGGCTGTTACAGAGCATACATGCGTCTGTCACGATGGTCGTTGTACACTAATGACCGCTGCCTTATGATACCTTGATGATACACAGGTACATACATAGGTACACTGATACACGGGCCGCTGTCCCCAGACGCTGCTGCCGGGCGCCTCGTCCGCGCCGCCGGCCGCGGACCTGCCTCCCGCCAAGGCGGCCGCCCGTCCCCAGCAGACAGTACGCACCAGTCACCGGGACCAGAAGCTGGATACGTTCGTCCGGCAGGCGGCGGCGGCCGGCGCGGGGGACGGCGAGAACGGGGCGGCAGCGGCAGCGGGGGCGGCGCCGCAGAGTGTACGGTCAGTGGGCATATAACTTAGGTTCTGAAAGCATACCCTCCACGTTCATTTATTCGTTCATTCATTCGTTATTTAACATCCCAGTATAAGTTGTGCGTTGCTCTGTTTGCCGACAATGGTGCGGTATTTTCTCGGCAGCAAGCCGATGGATTTGAGTTCTGTGCTGTTTTTTTTTCTGAGCTCGGTGCTGTGTCAGCTAATCTCTATGTTCTGTGCTGCTTTCAGTCCAGTGGAGCTGAGCTCGGTCCTCTCCCTCCGCGAGGAGGTGGAGCGCGGCTGTCACAGCGGCCTCCGCCGTCTGCTGGCCGAACACTCGCTGGTCGGTGTGGTGACGGCTCAGCTGAGTCTGGTGCAGCACCAGACCCGGCTCTACCTGGTCAACCACCGGCGGCTCGCCGAGCAGCTCTTCTACCAGATCTGCCTCTACCAGTTCGGAGCGCTGGGACTCCTGCAGCTCGAGGTACGCGGCCGAGATACCGTGACGAGGTGGTGTTTATGGATAGAAACACCAATCGTTGTGTTACCCTGCTATTTTACCGACACTTACCAACTGCCGTCTGAGCTGGCTTTAAACGATTCGTTCCGATACCCATCGCTTTTCTGCTGAGCTCTCGGTAATGCATAGTTCGCTTTGTACCAAGGAGGCGAAGAGACGTCGAACCTCTGGCCATGTTATAACTATTAAACCACCGACCATCCAATGGGCAATGACCATCTGATCCAGTGCCCTCTGAAGCTGGCCGTATTCACCCTCTATTCAAACTCTGACCTCATCTACCAGGATGAGCTCCCTTTCCCGGAGTTTCCTCCGGTGACTGTCTAACCTCCCCCCCCCCTCGCTAGGAGTCCCCTCCGGTGCGGGAGCTGGCGCTGCTCGGTCTGGAGCAGAAGGACGCCGGATGGACTGTCTAACCTCCCTCCCCCCCTCCCCCAGGAGTCCCCTCCGGTGCGGGAGCTGGCGCTGCTCGGTCTGGAGCAGAAGGACGCCGGATGGACTGTCTAACCTCCCTCCCCCCCTCCCCCAGGAGTCCCCTCCGGTGCGGGAGCTGGCGCTGCTCGGTCTGGAGCAGAAGGACGCCGGATGGACTGAGGAGGACGGACCCAAGGAGGAGCTGGCCGACTGCGTCTGTCAGGTGCTGCAGCGGCACGCGGACATGCTGGACGACTACTTCTCCATCCAGGTGGACGGACAGGGACGACTGCGCGCCCTGCCGCTGCTGCTCGGTGAGCTGGGGGTGCAGCTGGGGAACCCTGGGACTGTCAGAGGTAACTCACTATTCAAAGAGATGATGTAGCTACTTCGCTGCATGACGTCTGTTGCGGGGGCCGGTATTTTCTAGTCGTATTTCGTACTGCGTGGGCAAATCACTGCTGGTTGTAGCATAGTGCCAGGATGCCGCCATAGATGTGTCCGGTGCGTTGGTCGCCGTTTTGCCGGTGGCGGGCTCTTGAAGACGTCGCAGGCCGCTGTAGCTGTAGCTCAACAAAGCCGAACGCTTATAGTGTGAAAAATCCAAATCAGCAGCATGTGAATTGTAAGTGGTTAGTCTGAATCGTGCGTGTTTAGCTCTTCTTCGATAGCATTCTCTTTGTTGATTTCAAAAAGTTTCGAATGTGACAACTGAGCAACTTTCGCGATCTATCGTAATTTCATGAATTAGCACAATATATTTTTGGTCATTTCCTATTTATAAAACCTGTAGGAAAATAGACTGATTTATTCAGACAAAAATGCCGACGACCAGCGTCATCTAGCGCCGTTCTGGCGGTTTCCTGCCGGCCGGATGGGTGACCGTTTGCCGAACGGTGTGTGAATGGACCTGGTACCGGACTCCGGCCCACCACCGGACGACTGAGGCGACACCTCGCCCCCGCCCGTCCGACAGATCACTACGAGCCGCCGATCGCCGCCCTGCCCGGCTTCCTCACCCGCCTGGCCACCGAGGTGGACTGGGAAACGGAGCGGCAGTGTCTGCACGACATCTGTCGGGAGATCGCCAGGTTCTACAGCTGGACACCGGCCACAGATGGCGCTGTGGGCGAGCCGGCGCGCCTGCAGCTGGAGCGCGCCCTACTGCCGGCTGTGAAGGAGCAACTGCTGCCGACCGGACGGTGGGCTGATGATGGCACTGTGCTGCAGGTAGCAGACCTGCCCGACCTCTACAAGGTGTTCGAGCGGTGCTAGAGGCGATGGTCGACCGCCGGGGTGCGGGCTGAGTCGTCGACAGTGGTTCCAATCGGAGCGGTGATAGTTGTGTCAGCTGTTGCAGGGAGGGAGGACGGCAGACTGTTGTGTTCCGGACGACGGCTATCGGAAAGGTGTGTGCGGCGGTGGGAGTAAAGACCAATGGCAATGCCAGGTTGTCCTGTGAACGATAGCTGTCCTGCGGACGGCAGGCTGCCCTGTGGACGGTGGACTTTCATGTGGAGGCCGTGCTGTTCTCTGGACGACAGGATGTCCTGTGAATGATAGGCTGTTCCGTGGACTCCGGGCTGTTCTGTGAACGGCGGACTGTCTTGCTTTTGACGATGTCCATTGCACGGCACACTATGCTGTGGAAAACTCGTCAGTAGCTGGTGCTGGTGATGCTAAGAGTACAAAGGCGTTGAATCGTGATAATACTTGATCGATTGCGTTATGAAGTTGTTACGCTGTCAACCTGTTATGAGCGGAATACATGAGGCTGTATAAAAGAAACATTTGTGATCTCTTATTCTTGAACAGGCATTCCCATCAACAAGTCGTCGAAGAACCTTCTTTACTCCTATTCCTACTTGGTTGCGATGAGCGTTGTTCAACAGTTTCCGTTCACTGATGTTTTTATTGGATGTCACTGGTGATGACTGTTGACCGCCAGTCCGACTTCGCAATCTAATCGAGGTTGGTATTTTGAATCTGAGAACACAACGGAACACAACTTTTTTGGAGCACACATGTTTTTACCGTTTACGTCCAGACATTTTCATAAAAGTATTTGCTGCTTAAATATGACATTACGTTGGGCTACACACTACACAGTACATACATGCCCATGTACTTAGGATATTCGTGTGCTAGACCCTCGTGGCGGGACGGTAGCATGCACCATCCCCGTCCGGTAAGTGTGCTAGCGGTCCGACCCCCTAATTCAATATACCCTGTTCCGACCACCGTCATTTCGCCGGCTCCGGCGCGCCGGAGAGTAGCGTGCTACGTCGAGCGGGAATGACACTGCCTCCCGGCGCTCTCTACTCCATCCCATCACATTTTACACCGGGTAAAACTCATCCACTTATGTACGTGGGCCCAGGCACGGCCGGGGGCGCTCGGATTACTATTTAGTGGGGGTCGCGGAATACCGCTTGGTGCAGCTGCTAGCCCCGTCTGTATACCTACGGATGTATTCGGGGTCGCTATTAAGCGCTTTATTTTTATAGCTATATAAATATATAAACACAAATATATCAACACCAACACCTTTATATTTTTTCATCATGAGTTATTTTTGTTGTAACCATCGGAGGAGGCCACAAAAATGTCCTTGTGAAGGAAAAGTGTGATTGCTGCTTTATTGGCCGCCGGCGCCTCGAGTGGTCCATATGTGCGGCGCCGTCGGAGCGGGCGGCGCGTGCGCGTCGTCGGCGCCGACGCTGGCCCGGTCGGCAGTCGGCCTCGGCGGCCACCGAGGGGCGGCCCCGCCGCGCGCGCCGCCGCCCGCCGCAGGTGAGTTCTGGGCGGCAGTCGCTGCTCCGCCGCCGCCGGCTCAGGTGCCGGTGCTCCGACCCGCCCCGACCGGTGACCGGAGCTGACCGCGGTGGCCGCGCCCTATGGAGCAGAGCCAGGTACCGTGGCCGAGCCCGCCGCTCCCTCCCACACAGCCGCTATCCGGGTTCAGAAGTGGCCAATACCCTAATTTTCGACAAATTTTAAATCGTGATTTTCTCACATTTTCTGGTCGTAAATTGATCAGACTGTATAAAATATCATCCAGAAAAAATATTACTCATTCTGGCACAGATTGGTGGGCTCCCAAAGTACACCGTTTTGTTTTGCTCCGTGAGACCGAACTTGTGCTGCGATTTTCATGTAAATGTTGACGAGTCTCCTGTCATATTCTTTGCTTGAAAATGCGTAAGTAAGATATCAGCTGAAAGGGGAAAATGTGCGGAATCCATTGGTAACAATAGTGCATCTAAAAAACTTCCCACTCAGTTATTGTAAGCTAATTGTTGCACACTTCAACTTGCACAAAGCAGAAGGGCTTGAGGATTTCAATATTTACATAGGCCTACCAAAAAACGCACAGCGTGCTTCACATCGAGACAACGTCCATAACATATACCGTACAATTGTGATTCATTTGCTGAAAAAAATTAGGTCGGCATCACACTGCCGGCAAAAGTTATTGCAGTTTTAGTGACGCTAGGTCGCCGCCCGGCCGACCCCGGTCAGGTCGGCCGGGCGGCGGCCGTGCAGCTGACGTCCGTACGGTTCGGCAGCTGACCAATCAGCTGCGAGAGAGGAGCGCGGTCCGTCTAATCGCCCCCGGCAGTTGCTTGTGCTGAGGGGTGCTCGACGCTCGTGTCGATTGCATTTGTTGGTTGTCGATTGTCGATTGACTTGTGGGTATACTTTCTGGTGACCAATAAATGTACGTCATCTTAACTGAATGTAGTCTGATCAAATTCAATAAAGCAAAAAGACATCCAGCCAACAGAACATCGTAAGAATGTCCGATATGATTGATAACATTCATAGTTTTGGGGAGCAGCCATCGACCAGAATGAACCTTATTGGCTTTTGTATGTAACATTTGCATTGCTTTTGGAAAGTTCCAGTCAGATATCTTCAGAAATGGCAATGTTATCGGCTTTTGCATTTTACCGTAGTCGGTTAATCACAATTTTCGATATTGTTAAGGCAATTTCAGTACGTTCTTGACATCGAAAAACAAAACGAATAGATCATCGTGTTCCAGAGCTCAAATTGCATCCGATGCACATCTTTTTTGTTGAGAATGTTCAACTTCAAAATTTGACCTTTTTGACATCGCCGTGACCTGACCTTCATTTGTCGAATGGAAATAGTTTCGAATCGGACGACCCAGATGACATCATTTTTAGATGCTTTTGCCGAAATGGACCGTTAAAGATGTGTCGCATGACCTTAAAAATGTATACATTTCCTTCCATGACCTTTTCCATGACCTTTTGTGACCCATGACCTTTCCATGACCTTTTGTGACAAAGTTAGGTTTCGTTTGTCAGCTATTCCTATCAGAAGCCGTTTGAACTTTTAGTATTGAACGAGTAGTTTCGAAGACAGCAGGGAAGCTATGCAGAATCCCCTCCCGAGTCACCCACGTTATGGGATATACCAGTCATCCGCGGATTACAAGCAAAAATATTGTTTACGGCAATGATGTATCAGCATGGATGCTCATACGTTCCCATATGTGACCTTACGGTTGACTTCACATACAATAAAAATTCCTTGGCAAAATGTCAACTGGTTAACGAGTTATCGCATTTTGGCCACTTCCGAACTCAAATAGCGGCTGTGTGCCTCCCTCCGGCCGGTCGGCCTCCTCCCCCTCCCCCACCCCGTCCCTGGACGCCGCCGGCCGGGCGCGCGCCGACAATCCCTGTGACACCGGCCCGCTGACGCCTGGCGACGGCTGAGTGGCACCGTCTTCGATTAGACATGGCGGCCGTTACGTCAGCGCCGATGGACGGACGCCCCCCGGGTTCGGTCGGCAGCGGACGCCCGGGGATCGGTCGCCGATGTCGGTGGGCCATCGGCGTCAGTGCATGTCAGTGCAGGTCCCAGTTCCGGTCCGTAAGGCCCTCCAGGTTTCGGTCTGTGAGGTCGACTCTCTCCGAGTGCGGATACACAGCCAGCCGTTCAGCGTTTCGGTGAATCGACCGTTTTGTGTGTGCCAACTTGAATGTCGATCCCCGGTATCGTAGCCCGCGATTCCGGTTATTAAGTCCAAATGGGTGGCAGATGTGGTACCTTGAAGGAACTGAATTCATAAAGGCTGAGCGTTTGTGTGATTTACCCACATTCCGCTGCCTCAGGATGCGGATGTGAATGACATTTATGAGGAGCTTTGGAGCACTTATTTCTGGTATCTCGCCTGGCAAGTGGCAACGTTCTTCGAAAGAACGTTTATTCAGAGCGGTAACCGATTAGAGCTTACTAGGCCCCTGACGTCTCATGTCAACTCCAGCCAGAAGGAATCAGAGTCTGAGTTCATAGGCGGCGGAACGGGGAGGGCACCGGGGCACCGTGCCCCCCTTTGATTTTTGGCATTTTAACATTAGCCCTATGGGTGTTGCATGGAAAGAATGGGACCAAAAGTCGGCAGTGCGCCCCCCCCCCCTAGTTGAAGGTGTTCCGCCGCCACTGTCTGAGTTCGACAGAGTATGGCACGTAACAAGTGGTCCACCTGCCGAAATCGGTGGACATTTAATGTGGGATGTCTTAACAAACATCAAACATGGGCTGTTTTGACAGACATTGGCCCGCTCCGGCTCCGGTTTGGTACGCCGCACGGGCGATTTTGTTCGGCTCCGTCTCGTGCCGCCGGTCTCTCTGCACCATCAAGCGTTTGGTGTCAATGATGTGCTGATAACTTGGCGAGCTTAGCGGCTTGCATATAATTTATAAAAGAAGCATATCAAAGATCTGCCTGACCTCAGATGACCCATGTGAAAAAGACGAGATGTTCAGTCTGTAAGGACTCCTCGGGTCGAAAACTTGCATCTACTGAAAGTTTGCCTCCCGTGAACGAACTACAAAGCCCTTTTCCCTGGCACTAGGATCGTTCATAAATCGCGACATTTTCTGATTGTCCGCAGAGGCTCACACATGACGTCACAGGTCAGTGACCTGACCTGGGCTTATAATGAGATGTGGTTCCGAAAGGTTTCGGTTGAATCAAAGGCTGAGTAGGCAAAAGTTAAGCTCTCTAGTCTCCAGCAAACGTTCTAATTTTAAATCGTGCAATTCTTCCAGGAAGTTGAAGCAAGATAACCCTCGGCTCTTACTTTTACCTAGAAGCGTTGGTTTGATAACTTGCCAGCTAACCAACGCCAACGGGCCAAACAAACTATCTCGTCGGTCGGTCCCGTATACCTACCGCCCGCCCGGAGCAGCCGCCTTCTGCAGGCGCCCTGAGAGGTAGGCTGTGCCGCACGGCGTGAGTGTGCGGCGGGACAGCCTACCCAGACAGGCTCGAACGCCGGCTCGCCATACGGGCCTCGCTCTGCGGTTGAAACGGACGTAACGATTGACGGACAACGGCCGTTTCTGCGAGCATTGCCCATGAGTAGAGTGACAATGAAAGGAACAAGATAGGGAACAATGAGAAAACTTGATCCTCATTGACCGGCGACCGCGTCCCACCGTGCGATGTCTAATAGGTGGATGGGAAGTGTGGGACCCGATCGCGGCGCCCACCGCACGGTGGTGCCCAAAAGTAGGATGGGAGGTGAGGGGGGTCGTTTTTCCTGGTCGGATGGTAAGTGCGACTGGCCCCACCGTGCGGCATCGCCGACGTCAGTGGCATCCATCACCCGGCGCTTCCTCGTGCCCCATTATGCTGGGAGGAGGCGCCCGGCCGCTGCCGTACGCGGCGCGTGCCGGTGGCATCCGCGCGTCTGCCCCACCGCGGCTCCGCCGACGGAGGCCTCTCGGCGAAGACGAATCGCGTCGTCCCCACCGGTCCGGCCATAATAGAGCACAATATTGCGGGAGCACGGCGGCGAGGACAATGCAATATGTACGGACGGGACAATGGGCCGCTGACCGGTGTCTGTGGTCGGTCGGGGGCGCCCCCTCCCCGCCGTGACCCATCCGCTGGCCGGCGGGCAATCACAATCGCGACATATGGCGGGAACAGCGCCAAATGGTGCGTGATCGCCCCCGGGGCTGCCGGCCACCCTGTTCCGGCGCTGATCCGGGGAGAGGGAGGCATGCGGTGAGCCGGCGGCGGGACAGACGCGGTATGTTTGGACGGATCATCACAGACGGGCTGCGGACGAGCGGACTGACACTGCCGGTATGAGCAGGCCTGCATATTGCATACCGACCGGGCCATGATCTTTAAAACGCGCGCCCTCCGATTCTTTTATGCGATGAAGTTTGCTGCCATAGTGGCAAATGTGCAGTGCATACAATGCGTCGAGCAAACGCAAACATTTTTGTTGTTGCCTGACTGATTGGATAATGGCTCACGTGGTATAGCTGAAATGTTTTTAAAAAACAGTACCTAGGTACCTAGGCATCTCTACGTCTTTGTATTTTTAACAAGTTGGCTTCCGTGACCAAATAGTTAGGTAAGCTAGGTAGGGGAGAGCGGGGTCAAATGTAACACGGGGCAATTGTAACAGTGTTAATAATTCATAAACTTACCAATAGAATGAGCTGATGTTCAGACCGAAAATGCGTAAGTCTATACTGCCTTTCCCAACGGAGTTTGAAGCGAAAGTGCCGGGTATGTCGATGGCTGTGCACAGTAATGTGTTTTTGAGAGCATTTTGTAGATTTTTATGCCGTTATATTTGATTAGCTCATTCCCGCCATTGAAAAGATATTGACTTCAGACTTTGTGTAAGCGTTGGCAGGCTTGTTGTCGATAAATTGAAAGCATTAAATGCTGCCTACATGCAACATCTTTTTGCGCCAGTTTCGTCTAAAATATGTCAAGGCGCGACGGGGACAATTGTAACATTTTTGCAGGGGTCAAATGTAACAGGTTATAGGTCAGTGGCCATTATGTCAAAGTCGTCAAATTTTCAAGGGAGATGAAACATTGCTAGAATTAAGAGAACTGTAAGTTTTGTCGCAATCGGCAGCTTTTTACGCGATTTATTTGCGAAAAACCAAGGCAGAGGAGGTCCATCCAACCCCTGTATAAGTGCGAGGTTTTATGCCTTTTTCCTGAGAAGAACCGTCCCTACCAAGTCTAGGAAGATGAACAAGTGTTCAATACTTTTGTTAAATCAAAGTTTTGGAAAAAGTTGTGTTGCTGTAGCCTGTAAATGAACATGTTACAATTATCCCCGGGTGGTGTTACTTTTGACCCCGTATCTGGGGTGAATTGTAACAGCTGAATTGACTTTTTCGAACAACAATTTTGACCCGAAAAAGAAGTTATTTCGGAAATGTTTTAACTGCATTTTAAAGACAAAACATCATAGTTTCTGAAAATAAAAGAAAGAGCTTTATAGCTGCAAACGTGTTTGCACCAGATGATAAGATGCAAAAAATGTTACAATTGACCCCGTTCTCCCCTATATGTTTATAATCTAATGCTAACGAGTTACTGGATCATAACATTTCGGTAATAAAACAATTTTCGAAGACGAACATTGGCTGCTGAATTAGTTAATGGTAGACTGGTTTGACAATATGAATGGCAATACGACTTTCAGCTTCATGATCTCGGTCATTGAGCTGTGGCAGTAAAAGTGCCAATTGGCATCTTTATTTGTTTCATTAAAAACGTCCTTTGCGTGAACTTTCCGATGAAAGCGGAAAAAATAAAAGAGATAAACGCTTTCATTTCGAGTGATTGCTACGGTGTTTCAACTTTCATAAATTGTGCTCTGAGTTCAAAAATCTGTTCTGTCAACATCTTGACTGCGTGGGCTGAATAATGAAGACAAATAGGCAATTTTCCTGTGCAATCACCACATCGCACAGAGAGAATGAAATCCCGGACTCCTCCCGGGATCCCGCCATCATGGAATCAATAGACGTCACCAGCTGCCCGTACAGTACCGATCAGGGAGCCCCGCAGAATTGGTGAGGCCAGCTATATTTTCATAGAACGTGGGCCTAATTCAGTGAATCAGATGCTTGCATTAGGCATAATTCAACAACATCGCGAATCGAAAGCTAGGAGAATTTGCCATTTATTTTGCATCGCACGCAGATATTTTGTTTTTGGCTTGTATTTGACGGACATAAATTCACTTAGCATTATCTATTCGCAGCCCGCAGCCAGCACACCCGCCTTCCTAACTTCGCTTCCGACTGCGACATGATTAAAGCGTACCGTATTGAATAAAGTAGTGACGTTCATTTGCTCAAAATGCAGCCGCCTCCCCTCGGCTGGCGTGTGTTGCTCGTATTGCCTCTCATCCAGCACCAGTCGGAAGAGATCTCTAATGTGATGCAATGCGTCTCCGACTTCCGTCCCGAAGCGGGTCCGGCAGGCCAGGCCAGGCTGGTGAGAGGGGTAGGGGAGCGGGCAGCAGCGGCACATTCCCGCTTTGGACGAAAACAGACGGCACAGCCAACTGTATGAACAGCTGACATAGGCTCATATAGGATTGTCTGTACAAATACAATCCTTTAACAAACTTAATATATCACGGCTATATTTAAAAAAGAATATATTTATTATGTAGTTTATACCCGTCTGTCGAATTACATTTAAATTGATAAAGATGAACGTCCTACGGTCAAATAAAAAGACTTACCATTGCTAAGTAACTGAAGGCTTTAAACACACTTGCGCACCTATCTTATAAAGCTTAGGTACCTATCATAAAGACTCTATGCGGGGCTTATTAGAACTGAGATACATTCTGGCAACTCACATCTATGCTTCAAGAAAAAGCCCTTTTTATAAGAGGCATACTAAAACTGCAAATGTCGTATAAAATAGCCCTTCGTCACGGTGTCCAGTTTAATAGTTAAACGCCGCCTTCCTTGGAAGCACGGCTGCTCAGAATGGCAGGGATCGCTCCCATTCCCGGGCGGTGTAAGGCTGCCGTGACCAATCCTTTAACATTTATTGCTGAGAATGGTCAAACTTATGAACTTTGCTACCCGTTATGGCGTCACGCATTCCGCTTTTAAACCATATGTTCAAATAAATAACATTTATACGCATTGACACGACTGACCTTTATATCGCAAATAGCCACCTTCTACTGCCGGCGGTAGATATATCCTGGTTGAACCGTGCAATCCGATACAATTGAAATAAATCTGCCGTAAACACCCAGACATTGGAAGGAATCTGATGCCTTATATATCTGTTTCACAGACGAGTCCTGCCAAAATGGTGCTCTTATCCAATAACATGGCGACTCAGGCTGGTGCCAAGGAGCGCCACTCCCGCCGGCGCCAGAAGGAAAAAGGTGGGTATACGATCCGCCGGCCGGGCCCCGCCGCTCCCGGGACCGGACTCTGTACGTTAGTACCTACTGATCGTCACCGCGATTGCGAAATTTATTCAGCAGTTTTGGGTAGCACGATAATGATAATCAATATTTAGTCTTTTACTCACAGCCATGCCATTAATTGTTTAGGTTTTAAATCGCCGATATAAAAATACATAGGTAAGCCTACCTACCTATAGGTCCGCTCTATTGTCAGTAAAGCGAAAGTAAGTGCTAAGTAGGAGTTTATGACAAATGCTGACCGATTGCATGTTGGTCTCCGGCGCACAGTGGACTAGCTGTGACGAAATTCTGCCGTTTCAGAGCGGAACTGCTGCGGGATGCCGCCCCAGCACTCGCTGGTCACACCACTCAGCGGCAAACGCGACGTCAGGGCCACCGAGCTGATGTACCTGAAGGAGCTGATTCCCTCTCCAGACGAGGAACAGGTCAGTACGAACCCAGGCATGATGAACCGGTCACTCTAAGCGAGTAGTGACAGTGGTGGCAATTTGACGTACATAGTCTTTTAGCATGCCAATTAGGAATAATTTTATTCTCCAAGCCGTCTATTGTATTGTATTGTATTGTATTGTATGTATAACAATCATGAGCGATCCACTTTCTGAAAGTGCGTGGCGATTACTGCTCGACCAATAATTGAGCACGACCAGTAGTATTATTCGACCAATAATTAGAAATTACCGGAATATGCATACAAGCATAACAAACGCTGCAAAGTCTGCCAGAACTGCACATATCTAATCGTCGCCAAACATAGCCGAATTCGGCTGGCCTGACGGTCCACGCTCCTTCCACCGTATCCGACGCTCGTGTTCCACGGCCCCGCCCTCTTCCATCACATCCCGCTCGCAGCCGCTGGTCCAGCCCACCCGTCCCCCCCCCCGTCCCTCCCCGGTCCTCCCCCGTCCCCCGGCCGCTGAGAAATGCGGTGGCTATTTCTGGCTAACGCTGCTCGGCCACGAAAGCTCCGCGCGGGGCGCCGCGCCGGCCCGGCTGGTTTTTGTCTCTGCTCACGCGCCGCTGGTCGGTGAGTCAGGCCGACCAGCGGCAGCGCCGACCCGGCCTGCAGCAGAGGAGCTGCCGCGTCTGTAGTGCCCGTGGTCCAACAGCGGTGAATCTCGTTATTGAATTCAAGGCGTGAGGCTTTTGGTATGATGAGCTGGATTCACCAATAGCCTCACCCTTTAGTTTATTCCTCAGGACAAGCTATTTTCATCCTTGGTAAACATGCTTTCTTATTTCGGGTTGAAGGTCAGCCCATTCATAAGACATCGCATGGAAGGCATCTGTACTAGAAGCACGCTCCTGCGGGTAACCGTTTAAACGGCTGCCTGGCCACAGGCCACCAGCCACACATTAACCCGCGCCCCACTGGGGGGGGGGGGGCTATTTAAAGCCCCCCTCCCGTTTTTCTGCAATAACTTCCAAATCGCTTGACGTATCGACGCCAAACTTTCAGTACCTTCGGCTGCATCAATTTGACACCTTGTGTCAAAATTTGAACTTCGTAGCTACCATAGGTCGGCCGGAAATGACGTCAGAGTGACGTCATGTTCGTCCGATTTCGACGCAAAACATTGAACCACGGCAATCGCTCCCAAGAGCTCAGTTTTTAAGCTAGATCCAATTTCTTTGCATGAAAGGACTCAGAATTGACCGCACTATCAAACTGCAATCTCGGATTTTCAAAATTTTGAAAATTTCGAAAATTTTATATAATAATATTCAAAATTTATATTTTTATATTTTTTTTTTTCAAAAAGTTTTTGACTTTTCGAAAAAAACCGGAATATATGTTACAGAACGCATGGTTATGACTAACTCTAGCAAGTTTTAGCTAAATATCTTCAAAAATGGCCAAGTTACATTATTGCAAAAAAATTCACAATTATTAATTTTTCAAATCACTTTTTCAGTACGTATTTGACATCGTACACCAATATAAATGGCACCATCGTGTTCCTGAGCTCAAACTGCATCCAATAGACACCTTTTTTGTTGAAAAATTTTAACTTCAAAATTTGACCTTTTTTGACCTGAAAGTGACCTGACCTAAGCTAAATTCGACTCAAAATGACCTCGAATGACACAGACGACATCAAATTCGAAATCTATGGCCTAAATGGACCATAAAACATGTGTCACGTGACCGAAGCATGATATAATACTTTCGTGATCTGTGATGACCTGACCCTGACCTGAAAATCAAAGTACAAGTTTGGTACCCTCAAGGTATCTAGAGCATCTGTTCACGAGTGTGGAAACCAAAAATGAGCCTGGTCTGACTTGTAAGACGGCGGCCAGAGCCCAAAACGTGATCAAGCCAAAATGCTAATAATTTTTACTTTGACCTGACCTGTGACGTCATCGGTGACCTCGAGGTCAATGAAATTAGGTTTCGTTCAACAGTTTTTCCGGGGCTATCAGACGCCGTTTGAATTTTGACGATCGGCCCAGTAGTTTCGGAGTTAGGAGGGGGGGGGGCTATGAATAGCCCCCCCCCCCCCAGTAGGGCGTGTTATACACAGACCCCAGTGGGGCGCGGGTTAAATAGTTTTCGTGTCGATTTGAGAGGGTAATTTATGGTGTAGGTAAGGAAGCTACTCCCTAATAGTAAATAGTATTTCAATTTATAATAGTAAAAACATTTTTATAAATGATATGAGATATTCTATAAAAAGTAAACACATAGGATATGATAATTGATATACCTACATGATAATGATGATACCTACATACATGATACCTACATGATACCTACATAGGATATGATAATTGATATGTAAGTATGTCATGATTCATGTGTACCTACCTATCGAGTGCATATACCGGCATGGATTATGAACTTTTGTCCATCACGCGCGTGTGCCCGCAGTTTTTAAACAAGGCGAGGCCGAGGTGCCGTGTTATAGCTTTACCAAGCCCACTGTCCAGTCGGAGCAAGCTGAAGCCATAGATGCTGCCGTGTTTGGCGCACAAGTGACAGACCTGTCCTTCGGCTTCGGTCTTCACGTCCCACGTATAAGGCTTCTGAGTGGTGCCACACTGACGCTGCTGTACAGAGGCACCCTTTTCCATTCCTTGATGATATTGTGTGTTTCTCGGCTACTGAAACGACGTGAACCCAACTGTGCAGTGCCGCCGGCGCCGGTCGGCTCGGCTCGGCTGCTCGGCTCGGCTCGGCTGCTCGGCTCCCCCGGGGTAAGAGCGGGGTCGACATGGTCACCAATCAGCGGGAAAGGCGGCCAGCTGTGCCTCCGATGCCTTTAGCCAGCCGAGCCACCCCGTGCGGTGCTGCAGCGACCAAAGGCGCAGGAACCGGGCGACTGCGGGGAGGTCTTGCTATTCTCGCCTTTGCCACAATTGTCTCAGAAATGATATAGGTAGGTATCATCTATATATAAAAGCGTTCAGTGGAACCAAGCGATACCAATTACCACTGATCAATTGCTGCCTACTGGACTGCGTTGAATCATGGTAATAATATGCAGGTAGGTAGGTAGGTACGGGCATATTATTTACCTTAGGTATAGGCTCTCAAGAGTCAAGAGCAAAGCTATGGAACCATTAACCAAAAAGCTTTCCAAGTGATCTGATAAAAACGGTACCGTTGGTCGGAGCCGGGGTCGCAAATGGTGTCCGTTCAATTTGCCTAAGTGTTTTGCTTATCCACTTTCCACGATTCATTGTTATTGGATTAACCCGCGCACCGACGGGGGTCTGCGCCAACTTAGTACCGACGGGGGGGGGGCGGATGACCGCCCCCCCTGAGATCTCGAGAACGAAGCAAGATAGCGACAAGCGGTAAACGGCATCGGATACGCACGGTCAAGATCTACAATTTTTACTAAGGTCATTTTCAGGTCAGGTCAAAGATGACGTCACAGGGGTCGAAAAAGTCAAAATGGCGGCGCTAAATATGGAGGGAGTTTTTCTCGAATAACTTTCGAATTAGTCAAGATAGGAACAAACTAAGGGCATCATCGTGATCCTCTCGTCAATCCGCATCGAATGATATATATGTTGACCTCGAAAGGTCAAGGTCAAAGGTTGACCTCAGGTCACGTGACCTCGAGGTCATCATGTATATCATTCGATGCGTCTTGACGAGCTGAACACAATGAGACCATCCACGCGTCTGTATCTTGTTCCTGTACGGAGTTATTGGCCAAAAACCTTTGGTGACCTTTGATGACGTCACATGACCTCACAGCTGCCCAACAGCAAAACAGACCTCAAGGTAGTGAAGGTTGATCGTATATGAAGTCATGTATGGTATATGGGGCCATTTCGACCCGTTTTAGTGGTAATAACAGGGAGTTGATTTTTCCCCCATTGACTTATAATGGGGAGGTCGCGAAATTGACCTGACCTTAGGTCACCGATATCAAAATTCCGAGATATACAAATTGTAGCTACTAATGACCTAATAACATCCTGCGACTTTCAAAGGCCTCCGACATCTACTGTAGCTCTGGCACGGTGACAAAGTTGCAAAAAAGTGACTTGAGGTTGGGTCATTCAAAGTGACCTGGTGACCTGACCTTGAAAGGTAGGAGGTTCAAACTTGCACACCATGTGTAAAATTGATAAGGGAATAGTCATACCAAATTTCGCGGCGCTACGCGCCGCGGTTTTCCCGCTATTCGCGAAAAACCTCAGGGGGGGGCGGATATCCGCCCCCCCCCGTCGGTGCGCGGGTTAAAGGGACTATCCCACCTTTAACATGGGGTTTGAGTTGAGATAGCCAAGTTTGCGGCGAGGTTCAGAAACCACTATCTATCTAGGTTGCAACCCCCGCGGCCTCTTGGTGTTGAAGAAATTCGTTCCCTTCATTTGAAAATGGGCCTTGTACAAGGCCCTATCTTCAACATGGAGCGACCGTTAGTGTGACGTCACCTCGCTTAGTCATTCTGATTTAAATGGGTTTGTTCGTTGAAAAATCGCTTAAAACTTGGTCTGAACTTTGTTGTGGTGCCTACAGAGTAAAAAGAGGGGGACCATCAAAGCGTCCAAAACCGCAGCATCCAAGGTACGCAACATCCAAAACTGCAGCGTCCAAAGTACGCAACGTCCAAAATACGTCAAAAATCGGGTATATAGGGAGCATTCACAACGTCCAAAACCGAAACATCCAAAACCGCAACATCCAAAACGTATCATCCAAAAACGCAACATCCAAGGACGCATCATCCAAAGAACGCAACATCCAAAGTACGCAACATCCAAAGTACGCAACATCCAAAACCGTTAGGTTAGGTTAGGTTAGGCTAGGTTAGGTTAGGTTAGGTTTCCTTATGCCCGGTAGGCATAAATCAGTAGGTTAGGTTAGGTTAGGTTAGGTTAGGTTCCGTTACGTTACGTTACGTTACGTTAGGTAAGGTTACGTTAGGTTAGGTTAGGTTAGGTTAGGTTTCCTTATCCCCGGTAGGCAAAAATCAGTAGGTTAGGTTAGGTTAGGTTAGGTTAGGTTTCCTTATCCCCGGTAGGCAAAAATCAGTAGGTTAGGTTAGGTTAGGTTAGGTTAGGTTAGGTTAGGTTAGGTTAGGTTAGGTTAGGTTAGGTTAGGTTAGGTTAGGTTGGGTTAGGGATAGGAAAAAATCAGTAGGTTAGGTTAGGTTAGGTTAGGTTAGGTTAGGTTAGGTTGGTTTTGGATGTTGCGTGCCTTGGATGTCGTGGTCTTAGACGTTGTGGTTTTGGAGGTTACGTACTTTGGATGTTGCGTCTTTGGATGTTGCGTTTTTTGGATGATACGTTTTTGGACGGTGCGGTTTTGGATGTTTCGGTTTTGGACTTTGTGAATGCCCCCTATAAACCCGATTTTGGACGTATTTTGGACGTTGCGTACTTTGGACGCTGCGGTTTTGGATGTTGCGTACCTTGGATGCTGCGGTTTTGGACGCTTTGATACGGACCCGTAAAAAGAATCAGCTTTATGACAGTAATGTGGCCTGGGGAAGGAGGTAATTTTGGGCTGTGACGTCACATATTTGAAAGTTTGTGTTTGGAATATGGGAAGCCTAAGATGTTTAATAAAAAATAAATGCCAGAACCGTGTTCCTGGTCATCCAATCTATAAAGTCGGGCACAATTTAACTGGTTTTAACAACATTTTAGAAGGTGGGATAGTCCCTTTAAACCGCCTCTGAAAGCTGCTATCGTATTTGCCATGAAAGATTCCTTTACTGATGAGACACAACCCAAAAATTTGGTAGCATTTGGTAGCGACTATTTGATGCGTAGCCTGAGGCAGGGCCTTGCCTGAGGCGAAATCAGTGCTGCCAGATTTGGAGGATTTCCGCAAATCTGGAGGATTTTGAACTCTATTTGCGGACAAATTTCGCTTTTGGAGGATTTTTGATTCTGGAGGAAAATCTGGAGGATTTGTCGCCCGATTATTATATTCAATTTCATGGAAAAATATAACACATTCAAGACTAAAAAGGCATTTTCCTGCCTAGCGTCACCCTACCCGTTAGGATATATCACGTCCTTTATCACCGTGAGACTGCAGAATGTCTCAGTCTGTAGCTATATCTACGAGGGTACCAAACTACTGGCGGATCTAAGGGGGACATTTGGGGCAAATGCCCCCGGCCCCCCTGCAGCGCCCGAAATCGACGAAAATTTTCGTGTTTTTTTTAGTATAAAACGAAAACTTAACTTTTTTTAAAAAAAGTATCTTTGAAACTGCACAGCAGTGCGAAAGGATTCGAAATCCGATGAGTTTTTAGAATTTGGTGAAACTTTTGGGGTTAGGTATAGCCCCCCCGCAGCGTCCAAGACCGCCTTTCTATATCTACCAATAGGATTTGGAGGAATCTGGAGGATTTTTGTAACTGATCTGGAGGATTACAGCCTTCCCCATCTGGCAGCACTGGGCGAAATACTCAAGTTTGTATTTTGTGCAATGGGCGTTAGTTCGTGACGGATGCATAACTTCGTAGTGGTCTTCAAGAATTCTGCGTCGTTCCTCAACCGTGATTGAAACGATCGAAGGTGATTTGGAATTAAAAATGTTGCCTTGTTGCTGCTTGTGGTTGCGTATTTATCGGTGGACTATCATCTATTACAGTAGGCTATCGTAACAGCCGCGTCATATTTGTGTTCCCGTGTCATCCATCGCTTGCAGACAACGCCCATATATCAGTTTTTTGTTTAATTTGTGATAGTTCGTTGGTATTTGGATCGTTTTGCTCAACCACTGATCAACTACTGACTTAAATTATCCTTATTGACCATTGGCGGATAAACAGCAAGAGATTCGGAAGTCGTAAAGCAGGCGTCTCACTTGTTTTTGTGCAACCAAGGAGAGGCGCTATACCTGAGGTGCTTTATAATCAAACCAAACCTGACCTAACCTAACCTGCAACCTAAAACATACAACCTACAACCTAAAACACCACCTAAAACCTAAAACCTACAACCTAACCTACAGCACCTCTCCTTGGTTGCAAAAAATGTGTGACATCTGCTTTAGTACTATCAGAGATTCCAGGATAAGACCATGCTGGTGTTCAAGCATTTTTTGCCCATTAAATAAGTAACTATTATGCAACACCACCTGAAATTTCATGATTTAACCTTTTTCCAGGCCATGAGCATACAACACATTTTTTCAGTGTTAATTGGTCAAAGATTTGTCTGATGAGTTGACAAGGCAAGAGAGCTGCAGCCTGCAAGGGCCTTCAGCTTCATTGGCACATTAACATAGGTAGTTGCCAAATGACTCCTGGATGAGTCCAAGGAAACTCTGCTAGTTTTTTTACTGTTAAGACATAGTTTTTTTTAGGCCTGCTCAAAGACTACGGAATAATGCAGATTGCAGAACAGGTTTTGATAAAGTTTTTAGTATATTCCTACTGCACCTTGATCATTTTCTAAGCTTCTCTAATATAGTTCCCTTTCAAGAAGTTGTTTCCTTTGCTTCATCAACCCCTTTAAATTTGTTTAAATATTACCTCAGAAACAAAATGGGTAGGTAATGTTGACCGTGACACCTATCCAGCTGTGCCTGAAGTGTGAAGTTTGCATTGTAATAGGCAAACACTTTTTGCATTAAAAAACATCTCAAGGTCACCTAACCAAACCTCAAAGCTTCACAGATCACAGCACCTACATAAAACTTAAATGCCAACCCAAACCTACCTCTGGTATTTGTGCACAGATGGACAGCTGCTTGGGCTAAACATTAGCTACAAACTAAATGTGGCTCACTATGCAGCCCCATTCCATTTTCCAGGCATGGATGTGTGCCTACAATCTACATGGTCTGTTACCACAGAGGGAGCCATGTGCTCATGGGTTTATTCATCCTCTGTTTTCACTGTCCTGTCATTCTGGCTGTACTCTGGGAGGCAGGGTCATCAATAGGTGAAATCACCATTTGTCAGAACCTTTCTTTTGTTCCTTAATCTCAGACGAGATTTGGATTCCTTGGTGAGGCTGAACCAGGCATATACTGGCACATGCAATGGGTACAAAAGTGAATTCCTAGCTTGATGAGATTTGAGTGCAGTAAACATTTTGTGTCTAAAACTTTAAAGTTTAAACAATGTAAATTTCAATATCAATCTGTTTTATCAACTTGCATTGTTTGATGTACAGTTAGCAAGCAGCCAATTTCGTCTGAAACGTTCGCCTGGCTAACAGTGGCATGATAACAGAGCTCATCTAAGCTCTTTTCTGCTTCTCTCACAACTTCCAGAAATGTAACAGAAACATGAGGACATACAAACAATTCATCCCAACCTTGTTTACCCTAACCCAGCCTAAATACTAGCACATGCTAGCCTACAATCCTACATGTTTGTAGTGATGTTCGCAGGTGTGAGCTGTGAGCTATTAAGTGGTGATCAGAAATAGATTTCAGGCGAGCCTGCTGTTGGCTGCTCTGTGATTAGGTACCTAGTGGTAGGGCATTGACTAGTAACATACAGAGTGAAGTCTAACCAGTGATTTAATCCTGTGCCGCAGCTCTCGGAGCCGGAGGAGCGTGTCGACCCGGCGCCGGTCCGCTGGGACGCGCTGCCCATCGCGCTCGAGATCTCGCGGAGACTGAGGCCGCACCACAAGGACGCCCGGGTGCTCATCAACATCCTCACGGCGCAGAAATTCCTGGTAGGTGACACGACCTCCCGCGAAAATGAACAGAGTATCGCTGGGTGTATGATTATCTGCAACTAATAATGGTAGGTAGACCTTGATCTGACGTTTCCTGTGGAGCTATCCATTTGAAAAAACAACTGTATTACCATAAACATTGCACATGAGCCGTGCCAACTCAACCTGCGTAGAACTCGGTAGAAGGAAAATGTGCAAGATATTCTTTTTCATGCCCGTTCATTTCATAAATTTGTACATTATTGGTATCTGTAGAATTCCCAACCCTGATCAAAGCATATCACAGCAGCTTCGCATCTCAGGCTAACTTCATCACCTTGACCTCTGAAGGATGCATGCGTTCGAATCAATCGAAAGTAAGATGCAGTCATGACTGTGCATCGCGCCTGTTATAAATCGTCTACTAGTCGCAGGCTATCCTACTGCTTAACGTCATATGCCATATGTGAGTGCATTCCATAATCGCTTAACACGCTTTCCTTTTAAGGTTAAGCCGTTTTTTTTACGTTGGAGTGTGATGATCTTATATTCTTTAGTCATCAGCTGAGATATACCCACTCGGTGATGACATTAGGCTCTTCTATTTCTGGCTATCTACCAGTCTCTTTATGTATCAAACAAACCTCGGTAAAAACAGTTTCGGACTGGAACAATATTGACTCAGATTCATCACACATCTTCAGCACACAGATTGGGAATCCACTGTCAACACAGACGGGCATGCAGCTCTAACAGATCTCGTCTTGGCGTTTTCTGTTGCCTTCAATAGGACAATTCCCACAATTTGACGACCATCTGAAAACGACGAGCCAAAGATTACATTGAAATAAAGAAATTATCAGAATGAAACTCGTATTTGAAGTGCTAAAAATGAAGCTGGTGTAGCATCGACTTGGAAAAAGACTAGCGTGGTTGGTTGCTTTCAAAACAAGCACCTCCATTATAAATGCACGACGTAGGCCGTCATATTATGTATGACGTCAGCCGTCCCGTGCCGGTGTTTTGTATGACGTCATAGAGCGTGGCGCCGCCCGCTGCTGTTTTTACCTCCGACATTCGCCACCGGCTGGGTATCGGACTCCATGGCCACCCCGGACTCAGTACAGCCACCAGTGCCGCTGTGGAGCCCGGCAGGACCGTGCGCGACTCCTGGCCGCCTGCTCAGGGTATTCAGTCACTCCCAGGAGCCGCCAGTGTCTTACTAACGTGTTGACACAGAAGTGCTCTCACTGTGATCATTTTATTGCGAACTCTGGCGAAAGTGGTATCGAGAGTGAATATGAGGTATGTGCTAGCAACTTAGTATTGGTTGTTGATTGATAAATCAACTGATGTTCGAGGTTTTTATGTTTTGCTGCCACGGGTCGTAAACCGTTGGAAGATAGGTGTGAGGCATGATCCCTCTACTTTTTGGACCCCTCTACGAAACACCTTTTTTAACATAATCTACTTTTCAGTCTTATGAAGTGTGTTTGTGTTTGCTGTGGAGACAACACTACGAAAAACAGCAGACGATAACCGTTCATCAAGTGGGCCATAGCACAAACAGTGCTTAATTACTTCATGAATTTGGCTGGGCCACCACAAACTGATAACGAAGTGGCCTGCCCGGCCCCATCTGTTCGTGATCTACCGTCTATGTATACCACGCGCCGAACGAATCACGAGATTGCTCCCTGTTTGTTTGTACCCATACTTAGCGGCGGTAGATCATTGCAAGCAATCACTTTTCACCAGACTATGCGATTTTGATGATCGCTGTTATTTTGTGCTGCTTTTGATAGGTTATCGATCAAACGGCGCCGACCGTTACCGACACTCGGGCCGTCTCATTAAAGTCGTCTGATGGCGGCGCTGGCCAATTACAAGCATCCCGAACTAAGATATATTTCCCGTAATCAGTATGTCCTTGTGCATAGTTAGGCGTGGATTAACATACTACACTTCCAGGGATCAGTAGTCAGTAAAGCCATATGGGAAAGTGTCTTTTGGTGTCAAAACAACAATATTTTAATTGAAATAGCTCATCATATTGTCTTAGTCATGACAGGTGCCTAAGCAAAAAATAACATTTGATCTCCAATCTCCATAGAAACTCATCATTCTCGTTCGACGTTTTCCAGTAGATATGACAGAGTTGATATTCGCACAAGCCCTGCTGTTGTTTTCGGGGACACTGGACTGGACACTCCACCCTTTAGGGCTGGCCACTGGCTGACTGACGCTCCCTCCTTGTCCGACAGGGTCTTCTGAACGCGCACGACCGGATTGCCAAGGAGACCGCACAGGCGAGCGGCCGAGAGGTGACACACAAACCCCCCGACGAGCCGCCCACAGCCGAGAACATGGAGGCCATACGCATGGTGGGCCTCACCAAGAACCCCAACGAGCCGCTGGTGAGTGCCGGCGCGGGGAGGGGAGTGTGGTGAGTGGGGCTGGGGTCTGTATGTGAAGACTCGGGGCTCCTAGTGAGCGGGAACTGGGGACGATGTATAGGGACACACTGCTCTCAGTTCTGCGCAAGAGCATTGTATGGGCGTGCTTGACGGCCATTCGAGGAAAGGTAGCTGACTGCACAAATCTCGCTACCGTATCGACCAGATGGTTCTGTAGGGAGTATTATCCGATGGAGGATCAAAGATTATGTGCTCTCGGAAAACGCATCCCATGTGAGATGTCTTTTGACCTGCATGACTGCAGCAGCCAAAGCAACCAAAGCGGATTCGGTGAGACGCAATTATTTTCCTGCTCAATGCTTTGCATTCAGAATTGTTGCTGAAGCACAAAATTCAGCGCATTTAGTACAGTCGGCAAGCTAGGATCTTTTCGTGAAAACCATATCCAATCTTTTCCCCTGAGATGAATAATGGCGACTTCCCATCATCACTTAAATGCAATCTATCCACAATTGTGCGGACCTTATCTAAAACACGAAGGTAGGTGCTTCCTACTTCTTAGTATTAACACAATCATCGTCGTATTTACATGCCATAAACACAAGCTGAACGGTCGACGATGCCGCGTTTCACTGACGATACCGACGGTCCCTGGCGTCTCCCGGCTCCCAGACACCCCCTCCGTCTGATTATTGATGGCCCCGGGCCTCCTCACTGATCCCCAGCCAACATCACTCAGCTTTTTACGGCCCCGATGTGAAAAGCGGTGCGCCGCTGTATTTAGAACGGCTCGTCTGAAAGCGCTCAGTGTGAAAGCCGTGCCGACGCCGCCATTGTAGCGGATACCGGGAGATTTTCCCGGATCTGCTCTCGGCTATACTTTGTGCCGCGCGGTAGAGCCCATTGCGCTGTTTTATGAAACGTTGCCGATAATTTGCAATCCGTCTGACATGAAGAACGGGTGCACGGATGTGCTAGCTAGGCCTGATAAACTGAGGAATATCGAAAGTTATACGGAAAGTTTAAATGCGCTTTAATGGGTGCATAATTGTGGAAGGATTTGGTCAACATTTTGATCTGGTTATCGATGGAACATGACGTGTCTGATGTATATTCATCAGTACCATCTAAACTTTTTACCTATCTAAAGCTAGAGCGAACTCTCAAAAGGAAAGAAATTACATCCATACAAATAGTTAATTGTTATTTAATGCACTTTTATCATTTGACTGCAAACTCGTTGAGCCAGTTATCATGGCATTGGAAATGGAAGCCATATATCTTAAGCTCGCATGCATCCGGAGCAGTAGCTACGGCGGTATTTTGCTAACTCCATTCATATGCTAAGCTGTCTTTTGCATGACAATGGAATCTTGTGCTGGTCTGGTTAATGATGTCTCTGGCCGATTATTTCTTCCGTCTCAGTGGCGAAGACAAGATAATTAATGATAGAAGACATTTCGCAGCATTTCCCTACAACGGCGCATGAATTATTTGATAGCGAATAGGCATTAGCGCTGCTACGGTGGCTGAAGATTATTACGATTACACTTGGCCATTGATAATGACATTCTGAATGCAAGAATAGTTCATGATTTGGCCGCCGGCTTTTATTTGATATCGGACAGGACGCCACTGACATTGGACGTGACAGCGGCGGTCGCCGTGTTTTCGCTGCAGGCTGCCCTCTGATGAATCTGCCGCCGTATTGGCTGGATTTCGGCTGGGTGCTCTGGGACGGACGGCGATCGGTCAGCCGGGGCTCTGTCCTCCCGAGTCGGTCGGTCGGAGGGGCGCAGGGCAGGGCGATCGGTCGTGCTGGTGGGCGATCCCATCGGCACATCTCCGAGCTGCCACCGCTCTCAGCTGGGGAGGGACAGCGGCCCGCCGTCAGCCCTGCCCACTCTCAGCTGGGGAGGGATGGTGGTCGCCCTCGGCAGCTGGGGAGGAACAGCGGACTGCCCTCAGCGACTGGGAGGGACAGCGGACCGCCCTCAGCAGCGAGGGGGACAGCGGAGCACAGCCGTCAGCTGTGGAGAGGGCAGCGGTCCAATTCCTAATTCCAATAAACAACTGACATTGCATCATCCAAAGTTAATGGTACCGGCAGTTTCCATCAGGAATCATTGATAATGAAAATACGTCGAGGATACCCCTCGAGCGACGCTGCGTCATTTAGCGCTTCTTCGGCTCGTTACACAAAATAAGTTTTCTGAATCTTCTTTTTAGGTGTCGTCGTTATGCACCAATGTAGCCACATGGTGGAGCGACGGGCCTCTCCTTACCCTGTCCGACTCCGGCTTTCGGGAACGTCGTGCCGCTCCTCCGTCCGTGATGCAGCCACTTGGGCACAGACGGGCCGAGGTTGGCAGTCTCATGAGAGCAGCTTCGGCGGTCGGCTCGACCCCTCGTCCAATCTCCATCGGTTACCGGTTGTCACCGACCGCCCGGCCAATGGCGGCTCCCCGCCCGCTGACGGCGGCCTCCCCAGCTCTGCCTCTCTGTCTCTGCTCCTCTCTCTTTCTCCATTTCTTCTCCTATCCTCTCTTTTCTCTTTTCATCTCTCTCTCTCTCTCTCTCTCTCTCTCTCTCTCTCTCTCTCCCCCTCTTTCTCACTTTCTCTCCCCATCTCTTATCCTCCTCTCCCCTTTTCTAACGGCGTCTTTTCCTATTAGTCGCCGGTCAGTGCAAGAAAGCCTGTTACTGGTGCTCGGGGTGAAAAAGGCGACCACCTTTTCACAGATTGGTCAAATTTATTGGTGTCATTGGATGTCCACTGGTCTAGCCATATCTCCTGTCAGCTTTAAAGTAACCTGATTCGTGACCAAGCATTTAGAGAAATTCGATAAGCAGCCGACCCCTCTTTTTAGAATGCGTTTGTGTGTTGCCGAACACAGAGCGGTTTTCCCATTTAGCGTCGCTGAGATATTATCTGTCATCCTGGACTATTGTGGACCTTGGAGCGGTGACAAATACCCACTCCGACGGTGGCCGACCCAGATGGAAACGATTGCATAGTTCCGAAGTCGAATTTCGGGGATATTTCCCTCTCTCAAATCATCTGGAGTAGGAAAGGTCTCCAATCTGGCTTCCAATAAGCGGCTGGACGGCGGAAGGCGGCGACCATTTTTCGCTCCAGTTTGTCGTGGCGGCCGACAGCGGTTTCCGCCGGGTTTGGAGTGGAGCGAGCTCTGGTCCCGTGCTGCTGCAGGACGTGACACTGCAGCCCGTAACGCTGCAGCCCGTACACTGCAGCCTTGCAGCCGCGTGTCTTTGCATTGTGACGTCATCTGTGACCGGCGGCACGGGTGGTCCTCGGGGATTTCGGACAGCGACCGATGCAATTTCGTCCCGCCGAGCCTCCATCGAATCGAGCTTGGTGTCATCATGGATTTGCCATGCCGCGGACGGGACTTGGGACTGGGACAGTGCTGGAAATGAGGCCGCTTTCTGGTCCCGGCGTTTTATTCTCCGGGTGGGTTAGCCCCGTCTAGCGCTTAGCCTTTCGGGACCCTCTCAGAGCCGCGGTTGTTTTCGCCGCTCAGCCCATTCGAGATGCCAAGTTGATAGTCACACGAAGTTTATTTGGGGCCTTTGAATATACGAATTCGAAATTAATCGAGTCTACAAAACCTTTTTCTTTCATCTATATGCATACATTTAACAATAACTCCAGACCAGGCTGGTTTGGCTGGCCCTAAATATGCTTCGTGACTATTAATTTTGCATCTCGACTGGGGCGAGCGGCGCAAACAACCGCGACCCTGAGTGGGTCCCGAAAGGCTAAACGCTGGACGGGATTAACCCGCCCGGAGAATAAAACGCCGGGACCAGAAAGCGGCCTCATTTCCAGCACTGGACTGGGACGGTGGGACCGGAAAGCTGCGGGCTGGCACAACACTGCCAAACTGCTCTCGCCAGCGTTGTCGGAAAGTGGCAGCTCTAGGCTTTGTCTTTGAGATGTAGCCGTGCTGCTGGGATATGTCATAACCCAAATGACAGATCAACTCTATTCGGTGTCAGCTGCTCGTTCATTGAAACACTGCGGGTGTCTCGTTTGTTGAAATGTGGGCTACCAAATACAGTATGTCAAAGTTACAGGGCTAGCTGAGATCATCGCCAGATCTTGGCCATGGGTTAGTAGTGGAGAAACATGGTCTTCCGCTTCGATGCCCTTTTCCGCGAGATGATCTCGACTCTAAATTGTTGAATCACGTTGTTGCTTGTGACATTTTTAAACGCCAGATGACGGTCTGCGATTTAAGACCGATGTTCGGCAGCTCCGAAGCGTAGTTTAGTGTGCCGATTTAATTGGAAAATTAAAGTTTTGTTCACAATCTAAGAGCTAATGCTATTACCTACCGTTGTATATACTCCACTACCCTGACCATTACTCCACCACCTCCACCATACTCCACATACTCCACCCTAAGGCACGCCACTGTGCCCGGGTCCTAGGTTCGCCACCGGCCACCGTGTGACCACTCGCTGCTCTCCTACAGGGTCTAACGGTGAAACAGGAGGGCGACGAGCTGGTCGTCTCCCGTATCCTGGCCGGCGGCTTCATCGACAAACAGGGCCTGCTGCACGTCGGTGACGTCATCCGAGAGGTCAACGGCCGGCCGGTGAGTGACCAGGGGTCAGCAAGGGGTCAGGGTGTCTACTGGGGTACCGTGCGCAGCTCCCGACTGAGCGGACCAGCTCGTGATAGTGGTCACCTCGAGACTGGCTCAGATCGCTGTTCGCAATACGAGTCACATGCCATCCACGGTTATGTTTGGCCACAAACGCTAGGATCCGCTTTGATCGACTCTTTGAACCCTTGCTGAGCTCAATATTCGTAAGGCTAACTGTGCTCAGCAGAATTCTCATTCCTGCGTCTTAGGACATCAGACATACGCGTCTTTCCCAATAGGGACCGCACGTCACCACCGTCTTATTGGCGCTGCTGTGTTCTCCAATTCCCGTGTGTAGTGTGATTGATTAGGGCGTGCTCCAATAGTCTGTGCCCTTGGGAGAACGAAGACGCAGGGGAGATGTGCGGAGACCCGGTGCAATATGTCCAACCTACGGCGGCTATGTTCTCTGTGTTCCTAGTATTGGCCGGAGCGGCTCCGCATTCCACATGGCGTGCGGTGTCACCGGACACATATCAGCGCCGCGCCGCTGTCATTACCCTCCCCTCCCCCTCCGCCGGTGGTGCGATGTGTGCTCCCTGTGGGACCGCCCCCCCCCCCCCCCCCCTGCAGAGGCTGCCGCGGAGGCGTCAGCGCAGTGTTTGCCCCAGTGGGAGCGGCGGCCTGGCGGTGGGCCGATGAATATTCACGGGCACACGTCGGGCCGGCGCTCGGTGCCGCCGCTAACAGCGTGTTGACTTGCCGGCAGGGGAGGGGGCGCCAGGGGGGGGGGGGCTATCAGTCTGGCGAGGCAGGGTGCGCGATGATTCAATAATGCACATTGTATGCAAGTTGCGAACTTCCAAATGTGCCAGGTTACTTAGTAGCCGAGTCGAATCGAAACATTGCTTGGAAGCCGCCTTTGAAGTTCAAAGCCTGCCTGTTTGGCTCGGCGCTCGATTGATGTATGAGAATACTTCGCCATGTGATACTGCCACTGGGTGGGCATTAGAGACGCCGCCGTAAAGTTATTTCGCCGCTCCTATGCCAGCACCAGCAAAGTTTGCTTTTAAAATAGCGTTTGTGTTTGGTGAGTCGGTGACGGTAGGGGCGTTCCCGCCCCACAGCGACGTCATATTGAGCTGGGAGTGTTCACTGAGGAGAGGTCTGCGGTCGCTCCTCCCTTATGACTCGGCGGGGCAGTTGACCTATGTCGGACCCGCAGGTTACTGAGGAGTAGTCTGTGGTCCACAACTCCGCTCTGCCGCTGACCGCCCACTCTCTGCTCTGCATCGACAGGAGTACCCACTACACACCCTCCCCGCACTGTGACCCCTCAGTGCCACTGACCTGCCTCTGACTTCCTCGTACTGTGAGTTGTGACCCTCCATACCACTGACCTCTGACCTACCTCTGTGTCGCCAGGCGTACACGCCGGAGGAGCTACAGCAGGCCATCGGCGCGTCCAACACGGTGACACTGAAGGTGGTGCCCGGCGCGCCGCTCAAACCCGCCGCACCGCAGGTGAGGGGACGTCGGCAGGGCGACGTCGGCCCCGGCCCCGATCCGTGGACACTGGACAGGGAATCCTCTGAGGCCCCTCCGTCCCGCGAATAGAGAACCTTTGACCCTCGGAGGCCCCGCTGGCCAGCGGACGGAGTTTTCTCGGGACTCTGGCCCCACAATATGCCAGCGTGTTTACTGTACAGCATTACGATGCTTTCTGACGCAGGGGCAATGTGTCGTTATGTGTGCGTCCATTCGGTACGGCTCGTCACATCGCTGATCCTTTGCGCGGATGTGTCCCCATGTTTTTTTTTTTTCACGAAGAGCGGCCTCTTATATCCGGGAGATTGCACTCGTGGTGCACAATGGTGCCCTAATGAACGCTCTCAGATAAAAAAGACCATGGGACGGGTCTCGCAAATGAGCTGGTGTAGTATCAACAAACTTTTGTCCGTATCACATTTTTTTTTCTGTGCCGAGTAATTATTTATTGATGCCACGTCATCGTATGCTCGCACGCTGTATCTTTTGAAGCAGGATTAGGGCTTCGGTAACGTGTCTTGCACGGCTGTTCCAGTGCTACGTGCGGGCCATGTTCGCGTATAACCCGATGGAGGACAAACTGCTGCCCTGTCCGGAGGTCGGACTGCCCTTCGAGTACGGCGACGTTCTGAAGGTGAGGCGCCGAGCACGGCCGTAACGGGAGAGGGGGGGAGGGGACAGGGCAGACGCATCGGGGCGGGACGGGTGTCCCTGGAAACGGAGCACTGATGACAGTGTAGAAGATGCAACGGTCAGCTCCTGTCGGCTGATCAGTACGGCTAAATTACCACCGGCCGACTCCTGCACTAGTCTGCGGGTCCAGCCGCCAGGGGTCAGGCCAGTAGAGATCCACCGTAGCTCAGAGGTTGTGGAGTGGAGACAGTATTCGGTCGGGACGCCTGACCCGTAGAGATTTAACAAAGCTCAGAGGCAGGGGACAGCAGCCATCTGGGATGCCTCTCGCGCTGCCATGCTCCCTAGCGTCTAAGACTGGCTGCCTGGCGCCTGTCGCCGCCATCAGCCGTCAGCGGTTGGCCCGGCTCCTTCACCATGCAGAGAGCACCATTCGCAAAGCGCTCTCTAGCTGCGTAACAAAGCACAGCGTTCGGATTGAAGAGAACTCACAATATTCAATGTTTGCTGTTACGTGACCATTCACCAGGCTTTGAGATTTAATGCCCAATATTCATGGTCTTTATCTACAGTCAAATGAAATACTAATCTTGCCGCTTTTATTACCATTCCGGTACGACTTTATCGAATTGGACAGTGCTGGCTGTGTCCCCGGCAGTAACGCAACCGTTTCCGCGTCACATCAATTCCAGTGATTACTTCCGTTCCGCCAAGACTCTTACACATGTCTTTCCCGGTTCAGAACTTGACCAACGCTCGTAAACGGGTCGATGGCTTGTTTTCGGAGGCCTCCGCTCTGCCTCTTACCATTTAAGAATAATTGATTTAAGATTGGCTCTGTCATACCGTTTTATAAATTATCGCAATGAAAATTATATACTTTTAGTTGTGGCCTTATTTTGAGTTTTAGTGCTGCCGTGTATAAATTCAACAAACTAAAAATGACCACAGATTTCATCAAATTTAATCCATCGCTAGATAAATACGGCACCCTCCAATCAGCACATTGCCGGAATATTGGCCTCCCCGGGTGTGCGTGTGGGCGCACTGTGCGGCGCGCGCGGAGCTCGGTGCGCCCGTCTGGGGCGGGCCACAGCGGCGCGCTGACTGGAGGGGGCCGATCGATGGCACCGCCGCCCGGCCCGCCCCGCCGGCCACCGCACACACAACTGGAAACGACGCCCGCCCGCCGTCCGCGCCGGCTGTCTCCGCGCCGACGGCCGTCTTCAAAGCCACCTTTGGCAATTAGGATAGACGACGGACGGCTACACTGGCTTCCTGCAACAATGGGGGATGTTAGCAGCAGAGAGATGATATTCTGCAATATTTTGGGTAGCAACAGAGTAGTGTTTGCGTGGTGCTATTATGTGCGAAGCGCGGATGTCAAATGCACTATGGCTTGATGACCTTGTTTCCCAAAGCTAATTCGAACTGGACTCTTACTCCGCCCAGTCCTGAGTTAAACGAACCTCTGGTGTTGTGTCTTATGCTATGAAGAGTCGTATCGTCCGTTTTCAGTCCATCTTATGTTATATGCCGGGGACACTCCCTTTTGTTCCATCTTTACACTCGTCGTTTGTTATGCCACCTCGGTGTTACTCTGTACGTCTTAGCTCCCTCGTGGCTCCCTCGGCACAGGCTCCCGGTGACCGCCGCTGACCGCTGCTGACCGCCGGTGTCCCGCTGACCTCCATTGCCCCGCTCTTCCCCAGGTGGTGGACCGCTCTGACCCCAACTGGTGGCAGGCGCAGCGGGTGGGCGTCAACGCGCCGGCCGGCCTCATCCCCAGCCAGGAGCTCGAGGAGCGCCGCAAGGCCTACGTGCCGCCTGAGGCCGACTACGTGCACAAAATCGGCATCTGCGGCACGCTGGTGGGTGTGGCAGCGTGCCGGGACTATCAGTGAAGTTCCACAATAGTTCAGGATTGTTGCTATCAGTTGTGCCCTTGTCCGTGTGCGAGTGTTTATCGGAATCTTACCGAAATATTTTCGGCTTAGCCCTTATAGAATAACACATTGTCTGTCTTAATGCTGCTCTTGTAAATATCATCGTGGTCAACAATTGCATTTGCGCGTCGTCGACGTCTTTACCCGGCAAGTCGCGCGGAACGAGTCGTCGAAATGTGTGCAGCGTTCCATCCGTTCGTCTCTCACACACTAGTGTCGACTGTATCGGTCCTCTTTGCTAACTGTATGCCGGCCGCGTGCGCTCGTTCTTGCTGTCGGTCCAACTTTCGGCTTTATTTGATCCGCGGCGAGCTGCATTGCGTGCAGAACACAGCAGAAAACACTAAGAAAACGGACCAGACGGCAATCAAGTCGGCACTCGTTACCTCGGCCGCAGACTGAGACCGTTATTGTCCCAGTGTCGGGGCTTTGTGCCGGTGTTTGTGGCGAGAGGAGCTTTAGCGGTGGTTCCCCACGACTTTCCGCCAGTTTTGATACTCGGAGCCGAGATTACTTTAACCGCAAAGCCACCTGACTGAGCCAAATCCGTGTACGTGACTCTGGCCGTGTTCTTCGCTGTTTGACTTTGTTTGACTTTGTTCTTGTCCGTCTCTGCTCGGCTCAACAGATCAGCAAACGGAAGCGGAAGCAGATGTACCGCTCCAAACAGAACAACGAGTTCGATAAGGCCGAGCTGGTGCTGTACGAGGAGGTGGCGCGAATGCCGCCCTTCCAGCGCAAGGTGCTCTGTCTGATCGGCTGCGCCGGCGTCGGCCGCAGGACGCTCAAGAACCGCATCATCGAAACGTACCCGGACAAATTCGGAACCACCCTGCCACGTGAGTATCAGTCTGTTCTTCTTGTGCACTTATTGTGTGCACTGTATGTATATACTTGGCCTGTGTTCTTATATTCTTTTCAGTAAGTTCTCAGTGTGACGCTTTCTTTTGCTCGGCTCGGCGGTTCTAATGTCCAAGGAACTTTCAGTTGTGGCACTATGAAGGAAGCGTCAGTATGCATTGCTGTGCTGCCGCGCATTTGGCACTTTTTCCTGGGCTCTGGTGTTCACTGTTCAATTTTCCAGTCCGTTGGGGCCACGGGATTCAAGGTATGCCTAATTTATGAGCCCTGGGGTGCTGTAGTGAACGGTGCACCAGATTAAGCCCGCCTGGAGCTCGCCCGGCCAGGCTATTCCGATAGTTTAGCGGCTGTCTGGGGCCTGGACCGGGGTCTGCCGCGGCGCCTGAGATGCCGACACCGTACCAGCGGACCCTGGCGGGGCCGGGGCTCCTAGGAACAGTTGCCGCTCGACGGAATTACCCCGGAGTTGAACCAGCAGCGTAAAGCCCGTTGTACACGGGCAACTCCCGTCGGCAACTCCCAGCAATCGGTTGCTCGGCGACAGCCTTTTCTGTTGCTCTGGGTTGCTGAAGTGCTGCCAAATGCTATTCAGGGTTGTTCAAAAAATTGCCCAATATGTCGGCAACATCTGACGATCGCCGACGGTCGCTGAGCGTGACGTCACGATAATTATACCCAATGGACGAGCTGTTGCTCTCGATCGCCGAGAAGTTGAATATTTTGAACTTTCTGGCTGTTGCTGCGGTGTTGCTGGCCGCTACTGCTGTACGAGCATGCAGCTATGGAGCAGCAAATAGGTAAAATATTTACAAAATGCCGTCTTCTTAGATTTTTCAATGCCGATTATTAGTCAGGATATCTGAAAGGGAAAGGGATTTTGACTGGTTGGATATGGGTCTCAATTCTGATTTATTGGTGGGGATCAGTGCCGGAGAAACCGTGGGGACCGTCCCCCCGGGCCCCATTAATTCCATTTTCTGGGGAGACCTGGGGGCCTAATATATTACGAAAGTAGGCCCTTTTGACTTATGTTTTAAAGAAAATTAACCACTTGGGCCTGTATTGGTGTTCTAAAGCTCATTCCAAATATCGGAGCCCTATATCAGTGAGTAGATCTCAAAGAGTCGGAGTTCACAGCAAGCTAGTGGGCCCAGTCTGAAGATTCCAGGACAAATCTTCGTATGGCATTTCTTCGTCGCGCAATTCTTCGTCCACAAATCTTCGTCGGCGCATTTATTCGTGTCGCATTATTTCGTCTCGCATTTCTTCGTAGGCGCAAATAATCGTATCGCCTTTCTGCGCCCATGAAGGGAGCTGTATGACCCCTGAAAGCACCCATTCAATAAAACAATAGCTTTTGACTAATTATCATTTTAGTGATTATCAACCCATGCCACAGATAAACAACATACACAAGCGTACTCCAACCATTGATATTTGTTTTAACTTTTAATACCACGTTTTGGTGTTAAAAAGATAGTGGCATCACTAGCGAACGATGGCACAGGCAAGCTATCATTAATACATATCGAATATCGATGCATATATAATATGCAGAAAACTTTTATATCCAACGCCACAAACCTCGAAACACATCTGCGTACGGTTGTCGGTAGGCTCTGGAATGCCGGTTGTCGAGAGTCGTCCAGTTCCTCGGCGTGACGTAATTGTGACGTCAACAATGTGAAAAGCAAATTCATCGGTGTTGCTAGAAGTTGCTCGCATGCTGCCACCGGTTGCTGGGCGATCGGTTTCCCAGAGTCGCCGAGCAACCGATTGCTGAGAGTTGCCGGCGGAAGTTGCCCGTGTACAACGGCCTTAACTCTGCACCTTGTGCGCAATCTTTTGAGCTTTTCCCCTTGCCGACCGTATATGGCCACGAGCATCGGTATCAGCATCAGCATCGGTACGCAAAATCAAATTTCAGAATATCACGTGTATTTGAAGCACCTTTGGGAAACGTTGCTGACAAAAATCGCACATTTATTTGAAGAAAAAAATGGACGTGAGAGGGAAGACAGAAAAATCAATAGTAGCCACCGTAGCCACCATAGCCCCCATAGCCTCCATAACCCCCGTAGCCGTAGTAGCCGTTTCCGTAGCCGTTGCCGTAGCCGTAGCCGTTCCGGTAGCGACCGTAGCGGTTTCCGTAGCGACCGTAGCCGTTTCCGTAGCGTCCGTAGCCGTAGCGGCCGTAGCTGCTGCCGTAGCGACCGTAGCCGTTGCCGTAGAGGCCGTCGTACCCGCCGTAGTAGTTGTTGTAGAGGTTGTACCGGTTGTAGAGGCCGTAGCGTCGGCTCAGGCCCGGGTAGGCACTGAAATGAACGGCGGGTTTCAGAGAGTGGCAAATTGGGGCACTGTGTTAGCATTGCGGAATGTTCTTAAATATTTTTTTATTTTTTTAGACAGAGCTATCGATGAAAAGTCGGGTATCGTCACCTGTCTGATGCTGTCAGGTAACGAGATTCTAGGTAAAATCCAACCGTTGTGGGCGCCACATCGCGAGTTTTCCATTAGGCAGTTCGCCGACGGTTCCATTGAGTGGAACAGTTGGAAGTGGAGGAACAGTGGAGTGAAGCAAGGGAGCTGAGTGGATCAGGAGGAGTTGATGAATGGAGCAGTTAGGGATGAGGAGAGGAGCGGTGGTGACTGAAGAGTGGATGAGTTGGAGCTGGGGAGTGGAGCCGGCAGCTGGAGTGGGAGCTGGGGTGAGGAGCAGTGGCCGGTAGAAACTGAGGAGGAGGCGAGTCCCCTCTGTCTCCCGTCCCTCCCTTCTGCGTCCCGTGCCGTGCTCTCACCTGCGGCCGTATCCGCCGTAGCCGCCGTAGCCGCTGTATCCGCGGCCGTTGCCTCCGTACGTCCCGTATCCGTAGCCGAGTCCGTAGCCGCCGTAGCGGAGCCTGGCTTCCTCTGCCTGCTGGTCTGCCGACTGCGCCTCCTCAGCGGCGATCGCCGATCGGCAGCAGACGGCCAGCAGCGCGGCCAGGGCCAGGTAGCGCATCATGGCGGCTCTCTCTGCGGCGGCGGACGACGGCGGGGCGAGCGGAGTGTGTCGAGCCGCCGGCCGGCGCCGCTTATATGGGGGCGCGCCCGGCAGTGACCCCGCCGCCGGCACCGGCACCGGCAGCGCCGGGTGGGGCCCGCTGGCGGCGGAGAGACAGAGTCCAGACAATCGACAAATAAAAAATTAAATTTGCACCCTCATATTTTATTCTTCGTTGAAAACTGGTGTAAGGGGTTGTGATGGGCGGGGAAGCCAGCTGTGGCAAGGATTTTTTTCTTCGAACAACGGTTTCCGAGATATAGCCTCGGGCAATTCTTGGAGTTCGCGCTGCAGCCCTATGTTTGACGGCCTATAACTCAGAAACTAGTAGTTTTTTACGATAAAACTTTATATGGTTCAACTCACAATCATCCAACAAACATTTTGGCTATCTCGGATTTTCAATTTTTGAAAATTTTGATCACGTGACCTTTTGTCCTATTTTTCGAAGAGTGACCTTGATATTTTCCCCACTGAAAGTTGCAATTTTGTCTGATGACGATTAAAGCCTTATCGATTGTCATTCATATGCGATAATAAAAAAGTGGTTATCGCCCTGTGTTGACCTCAGGTCAGGTCATTTTTATGACCTGTCCATTATTACGAGCGGGAGCGACAGCGAGATCTCGAGAATAAAGCAAGATAGCGACAAGCGGTAAACGGTAAAGGGTACACACGGATAAGGTCTATAATTTTTACTGAGGTCATTTTCAGGTCAGGTCAAAGATGACGTCACATGAGCTAAAATGAAGTCAAAATAGCGGCACTATACATATATGAAGTTTTTCTCGAATAACTTTCAAGGTATCCCAGCTAGGAACAAACTAATAGCACCATCGCGATCCTCTCGTCGATCCGCATCGAAACATATGTATGTTGACCTCGAAAGGTCGAAAGGTCAAAAGTTGACCTTAGGTCACGTGATCTAGGGTCAGCTTTTGACCTTTCGACCTTTCGAGGTCAACATACATATGTTTCGATGCGGATCGACGAGAGGATCACGATGGTGCTATTAGTTTGTTCCTAGCTGGGATACCTTGAAAGATATTCGAGAAAAACTTCATATATATGTATAGCGCCGCTATTTTGACTTCCTTTTAGCTCCTGTGACGTCATCTTTGACCTGACCTGAAAATGACCTCAGTAAAAATTATAGACCTTATCCGTGTGTACCCTTTACCGTTTACCGCTTGTCGCTATCTTGCTTTGTTCTCGAGATCTCGCTGTCGCTCCCGCTCGTAATAATGGACAGGTCATAAAAATGACCTGACCTGAGGTCAACGCAGGGCGATAACCACTTTTTTATTATCACATATGAATGACAATCAATAAGGCTTTAATCATCAGACAAAATTGCAACTTTCAGTGGGGAAAATATCAAGGTCACTCTTCGAAAAATAGGACAAAAGGTCACGTGATCAAAATTTTCAAAAATTGAAAATCCGAGATAGCCAAAATGTTTGTTGGTTGATTGTGAGTTGAACCATATGAAGTTTTTATCGTAAAAAACCAATAGTTTCTGAGTTATAGGCCGCCAAACATAGGGCTGCAGCGCGAACTCCAAGAATTGCCCGAGGCTATATCTCGGAAACCGTTGCTCGAAGAAAAAAAGCCTTGCCACAGCTGGCTTCCCCGCCCATCACAACCCATTAGACCAATTTTAAGCAAAAAATAAAATATGAGGGTGCAGGGCACTTGTCGATTTGTCGTGGAACGCCCCAGACGGTCCGAATATCGACTTCATGTTTCCAGTCTGTGCCTCGAGATCTGCGGCTTTCCAGTATCCGCAAATAACGAAATAAGCAAATGAGGACTTAACTCCACAAGAAATCGTTAGTATGTATAGAAAGATCGAAGAACCATCAGGCATGAAATGAGCGACTGCAATTTGGACTAGAAAAGAGCGAATATGGTTCAGCCCATACGTTCCTCTTTGTAGCTTGTCTGCGTCTATTTGTCTCGTCTCGTCTCGTCTATCTTGTCTGCATGTGCTTGTATGAAATGTTTGAGGTACTTGTTCGCCGTCAGTGCTGGGTCGGTTACATTTCACCAGTCTCTCATCGTCGTCAGTGACAAAGCCATGTCGTCATTTAACAACGATGGAGCTGATTCGCCATCTTCTGGGCTGTGAGGTGTGTTGAAGCTTTGCTATCATTGGTCTCAGAGGTCTGTCGTTTTTTTCTGAAGGATCACCCTATTTACTGATCTCGAAATCCAGACAGAATAGTCGCAGATTGGCCTGTTTCCGGTCTACTGTAGTGAACATAACTGTAGCTTGTTGTTTATTCCGATTTTCTTTGAGGGTTTTACGAACATGTTATCTATTCATATCAAGCATTTCATCCACATACGAGTGAGAAAGTATATTTTTCAAACAGTCCTGGGGTATGGTCAAGGCTTGGAACGATTCCAAAAGAACATTTAATGCCCAGAGGGCATCAGTCTGACTAAAAAAAGAAAGCTATTGAATGGAACTTGCAATGCTGTAACTTTGAATAATGCAGTAATTAAATGCTCGCACATGTGAAGCAAAGTAACATGCATTGCCGAGTTAATATCCACTCAGCGTTCAGCAGTGATATCAGCAGGAGGAAAACAAAGAGTTCAGCTCGCCGAACAGTAAAGTGAGCCCTGCTTTTTGCAATTTTCAAGGAAAGTTGATGGTGTTCTGACACCATTAGAAAATCGGAAGGGCAAATTGCGCCAATAGCTCTCTGCGGTGGTAGACCTCACAGTCGTGCTCTGGGAAGCCGTCTGGACGGGACAAATGACGGTTTGGCGAATTGTAATTTCTCAGACACAGCGTCGCCTGTCACTCGTTTAGTTAATTAGTCTGGGGTGCCGTGACCTTGGGGAGGTTATTTTACTGACCAAGATTGGCGTTCATTTAGTCCAATGTCAGGTCGGCCGACCCTGTGCAGGCAGCGGAGCTCTCCTTTGTGGCATGAATGTTCCCAAATATTTCCCGACGGCGCACGCAATTGGTCGCGACGCCTCGCGAAACGACTTTTTTACGGCCCGAGAATACTCCCGATCTCCGCCAGTGCTATGCCGCAATAGTAGGGTTCATGAGCGCGGCTGCGGGCGTGTTCCGGCCCCGGGAATACAGGCATATTATCACAGAGGTCGTTGTAGGCCGTACTGCTGGCGGCGGTGCTACTGTGGCCTCCCGTCTGGCGTACGGTCCGTCACGTCGTGTGGAATGGCCCGCCTGGTCAGAGGTAGCTGGGTGCGAGGAATGGCACGGCAGGGAGGGCGACGGAGTGATGGAGTCCGTCAAGGTGCTCGCGTGCTGGAGTGTTGACAAGGTGGGGATCGATATTTGCTAAAGTATTATGCCTCCAAAGCTGTTTGCCGGTCAACTTTGAGGTCAATATCTATGCATTTGTTGCCGTTACGAAAAGATCTATGGGGTATGAAAAGATCGAAGAACCCACATGCATGAAACAAAGAACTACGGTTTGTTCTAGAGCAAAGGAGATATGGTTAATGTAGTTGATAAACAGTCACTTGTAAGTTTTAACGAGAAAGGTTTTGGTCATATTACACGGATATTGCATTACAGACGATGTCTGCGCAACGGTGTAACGAATGCCTTCTCGGAAGGCTCGAAGTTGCATACTGTTGCTTCGTGTCATTCTATTTGAACAAACCACTCAAGAATGGTGAACATTCAAGATGTGTTTCGATTACACTAAATACAGCTGTACTGTTGTTTATGTGTGATGTGTATGTTGTCAAACAGCAGGGTCATTTTTACCCGAATTTCTGCTTGACATAACAGCGTTGATACGTTGGTGCGTACATCATATCCACACCCTTGTTTGTCTTGTCCAATGCTATACCGCCTTGCCCCACCGTGGCACACCGAATGTCGCCAGTTCTGACCGAGCGATGTGCCGGTGTCGCTGGCTGGTGACATGATAGAAGTCGGTTGGTGCTGTGTCAACTTGGTGCGGTTTCGGCGATCAATTGGTGTCGTTAGGCTGCTGTCCTGTCAGTGTCGTTTCTTGTTCAGTGTCGTTTGGTTGGGGCTATGTCTATGTCGTTTCTCATTGAGTGTCCTTTGTTTGATGCTATGTCGGTGCTGTTAGATCAGCGCAGTGCCGGCTGCTGTCGGTACTGATGGCCGGTGTTGTTCATCCCCCGCGGCCTGGCCGGTAAGGCGGCCCTCTGGCTGGTCCGGTGGGGACTGTTACGTAGAAGGCTACAGCGGCCTGTCGTTTTTCGCCGTCTCAATGTTTTCGCTATCTGGAGCGCTTTGGCTATATGGAGTATTTTAGCTATCTCTAGTAATTTGGCACAGTTCCCGATTACCTTATCGTCAAAGAACGGTGATTAACTCCTATGACTTTCGCGGCACACCTAATGGCGGGATACAACGGTTCAGGGGAGCCTCTGAAACGCCGCTTCAAAGGAGATGCTACTCGAAGTGACTTGTATTGTCCAGATTCGTTATCGTTGTCCTTTATTTGAATCACTACTTGAACTGCAAGTGCCCGTGATTGCCGACAAAGCGGACGCAATTCATCACCACGTTGTAGTTGTTCATGTGGAGATATACGACTGAACGTCGCTCTGTGCTACCGCAAAGTCTTGTTTCTTTTCTAAGTGGCCATAAATTAAAGTGTTCAGTGGTTCAAAGCCAGTTAATGAAAACTCGCCGTAATCTATAACGACCACACCAAGCACCGTGCCATCCATAAAAGCGGGAACGGCGGTCAAAATAGATTGAATATTTTTATCAGTCGCTTCAGCCCATTTTCCTCGCAGTTGCCGTCATCTCTTATATTCGCTTTGGACGTGGTATGATAAATGAGCTTCAGACGGTGCAGATGATTTTCCGGCGCTGTCCGATACATTCACTCCTTGCCCATCAGAAACTGGCGTACGCCTGGGATTCCGGATTTGCCGGTTCTGATTGGTAACTTAATTATGAACGGTGATTTGCATAGTTAACTGATCATACGTGTCTGAATCTGTAGGGTAGTTTGTGTGCCGCGGCGTCATCAGATGCACTCGGTGTCAGTCATGAGGGCCCCACTGGGTACACCTGTGACGTCAGCTGACACCCCATGTCAGTCTGAGGGCCCCACTGGGGGCTCGGCTGTGACGTCGGCACCGCGGCGCCAGTGACCACTCTGCACGACACTGTGACGTCAGAGGTCGGCTCCGGCCCGACCCCGGTGACGTCAGAGGTCGGCTCCGGTCCGACCCCTGACCCCGGGTCAGGGCGCCAGACGGACGGAGGGCGCCGCCGCCGGCCGCCTCTGACGCACCGTAGACGGATGCGCCGCCGCCGGCCGGCCGTCCTCATAGCGGCGACCCGGCGGGCCCGTCCGGCGGCGGTCAGCTCCGCGCCAGCCCGCCCCGCCCGCTAATGAGAGCAAATTAGCAGCGGCCGCGCCCGGACGCGGAAACCGACGGCGGCTACGAGCTGCCGCCAGCGCTGTGTCTGCTCAGACTGGCTGCAATAGAGGTCTGCCCAGACCGCCAGTGCAGTGGTGGTCTCTCGAGACCGCCCACACCTGAGACCTACCGAAACGGACGGTATCTTGTTGACATCAGAGGGCTTCGTCTGCTGGCTCTGGACTCTCAAAACTCCTAAAGTTATTCGAGTTCAATGAAGTTCGACAAATGTACTTAGAGGTTTCATATCAAATGCAATTTGCTCTGGATTGCTTATGTTGATCACGAAATAAACTCGGCTTGCCTGAGTCCAAACATAATGCACAATGCACATTGATCCGAATTCGAATCCCATGCCAAACTAGGATTGCAATTCATAATACTCTAGCAATTTTTCGTCGGTCGCGAAATATCCTGTCCACTGCCCCCGGCCATCACACACACCCTCAACAGGAGGCCCGGCGCGGCGGCTGCCGTCCGGTCAGTGGGCTCTACTGCAGAGCCGGCCATAACTCTCAGACTGAGCAGGGATTGCGGCCGGCCGGCTGTCTCTGACAGTTGGCACCGTCCAATTACGGGCCACAGCGCCCGTAATGGTGTCTCCGGCCGGACCTCTGGACGGGTCACTGGTCAGAGAGGGTCACTGGTCTGTACGGGTCACTGGTCTGTACGGGTCACTGGTCTGTACGGGTCACTGGTCTGAGAGGGTCGCTGGCCTGGTTACTGGTCTTAGAGATGGTCTGACCTGGTCACAGGTCTGACCTCGCCACCGCAGAAGGAGAAGGCAGCCGGTCTTGTTACTTCAAATGACCTATTGGTCGTTGTTTTGCCATGAGTAAGACTTTCTATTTTTCGTTTGCTCGTAATGTTGAATTGCTCGATTGCGGAATGCCTACTTGAAAATGACCAGGCTTCTGTATTTTTTTTCGTGGTGCAGGAGGCGTTTTATGGCTGTTTACCGACTCGTCTGACTTCGTCTCGGAAAATGTCTGCTCAATTAGCGGAGGTGCACTTTTTTGTCTTTTTTCGCTTAAAACGTGCTTTTTGAGATTTATTTCCGGCATTGATTGATGAAATAATCCACCGGGGAAGCCTAGAGATTAGCCCCATTTGTATCCAAAAACGAACCGAACATGTCGAAAACATCTGACGGTCCATCTTGAATGGCATCACTCAGTCCCAATTCCAACTTCGCCGCCCTCCAGTTTGTTTATCAATCACCAGCGAGCCGCCGCCGCCGGCGTGTCGTATTGATGGAGCCCGTCCCGCTCGGCGCCGGAGGCTGCCGAGAAGATCGATACCGTCCTTCTGTCTCTCCGACTGTTTTCATTTCACGAGAACGTCTCTTGTCAGAACTCGTTATACGGACACGACAACAGCTTTGAGCTTATTGCTTGGGCAGCGTAAGATATGTTTCATCCAACGTTCTAGTGGCAGTTATGACTCCTGCTCTCTATCCTACTCTCTGTTCCAGAAACCGGAGAAACAGGAACAGGAGCTCAGGAACAGGAAACAGGAGTTCTATAGCCTTGCCAGAAACGTAGCCCATGTATTCAACATGCCGCGTGTTATTACCGTGTGTGTGAGCTCCCCGCAGTGCAGCTGATATGTTTTAGGGCCTTGAGCTGATATAATGCCCGGTGTCAGTGCCACTGAGTTCCCTGCTCGCGCTGCTGTGCTGACGTGGTCCTCCCCTCGGCAGACACGTCCCGTCCTCGGCGTGAGGACGAGGAGGACGGCCAGGTGTACCACTTCACCACCCACGAGGCGATGGAGGAGGACATCCGTAACGTCGAGTACCTCGAGTACGGCACCCACAACGGACACCTCTACGGTACGTGGGGCGGAACATATGGGAGTTTATGGCTGTTCACTGTCGACTTGGAATCTTGCATGTGGGGTTCAACATTACAACTCCCAAGTTCCTCGGTTGCAACTAGTGGCTAGCGTGGCACTTAGCGTGGTTCAGAAACAAAGTTCAAGATGGAGTGCTAGGTGCGAAGCCTATCCTTGTCTCGCATAGAATTGGAACTGGAAAACGATGCCTTTTGCTTTACGAACAATTACAAACGAATCTAGTTGAACTGTCACCATTTTTATTGATGTTTTTTACGTCTAATATCAGCTAATTAGTGTTTTAGTAAAATCAGTGGGGAATCAAGTGTCTGCTGTTCTCACGCTGGCCGTTTTCTCGCTGTGCGGCGCGTAGGTCGGCGTCGGGGTCAGCCTTTGACGTATTTAGTCGCTGTGCTGACCGGGCGAGCAATGCTGCGCCGTCTGTCCGGGGAGGGGGGGAGGGGCAGAGGGGGGATCTGGGAGTCACCCGCCCTTGCTGAGATTAGTCTGCCTTCGACGTCATGGGGCCCGCCATTAAGGATAATCATTGACCTCACCATGGATACCGCTGCTATAAATTAGCATACTCATCGCAATAAGGTGGTTTATGTATTCCCACACACATGTTCAGCCCGTCCCTGCCCCTCCCCGCTTCCCCAGTCACGCACCAGAGTCCGGTCAGGGACGGGTTATAGTTTTTACTGCGTGATAAGATCCCATCGCCCGCATCCTGCACGTCCGAACAGCGAGCATCCCGACGTCTTTTTACACGTATGTAGACTTGGTATGTAACTGTTATACCCATATCAGCGGCCACCGCCCACCGGAGCCTTTCTCGCTATTTGTGTGTTTGGGGAGGTTGTGACTTTCAGGTCCGACAGTGATAACTCTGTGCTAGCCTGTGTGTGCCGGCTGTCTTTTTCCGTCCGTCTGTCCCGCGCGCTGACAGCCCCCCCCCCCCTCGGCAGGCACCAAGCTGGACTCGATCCGTTCGGTGATTCGCTCCGGAAAGGTGTGTGTTCTCGACTGCAGTCCGGTGTCGCTGAAGACGCTCTACAACTCTGCCGAGTTTCACCCGTACGTGGTGTTTCTGGCGGCGCCGGGAGTGGATGACGTGGAAAAGCTGTACAGAGAGTCGGCCACCACGCTACGGAACTCGTCCAGAAGTCTCACGGTGAGCCGCCGCCCGCGCAGGAGGCACGGGCGAGCCCTCCGATCGGTAATCAGTCACGGCCTGATTGGAACCAGATTTGAACCGTGATTGACTTCAGTGTTGTTACGCTTGGGGTAATTACTTTAATTTTGTTTGCGTGATTCAAGTTCATCCAGATCCGTCAGCGTTCGGCGTTGTTTGAGCTTATTGTGAGTGTCGGGAATAATACGAGGACTGATGTTGTTTGGACTGACCTTTAGAATAACTGTTCTGTGACCTCCGCCGTCGTCGATTCCCCTCACAGTCTGACCTATCCTGCCCCGTCTGGGGCGCTCCCTCCTGCCGCAGTTTGACAGGAACAGCTCGCGGTACAGCTCCCGTCGAGGGCGTACCATCGAGTCGCTCAACTCACTCTACGACGTAAGTTGACCGGTCGGGAGGGCCGCCCAACTGCGAGACACGGGCCTTTGTTCGTGTCAACGCTGGCACAGAGTCAGGACGTGTCATACACTGACACCGAGTGAGGGAATGTCAAAGCTGATAGTGGGAGGGGTAGGTAAACGGCGACATGACTACTGTGACTGTCAGACACCTTATGAAGTCTGATATTGGATACGGTTTACGTGAGATCAGTCACAAAAATCACCACAGTTCGACTGAATTTTACCGCCCAAAGAATGAAATGTTAGTTACAATGATTTTGTAACTTGTAACTAAGTGCTCAAGTTAGGTCTCCAATGATTTGATGCTTATTACGTCTCTTGTTCGCTGAGTACCGTGTTGTGTGTTGTTCACAATGCCCCCTGCCTGACGCCGGACAGGAGGAGGATCACCGCCGGCTGATGGAGGAGTCGGCGCGGCTGCAGCGCGCCTACGAAAAGTACTTTGACCTGATGCTGATCAACGAGGACCCGGACGAGACGTACCGGCGTGTGATGGAGGCGGTCATGGCGCTGGAGACGGAGCCCCAGTGGGTGCCCGTCACATGGGTGTACTGATACCGTGCACGCCGGGGTACAGAGCCGCAGTGTACTGAGGTACACACGGGGGATGGAGCACCAGTGTGTACTGAGGCCCTCGTCAGGGGACGGCTCACCAATCGCTCACCTCTGCTGGCGTGGAACATGGTATACACGGCAGCTAGACGGACTGGCTCTCCCGGTGTGGCAGCTGGTGAACTGAGGCTAACTGTGAGAGATCTAGAGAGAGGCGAGGAGAGTAACGCTTGGGTAGCTATTGTGTACAATCTGGTGGCGGCGTGTGATGATGGGCAGCTATCGAATCTCGAGCCTGTAAGGGTGCGACCCGCGCGGTGGTCAGCTCACGTTAAGTATTGTAGTGGCCCGGGCTCGAGGCCCGCGGCCTGGCGAGTGGACCAGTTTTGTGGTGAGATCGTGGAGGTACTTACCAGCGCCGTTCGGCGGGCCACAGTGGTCTGTCCGCCTGTATTAGGGCCTGACCGACCGGCAGCTATTGAAACAACGCATGATCTGAGAACTATTCGAACAAACTAGGCCGTAAGGCCCTTCTCGGTAACTATTCGAACAATGCTTGATCTGATGACTGTATTCGAAGGATGACTGTTATGATAATTGTTTTCGAAGGACGTCTGTTTTAAATCCTGTATTCGAAGGATGCCTGTTTTAATCCGTATTCGAAGGATGTTTGTTATAATCACTATTCGAGGCATATATGAGCTCTGATAGTTGTATCCGAAGAATGACTGATTGTATGACTGAGCTGTAACAGCGGCCAGCGGGTCCGATCTGCCGATTATGAGCGCGCACCACCGTTACCCTGTCACTGCCTGTCGCCGGCGCGTTCCGCGAGCTCCGGCGATCCGCGGCGGTAGCGCCGAGTCCTTGTTTGGGCGGTCCCCGTTTCGGTTGCCGCTCCGGGTGTAGGCCGGCTGGCTCCAGTCTCGCTGAGAGACGCGGGCTCAGCGGCTCCCCGGGGCGGCCGTTCAGTTCGTCAGCCGCCGCCCGGCTCGCCCCGCGCCGCGCTTCTCTTGTCTGCACTGTACGGCGGGGGCTGTCCACCACCGACAGTACTCACTGTCGGTCGGACTGCGACTGGGCCGCGTCGTGCCGCGACGTCGGTCCACCGTCGCCGCCGCCCGCCGCTTTTAGTTCGCAGTTACAATGATTTTGTCGCTGGATTATAGCCACGCTGAGGTCTGAGCGATGTGAGTCTGTCTGAGCTGGTGGTCAGTTGCGGCTAACGCTTCATGCCATGCCGTGTGTATGTGTGGACTGAGTGTGTAAGAGTCACTGAGCGCGCGGCTGGGCAGCCGCCCGTACGATGTCAGTTGTTAGCTGTTTAGGTATATACTGTATGCTATGGAGACGGATCGTTGCCTGACGCATATTGTCGCTATAAATCGGCACTCCAATCGACGAGCCGCCTCGGAGTTATACGCCTCTGAGTTTGTGTGTGTATGAGAGGGACAAATTCCGTGGCCCGTTTACCCGACCAGCTTGGCCGATTCACCTCACGCGCTTACGTTATAAACTGGGCGAGTACGCGCGTCGTCCCGCGACTTTTGCGTATCGAAGTTGCTTGATTGGTTTGGTGTTCAATGCCCCAGCACAGTATGACCACAAATCACATAGTGCGTTAGATTATATTGCATTCCACATTCATTTCCGTAACAAAATCTCCCCCCTGGCGATGCCCCGCCCCTTAACTGAGAAGTCGGCCGTGCGCGTCACACGCCGATCACTGCCGGCCGGCCCGGTACCCCCGCGGCGCCACCGTCCGATCACAGCGACACGTACTGTCTCAGCTGCTGAGCCGTCTCCACATCTACCTCTGCTACCAGCTCCTGGTAGCGGCGCTCCCCGACTGAGGCGAGGAGCTCGGACAGCCGCGCCTGCAGCACCTCCTTCAGCGACTGGGAACGGAATGGGGGAGAGACAGCGGGGGTTAGTGGAGGGAGCACTCGCACACACAACAAAGCAACTCTTTCAGCGACTAGACGTAGTGGGGACGGGCGGTTAGTGGATGGTTAACACCCACACACCACCGACAGATCGCACACTCCCGACAGACCAGCCTACCAGACAGTGGGAACACCGCTGGTTGGTGGACGGGAAAAACCAACAGACCATCGACAGACTACCCTACCAAGCAGACTGCATCCCCTCACACCATTACATCGACGACCGACCACACTACCTTCCCCCTTCCCTCCCCCCCCCCCCCCTAGACCACCACATCAACGATGAACGCATACCAATGAATGACCATATTGACTAACAAATGACCGACCGCACTCGTGGCCTCCCCCGCTCCTCCGCAATGTCCCCGCTCCTCGACACCAACGCGTCGACAATGTCAACAAACGGTGCCAGTCCTGACCCACAGCACGCTACGCTAAGGAAGTGCCTGGAGGCGACGCACAGGATGTGAACAAAATTCTTCGAGTCATATGTAATGAACCAACGGAGGTCCATGATTCCAGGTGCTGTAGACATGAGGTATCTGTACTTTTTAGATATTCGGGGATGATAAATGGAGAAGCGATGGGACAAAAACACGCGATTACCGTAGGCGGCAAAACTAATGGGACACCAGCTGATCAAATATGCAGTACGCAACGCGAAGAATCGACGTTGAGCGACATAGGACCCGGTTGCCGTAAATCATATTTAGGTAGCCCGAATGTCGACAATTGACCTGTCAATAGACGGGGTCGGTGGACCGTACCGTACCTGTCTGTGGACGGGGTCGGTGGACAGGTGTACCATACCTGTCTGCGGACGGGTCTTTGTTACAGGGTCGGTGGATAGTTCCGTGTACCATACCTGTCGGTGGACGGGATCTGTCGCCGTCAGCGCGCGCCGCCGCGCGTCGTGCGCCGTCTCGTACTCTGGCTCGGCGTCGTCAGCCAGCTGCTCAGGCCCGCTGACCACCAGTGAGTCGGCGCCGTCGTCGGGCCGCGCCACGTCGTGCAGCGTCTCCACCACGTTCAGCAGCAGCGGGTTGAAGTGCTGGGTGACGGGCGCAGAGCCGGCCGGCAGCAGCGAGCACAGCGCCAGCGCCAGCAGCTTCCGCCGCTCCACGGGCGTTACCAGCGCCATCTTGTCCAGCCACACCTCCAGCAGTCTGAGACGGGGCACATCGGCTACAGTTAGGTTATGTCAGGGCACATCGCCACCCGGCAGCTCAGGTCGCAGGACAGGCCACTCTTTTCATAGGACATCCCCAAGCATTCCTGCACTCTTCCCCTCGTGATGCTTTCATTTCAGGCCCTCTATCCCATGCGAAACTTTCTGTCTGCTGAGAATTATGTCTAAGCCCGAGACCCTGCGGCCTGCACTTATTCCCTCCTTACCTTTCCCTGAAGCCCCCCTGTCGGCTGGGGTGACACAGGGTCCCCACAGTGTACACTGTCTGCTGTCCTCCCTAATCGGACCCACCTGTTGAAGACGTCCGCCTCCGTACATGACCGCTCGGCGGCCTCTGCAGCCAGCAGCTGGGAGAGCACGGTCGGCGCCACGAGCAGCAGGCGCGCCAGCAGGCTGAGGTGCATCGACATGACCATGGGGAACGCCTGGCCGGCGTGCACCGCCTCCACGGTGAACGGCAGCAGCGGCGAGAACAGGCGGACCGCTGACGGAGGAGGGGGGAGACGTCAGTACTGATGTACAGTCTGTCTTAAAAGTACCGCGCAAAGTGACGGTGGATCCATCAAGCCTGACCGAGGCAGGGCCTGCTATAATTTGAAAGTCACCGAACCAATTGACCTGGGGAAGGGACGAGGATGTCCATTGCTTCGGTGACTCAAATTTAGCAGTCCTTCATCAGTCAGGCTTGATGGATCCACCGTCACTTTGCGCGATACTTTTAAGACAGACTGTACATGGTGCAGTGAACGTGATAATGTGGGCAACACCACCGCAGTACAGCTGAAAGTCGTGAAAACACAAAGGCGATACTTTTAACATGGCGAACAGAAGGAAGGCATAAACTAAAGGGAGCTGGTTGACGATGTGAGGAATGGCTTCTCTCGTTCGATGATATATGGAATCCTTACGGCATGCCAAATTGTTCAAAATTTAAAGGTCGCTTAGTTTACAAAGGCAATTTTCATTTAGGTTAATGCTGTTATGCGTGAGATAAAAAGAGACGGTCGGCATACAGGGTGCGAGGAGGTGAAAGTTTCTCCAAAGTACCACAGGACACATCCGTCAGCGTATTCCCCAGCACTCCTCTCTGCCTCCTTACCGGTCTCCGGTGCGGCGCGCAGTGCGCTCTCCACCAGTCTCAGCACCATCACCTCCCCCTCCGGCTTCATCTCTGGCAGCAGCGAGCGGCAGGCAGCGGCCAGCGCGGCGCCGTGCCGCGCCAGGAACGGCTCCGGCGACAGCAGCAGGTACGCCTGACTGATACCGAACGCCGTCTGCAGGGTCTCCGTGCCGAGCTCGAACAGCGGCAGCAGCTGACCGTACAGCTGGAAGGAGAGAGACAGCATGTGGCGTCAGAGAGGAGTGATACACTCGACATTTTGAGTTGACCTACGTGCGAGAAGTTCGACCGTAGGAACTTCGTAAGCATCCTTTTACAACACCGACTCACAAGAAGTGATCAAAAATCGGTCCACTCCACATCCACCTACCACGGTCACGTGGTTACTACGGCCATTCCCAATTGCTCACAGCGGACTGACGATGTGACAGCTGCAGCTGACCAGTGGGCGCGCGTCCCTCTCCGCGATGTGGCAGACATTACCAGCAGCTTGGCCGGACCGGCCACCCACCTCTATAAAGTCGGGGTGCATCTGCGGAGCGTTCTCGACAGCGGCCTGCCACAGCGCTAGCCCGTCCTCCATCAGGTAGACGTGCGCGTCCGAGGTGAGGTCGGTACTGAGAGCGATCACCGGCGTCAGCAGGCCGTACAGACGGACACTGTCCGGACCCAGACCCTGGGGGGCGCAGAGCGAGCGGTGGTAAACACAGGGGACCATATAGCGACCACCTAACGAAGCGTTGCTGGGGACCACATAGCGGACCATACAATATATCGCCAGACAGAGCGGTAGGGGAGAGAGTTTCACCGCACCAGGCCCCCTGCCACACAAACGAGCAGAAGTCACGTTCGACATTTCGCGCCCCAAAATCTGTCCTCCGACGCTCAAACATGCATTAACCCGCGCCCCACTGGGGGGGGGGGCTATTTATAGCCCCCTCCTGTTTTTCTGCAATAACTTCCAAACCACTTGACGTATCGACGTCAAACTTTCAGTACCTTCGGCTGCATCAGTTTGACACCTTGTGGCAAAATTTGAACTTCGTACCTACCATAGGTCGGCCGGAAATGACGTCAGAGTGACGTCATGTTCGGCCGATTTCGACGCAAAACATTGAACCACGGCAATCGCTCCCAAGAGCTCAGTTTTTAAGCTAGATCCAATTTCTTTGCATGAGAGGACTCAGAATAGACTGCGCTATCAAACTGCTATCGCGGATTTTCGAAATTTTGAAAATTTCGAAAATTTTATATAATAAAATTCAAAATTTATATTTTTACATTTTTTCAAAACATTTTGACTTTTCAAAAAAAAAAAACGGAATATATGTGATAGAACGCATTATTATGACTAACTCTAGCAAGTTTTAGCTAAATATCTTCAAAAATGGCCAAGTTATACGCATTATTGCAAAAAAAAATTAACAATTATTAATTTTTCAAATCAATTTTTCAGCACGAATTTGACATCGTACGCCAATATAAATAGCAACATCGTGTTCCTGAGCTCAAACTGCATCCAATAGACACCTTTTTTGTTGAAAAATTTTAACTTAAAAATTTGATCTTTTTGACCTGAAAGTGACCTGACCTAAGCTAAATTTGACTCAAAATGACCTCGAATGACACAAACGACGTCAAATTCGAAATGTTTGGCCTAAATGGACCATAAACATGTGTCACGTGACCGACGGATGATATAATATTTTCGTGACCTGTGATGACCTGACCTTGACCTGAAAATCAAAGTACAAGTTTGGTACCCTCAGAGTATCTAGAGCATCTGTTCACGAGTGTGTGAACCAAAAATGAGCCTGATCTGACTTGTAAGACGGCGGCCAGAGCCCAAAACGTGAAGAAGCCAAAATGCTAATAATTTTTACTTTGACCTGACCTGTGACGTCATCGGTGACATCGAGGTCAATGAAATTAGGTTTCTCTCGACAGTTTTTCCGGGGCTATCAGACGCCGTTTGAATTTTGACGATCGGCCCAGTAGTTTCGGAGTTAGGAGGGGGGGGGGCTATGAATAGCCCCCCCCCCCCCCCAGTAGGGCGTGTTATACGCAGACCCCAGTGGGGCGCGGGTTAATTTCACACGAATACACAGCTTTGCGTGTTTCACGGGTTAAACACACCGTTTCCACCAGCCATGTCTAATGAATTTGTATTGACTCAGCCAAAAACCGCAAAGCAAATGGCGACCTTCGAATCATACCGTAAAGCCTGTATCAGGTTGGTCAATAAGTCCCTAATGATGCTAATGAAACTGAAATGGGTCATGGTACCCCTATTTGAGTTGTGACGATATTCCAAAAAACACTGGTGACTACCCGTAGACATTTGCGATTGCTAGAAATAGCCTCCGGCGTGGTCAATATCAATTCCAGTCGCGTCCAATCATGTCTGAGCGACGCCCAGTCTGACGCAAATGTGCTCCACCCGGGACCAATAACGCGCCGCAGACGTATTACGGGGGCATGAAAAAACCCATTCTGCTTCGCCGATATTACAGCGGCCCATAACATTGCATAAATGACAGTGCCTCTGGCCGTGTATGATGAGTGTCAATGTTGTTATGAATAAATTAATTGCGGCACAGCCCAATGAGAATACCAACCAATATATCCCCTAGCAATCGATTGTATAGACTGTGCAATATTTGGTTGCGTCACAATCGATAGCTGCATTCCAGGAATTGAAATGTTAAACTCCCCGCTGAGAACAGCTGAGGGGACGCAGCGGCACACCTCAGAGCAGAGCCCATCTGGAGCGCCGTCCGTGGATCCCGCTTTAGACACGCAGTCCCAGCGAGACTCGAGCCTCCAGCATCCGAGCTGTACCGCCACTGACCGCCTCACCTGCACCAGATGGATCAGCGTCGAGAGGATGACCACGCGCAGCATGTTGTGAGCCGCCGAGTCGTTCCACAGCGAGGGCAGGTACGAGATGAGCTCGTCACAGTACGGCCGGATCCCCGAGTCCAGTCGGTCGATCACAAACGAGAGCACGTTTAGTACCTGGGGCAGAGAGATAGAGGAGGGGCTGGGTTAGAGGGGAGGGAGCAGGGGTGGGTCAGGGGGCGTATGGTCAGAGGGGACAGAGTGTAGTGAGTTAGAGGGACGAGCGGCAGATGGATCGGCACGGGTCAAAGAGTGAAGGAGACGAGGGAACAAGAATGACAGCGAAGGGAGGCGGTGGGCGCCGATGACCTCTGAAGGTCGGACGCCCTGAAATTACACAATCATCATCATCATCAGCAGCAGCAGCAGCATCATCGAAGAGGGGCGGACAGGCCGCTAGAGGGTCGGGCAGTGTGTGATCAACTGGGTCGACGGAAACCAGCAGTCAGCCATAGGATCAGACAGCCGCTACCTCCGCCCACCTGCATTTTGGTGTCGCACTCGTGCGCCTCCTGAAGCAGCCGGAACAGCTGTCCAAAACAGACCGGTAGGAACGGCATAAACGTCTCCGGACAGAACTCGAAGTCGTCCACGGCGTCCTTGAGGGTCTGCGCGGCGGCCAGGCGCACCACCAGGTCTTCCTCGTGCTGCAGCAGCTCCGTCACCGCACTGCCCAGGTCAGCGCGCAGGTCAGTCGGCGCTCATACCGCAGGTCACCGCGCAGGTCAGGGGTCATACCGAACGGTAGTCACTGGTCAGTATGGATTACGGAGCTGTCGTGCTGATGCTAGGGTAATTAAAAATTGCGTAGCTATTACAATGCGTCAAGAGACAGATACGTTATCAAGTATGAGCATTTTTAACGAAAGCCTGAAATTTCCCTGTATTTTGTACCTTCCGGTTCACTTGATAATTCGGTCATTCTAAAATATGATCATATCATAGTAAAACCTGAGTTACGGCTAACATTATGTTTATGCACCATCCTCAAAACAGCATACGATAAGTCACCATCAGAAGGGCGTTTCCCTTCTGATGGTCTGATTGTCTCTGTTTACGCACCTGTAGACCTGCGGCCGGAGGCTGGCCGACAGTTTGACGCCCACCCAGCGGCCGATGAGCCAGATGACGCGGCGCCGCACCACGCGGTAGTTGGGCTCGCGGATGGTCAGCTCCTGCAGCAGACCCGACTGCAGCCAGCCGTCAAAGTCCACCTCGTCGTACAGATCCCAGGCGGCCATTCCCACCGCGCTGTAGACGGCCTCGCGCGCCAGCGCCTGCGCCAGCTCCGGCGACGGCGGCGTGGCCAGCGTGCGGCGCAGCATGTCGAGCAACACGGGCGCCAGCTGCGCCTGGAACTGGCGGAACAGCGCCACGAACAGACACTGCGTGCACGGCCGCAGCGAGAAGCGCCACGCCTCGCCGCCCTCCTCGCCGACAAAGCCCTCCGGGTCGGCGTCCCAGGCGGCCAGGTCGTCCGAAGTCAGCGGGAAAAACTCGGTCACCAGGTGGCGGCACATCTGCTCCAGAGGCTGGCTGCCGAAAAACGCCATCTTGATGCGGTGCGCCTCCAGCGTCTCGGGTTCGCGCGGCGTGCCGTCATCCTTGGGCGGCCGGTACTCGTGACAGAGGAGGATGGCTTTAATCAGGTTCAGGCAGCCGACGGTGAACCTCTCAAAGAGCAGTCCGGCGCCGCGCTCAGTGAACACGTGCACGGCGCAAAACTCCAGCGTCGGCTGGATCAGCGGCACGAACGAGATCGGGTGCGTCTCGAGGGTGTCGGCCAGCACCTTGGTGTGCAGCACGGCGTACTTTTCGGCCAGCGTCGGCGACTGTCCGGCGTCTGCCAGCGCTCGGCGCAGCTCCAGCGCCTGCCTACACCGCTCAAACAGCGCCGTGAGCAGCGTCTGGGCGTCGGCCGACTCGTGCGGCCGCCGGCAGCCGTGCACCGTCAGCCGGCGGAGCGTCTTCAGCGCCAGCCGGGCGCGCTCCAGGTGCAGGCGCGCGTCCGCCGGCGCCGCCAGCGCCGCAGCGTGCAGCTGCTGCCAGGCGGCCAGCAGCGGCGGCAGCAGCGCCGACGTCAGCTCTTGGAACACGCGCCGGTCGGCCGTCAGACGCTTGGAGGCGAGCGTCTTCACCACGTGATGGAGGGTGAGCAGCGCGCGGTGAGAGGGCAGCGGCTCGTCGGCGCGCGCCGCCGTCACCAGACTGGGCAGCAGCTCGGGCCACTCGCGCGGGCAGTCGAACCGCGCCACGCGAGCGATCAGCACCGCAACCTGAGTCGCCACCTGCGGACGGACGGCGTGGGATCAGAGACGGCTGCCGAAGGCGCACCTCTCGCTCCTAGGACAGATGTGAAGGTAGGCGACAGTATGCATACACATTGCAATGGCTATAAAATAAAAGAATCTTACATAATGGTTATAAAATATAACGATGCGAGAGAAATGTAAATAATTGCATGAAAGACACGCCGCATTCCTCTGCGACTATTGCACTTCTTTGGGTGTTTTTTCGAGTATCCGTATTCCATCTGAGCTATAGAAAAGCGTGCTGATGTCTGACTCAACGACAACGACCGGTCGATTCTCTTCATGTTGGTTCTCTTCATGTCTTCAGGTTGGTCATGCTGCCCTACTCCTGTGTTTTAGCGCCGGACTTGACCGCCTCCGCGGCCGTACCCACCTGATTGACCGGCTCATTCAGACAGTTGAGCAGCCTGGTCCGTATCTCGGGCCGCTCCGTCTCCGGGATGCAGTTCCGCGCTGTTTTCCGCCAGTAGAGGTCCACGCCGTTCTTGAAGTAGAGCACGGCCATCCACCGGACGTTGACGGGTACGCTCTGGTCGGCGGCCAGTCGCAGCAGCACCGTGTAGAAGCCCGGCTGCGTCTCCCACTGGCGGAGCTGCGCCTCGGCCGGCTTCAGTTCGGCGGCCGACTGGCTAGCGGCGGCCGTCAGCGCGCGCAGCACCGCCGACAGCTCCGCCTCCAGCGCCATCGCCCGCTGAAATACAGGCCAAAGTGATTTGCTACAAGCAAGTGAGTCTTTTTCAGTACAACTGAAATATATGAGCTTGAGAGGCCCATCCCGGACAGTAATGCTTTAGAGAGGCTTATGGCTCAGCAAACATGGGGCCGATTGGCCTGCAGTCTTTTTTAATTGGGTAGCCCTATTCCTCTGCCACTTTATTGATTGGCTTCTCTCAATGAATCTGGGTGACCATTCCAATGACCATCATGGCTGTGCCACATGTCAAAGGACAAAAGTCAAGGGTAACAGAGTTGTTCTGCTGAAGTAGCACTTGTCTCTTTTGAGAGGTTTATATCTTAATAGCTGATGGGCCCTGGCCATTGGCCAACTGACTTGCGCCCTTTTTTAGTATCATATGAGTACTGCAAGGGCCTTGAATTAATTTGTCATAGCCATGGTCTTTTTGTATTATCTGTATGTATGTGCCTGGCACACACATCTTAACTATGTTTTGATATTTTCCAATATAACTTTGACCAAAACTTACTACTTAGTGCGTCAAAGGTCCATCCTCATGTTGCCTAGTAGATGAGGAATTGTCTCATAACTTGGATCAGGATGCAGCCAGTTTGCAGCCTGGAAACTCCTTATGCCTTTGATTGAAATTATCACCTTGAACTGGGCATGGGTACCTAAAGATGGCGGCTTGCGCAATGTCTGCCTTACCAATACTGGTAAGGTCAGGTGGTGGGTCCGTCATCTGTGATGTCATTCACAGCAGCCAAGCACTGCTCAACATGGTAACTGGGCCCAAGGCCACCCACCCATTCATCCATTCAGACTTAAATTCAAACATAAAACCTACTCATAATCGCTGATGTTGGATCAAGACTCCAGTTGGGGAAACTACGAGGCGAATGTAAAAAATGGATTGGTCAATAAATGGACTTTTGATGACCATATATGGGCATAAATGCAGCCCCCGCTACTAAGGGTGAAAAAACGGTATAACAAGCCAGTAATTGCGGTATCGCGTCCACTTATTGGAGAGAAAAGGCTTCCATTTTTCACTAGGAATTAGTGTGATTTAATTAAATTCGGCGAATGGACTCGAAAATGGCGATAGGAAAACGGCTTTTCTGCAGGTTCTAGGCATCACAATCAGCTGGCCATTCAATAAATGGATTGGTTTTATGAAAGAAAACTGTTTAAAGATTTAATTTAATTACAATAAACAAAAATATTTAATTCTAAAATAATAACTTAACTACAATTAGAAAAACCATAAACAAAATACCTAATAAAAATAATGACATTTTTAAACCACGGTACTGCTTACATTTTTTGGCGCGTCTATTTCAATCGGCCATATTTGCCAATCATGGTTTGACCTTGCGTTGTAACTCTGCGATTTAGAGCCGCCAGTTAATTATGCACCGGATGAGTGTAGGCCTTGTGTGGTTAAAAAACATTCTTATGCCTTATTTTTTCATTTGAATGCTAAAATTCATTGAAAAGATGAAGTTGTCTGATTTTATGACCATATATGGTCATCGCCCCGCCCACTCCAGCCGCTGATTGGCTAATCCAATTTTTGTTTGGCTCCTCGTAGTTTCCCCAACTGACTCTGACTACCTACCATACAAATTCTTCATTAGACAAATGACAATAGTAAAAGGCTTACCCTTCAGCTCCAACTAGTGCACAGACTTCCCTTGTTCCTTTTTTACACAGCTCCCTTGTAGAAATTGAACTAAATGCTAATAATACCGCGTAAGTGGTTGTAAATGCTTGGTAAACGGTAAATTGCTAAATTGGAGACGCCTCGCCGCAAAAACATAGACAGTTATGAAGGAGCACAGACATTTTCTGATCATTACACCTGCTCATGAGCAGCATTGATAGGTGAGGGAATAATAGCCAATCACAAACCGCTGGTGCATGATGCTGATTGGTCCAAAGCCTGTTGCGTAATGAATGTGTTCTTTTCGCAAACATTCAAAGAGGTCATAGATGTCACTATTTCACTGTCAATACTGTAATCACCCTAGAATTGAGGTACTCCTTTTTCAATCGAAAGTAAAAGGCGTAGATCGATTTGCAGTACGCAATTTAAATAGGAATTTGTAATATCATGATTGGTGGTCTCAGCCCTCAGGTAATTTGAGTGGCCTTAGGTCAGCTCCACATTGTTGCCATTGCAGCTCAGTAACGAAGGCCGATGGAAACAAGCACGGTGACTATAAAAAACAAGTACTGCTATCCGATCCATCGTAAGCGATTTCATGACCCTCATCGAGAATCTTATTTTAGCATTATCCCTATGCCCTATGTAATAGTCATGGATATGATATCCTTTGGGTTTGGTTGCCTGAAATAAGCTGTAAGAGCCCTACCAATAAATTTCGAAAAGCGACCCCTTACGCTACGCCCTCAGGTGAGTTGACCGTGAGGTGAGTCTCAACCTCGTTACCTCGTCACCAAGGTGACGAGACCTTGGTCGGAGACCTACAGAGGTCACAGGCAGAAGGAATAGGTAGACATCTATAGAGGTAGACATCAGCGCCATTGATCGGTGACACGTGCTACTTAGCGTCGTAACTGATAGGTTTCTATTGATATTTAGGTATTCGTTGTGCTACTTGTTCATTTACTCTTGGCCAGTAGAAGAATGGAAGCCGGAGCCCGGAAGGCACACCTTGGGATACACCGGGTGTATGTTTAGGTCCTAAACATTTATAAATGAGTCAGGCCAGTTTTTAAACGTTGCAGATCATCGGTGCCCGCCGCCCAGACGCAGACGGGCCGGACCGAGCGGTCGCCGACCGATGCTCGCCACGGCTCCGGTTCGCCTCGGTCCAGCGCGGGCGGTGTGGGCGAGGCGGGGCGCTCTCTCACCTGTCGGGCCGGTGCCGGTGGGCTGCCCGGGCGTCCCGCGTCAGTGTGCCGGCGGCCCGCGAGGCGTGATGACTCCGCTCCGGTCGGCGTCGCTGCTGCTGCTGATCACTGCAGTCTGGCTGGGCCCGGCCCGAGCCGACCTCGCCGGCACAGGTCAGTGGAGAGGGACTCCGGATAGTGGACATTTGACAAATGAGCACTCGTGTTTGTTTATTCGTTCCTAAAGCCGCTTTGCTGGCGCTCTAAATAATGCTCCAGTAATGTCGGTACATGTATACGTGTAGACTGTAGGTATATACTACCTATCGCATTTCCCTCAGTTGCACCATTCGAAGGCTGTGCCATTGTGCCGAGAAGAGCGATGGTAGGTAGCAATCGCTTGTCCCTAGTCTGACCACTATGTAAAGAGGCCTGCTCATTCCTGGGGGCCTCCAGCACGTGTTGCTCCTCTCCGCCCCAGGTATCCGTGACGTGAGATCCGGGCCGCGGCGGCTCTGCCGTCCGCATCCGTATCCGTAGGTGACCTCGGACTTTCCAGAGACGGGGCCGTCGAGCGGCGACCGGCGAGGCGGCCGACCGCACGCGGTTTCCCAGCAATCAGAGCAAACGGCTACACCGCACCTGCTGTTAAGTGACGTGTTGCAACTCCAGTTGGAAAGGGAGCAATTTCTTGGAATGTCGCTTTTGACCGGGTACTTCATACCGCAGAGCTGGGTTCGCGATGTACCATCAACACTTTCGTTTTGCTTTTTACTTCCGCTATCAAAGCATGAGTCATGATCTTTTGGTTCAATTCTCATGTTTTCTTATGGGGCGTCATACCCATGTGAGGTCTGGTGACGGTAGCGAGACTTATAGCATCATGAATACCAACCGGGCGACTATCGAATGAGGAACACCTCATGGGTCTTGTTTGGCTGTTTGCTCTTCATGACCTTGTGCTTCTGCCCACACGTCTTCGTGGAAGCCAACGAGCGGCTGAGGGCCACAGTCTCGCGGGGCCCACCTTTTTCCCCACCGTGGGCGAGCGACAAGCACCGCCATTTTGGGGTGACGCATCACAATGACGCCGTCTCGCCGAGACAATTATAAACCTACACACCGCCTCCCCGCGGCGGCGACACTCCCACACCGCTTCCTCCAGTCAGCGCCGCCGTCCGAGACCCGTGTCTCTCGTGAGCGCCGGCTCGTCTTAGCGTAACGTTTCCGTGCGAGTGCTCAGGTCGGCTAGACTGCGCTGCGCCGCTCTGCTGAATTACAGTCGGGAGGAGGATAGCTGTGTGACACATATTGCTCTTCAAAGTCATTCTGCTCTTCTCGAGCCCGCCTGAATGATGCATCAAGCGTAATAAAACCGGGGGAATAAAGTTAAAACGGTACTGATCCACACGGCTATCGTAGTTATAACTGGAACCGGCACGCTTTAGTGTCATCAGTATTACTATATAAGTTACTAGCCAGTAGCCACCATTCTCAGTGCGGCTGTCTATGTTTCAGGCGGTCTGGGTCCGGACCGCTACTGCCTCTCCTGTCTGTGTACGGCCGCCACCGGCTGTGACGTCAGCACGGGCTGCCTGCCGGACGGCGGCGGCGATATCTGCGGCCCGTTCTACATGTCCGAGCCGTACTGGCGGGACGCCCACCCGCGGCTCTCCGCGCCCTTCTCCGGTCACGGTGAGCGGCGAACAGCCAGCGGCACTAGCTCAACTGATGCTAACGGCCCTGTAACACCTTACACCGTCCCCGGCTCGCCAATCGTTCCGATATGCCACTATCGATATTTTATCACGTCAGGTGTCGTGTTTTATCACGATTCAACCTGTTCATCAATATAAAAGTTAACTCCACTTCTTGATCCGGTTGCTCATGAGGCAGGCGCCGCTGATCGGACAATCAGGGGCGTAGCCAGGATTTCCTCCAGTAGGGGGCCAAACTTACAGGGGCCGAAGGTAAACCCCCTCAAAATCCAAAAAGTCATCGGATTTCATCCACTATTTTTTGGAGGGGGCCAAAATAATGTGCCCCTTACCGTACTTATGACACCGCGATGGGGGCCCTTTTGGGCTCCAGGGGGGGGCATGGCCCCTATGCCCCCCCTTGGCTACGCCCCTGCGGACAATATCGTAATGTTCCAGCGCCGGCGCCCTGTGCACAGTCATCTCAGTTGACCAGCGCTCTGCCCCCAGGGTTTCGCCAATGTGCCTCGGACGTCGAGTGTGCCGGCGAGGCGGTCTCTTCATACATGCAGCGCTTCAGTCGGGTACGTGCGGCTGGAAACACAGTCTGAAACACTCGAATGCAGTTGGAGTAATTAGAAGGAGCAATGCATGCGAGCGTAGTGAGGTCCAACTGCGCAAACCAGAGCAGTGCAGGTGGGCACGCGTTCCGGATATTAGTCGAGGCATCAAGTATCACATATCACACCTGGTGTTACACGAGACCTTCGGGAGTCGTATTACAGCGTGGCGGCGGCCAATGCCACCCACGCCGAGACGGTCATATGTGGCAGTCACGTGGTTCTCAACGTGAACATTGCGATTCGGGACCACTTGCCAACGAAGGACGGGTCCAGCGGTAACGTAGTCGGTGATAGGTATTTCGTCATTGACGAGAATGGGGACCAAGGGGGACCAGGACCTCTACATGGGGCGCCGTCCTTGTCGCTGGTAGGGGTGACACTTATTTAATGCAACAGACACTAGCTAATGCATCCACTTTCGGAATGGAATGTGCACCCTCTGGTAAAATGTGAACGCCCTGGTGTTTTACCCGCAGGACTGTGACGGAGACGGTCGGGTGACCTGTAAGGACTTTGGTCTGATGCACTTCATGGGCTACGCGGCATGCGGCCGCCCCAGTCAGGTGTCTGCCGGCCTTCAGAGCACCTTCTACAAGGAGTTTATCGGCTGCGCCACGCGGCTGGCCGGACTACTGGAGAAGGAACAGTACCGCCCACCACCCGGCCACGCCCCCATGGTGTGACCACGCCCACTTGCCGGCCACGTTCCCATGGTGTGACCACACGTGGTCCGACCACACGCCCCGCTACCGCTGGGCCTGTGCAGCTGCCGGAGGGAGCCGGCCGCCTTCGACCTGGTCAGGTCAGTCGAGTCAATGAAACAGCCGCGTCTGGAGGCGCCTAAGTGAGCCTTTGCCGAGACCGCCGAGTTCTGGATCCTAAGTGAGCAGGGAGAGGGCAGACCATTCCGCGCTGTGTATTGGGCTGTTCGCGTTTTTAAAACGCATTTTTCACAGACTATTTTTCTTATAACTTGTATGCCTACATGTTTGTACAAAAAAGATGAGATATCAGATACGAATGCGACTTAAAATATAATCCTGACGGATGTAAGAACAGTCACGCTGATTTTTAATGGATGATGTCTATCGCACAAAGCATTTTGATGAACTATACTTGAATATTGTGAGAGCATACTATTCAGAATAAACTGCATTTTGGACTTGATGTTAAGTTGATAAGTGCATTCCCGATTCAGATAAGAAATCGGTAACGGCAAAATCAGCGACTAAGGAAGCGGAGAAAACAACTCGGCGTAAAAAGTATACCTAGATAACGGACTGCCCAGTTAAACAGCGTCAGAAAAATGGCGAGCATAAATGCGTCACGTCGCGAGTTGAAGATTCCCACGACCCACGAACAAGCAATCAGGGCCGGCCGAGCCCATCCCTACACAGCGGCCAATGAAATCCGTGTGTATTCTGCACAACGCGTCAACGGCCACACTGAACAATATGAAAATGTTGGCGCCCCCGACCGGACGCACTAACACCGCCTGGCGGCGAGTGACTACCAACGGGCACGGTCTGACCCGTGTCAGCGGCCCTCCCGCCGTCCCGGTCACGGGAACCGGCTCCCGTGGCCCGCCGTACGACCTACAGTGACCGGCGTACCGACACGCCGTCGACACACACACAATGAGCAACCAGTGCCGCCCTCTGCCGGCGCACAGCTCAGCGCGCACCGCGGACCGGCGACCCTGCCAGCGGCACACGAACCGGCACCCCCAGCAGCTGCAATATCAGCTGCAATATCAGCAGCAGCAGCTGCAATACCGGCTGCAACAGCTGCAATACCGGCTGTAACAGCTGCAATATCGGCCATACGATCAGCAAATTCACAATCTGAGCTTCAGCGCTTAACTTCCATTCAACTCCACTTACAGCTGACTGCTTAATAAGCTATTTGCACTACCTCATATATAAATATTCCGTCCGGCTTTGAATCTGCCCAGGCGTCGTCTCTGGCATTCTGAGATTTCATCACTCGATGACAACAGTTCACCAATTTCCTGGCCTTTGTGCCTGCTATCATACATTTCATTGGAACGGAGTAAAGTACAAACCATTGAACCGTGCAACTGCAAAAAGCAGCCGTGGGGCCCGTACGTACGAGTGATGCAGAATGCAGATATAAGCTGATTTGCCCAATTTTCATTTGGAGAATAAAAGAAAATTGAAGCAGAAAACCCTGCTTAGGGGTTTTCCAAACTTACCCTTGACTGATATCGTCCGTCGGTCGCGCCCGCTGCGGCGACTGGAGACCCGAGCCGCGGAGAGGCTGATATGATCGTCACACTGCACAATTAGCACCATGTGGGATGGGACGCGCCCTTCACGTACCCTGCGCGCGGCGCCCGCCCCCTGCCGCCGCCCGACAGACTAGCATGCTCTCAGCGCACTGGGCGGGGCGGCGCCACCACTGCCGTACATCAGCGGGACACTGCCGCCGGCACCGCGCCCCCACGGCACAGCCGGCGCCCGCAGCGCCCCGCTGCCCGCTCCACCGGAGCGCCCGCGGGCGTGAGATCGGAGCCCAGCGCTCGCGCGGCGCCCGCTCAGGCCTCGCGCTGCTCCTCGACTCTCACCCTCCGGGCCGCCTGCAGCAGCTCCTGTTTGTGAGGCACGCCGCTGGCCGCGTGGTGGGAGCCGGGCGCCGACCCCGGCGGGGGCGGCGGCGGCGGCGGCGGCCGGCCCGGCGACAGCGTCTCGCAGCCCGGCTCCGTGGCCACGATCTCCGGCGAGCCTGCGGTCGGACAGACGGGCTCAGTGGGAGCAGCGGAGGGGCGGATAAAACAGATACGTCCGGCACACATCGAGCTTAGGTGACAGGCAGGGTGCCCACACTGCCCACTTCTCAGGAAATTTGTAATTTGAACACCAATAAACCTCAGTGTACGTCGAAACTATGGGATCGGTTTCAAACAAGTGTCAAGTTACAATATCATGCACATAGAAACCTGGAAAAGTTTACTGCCGGTACTGTGTTGAAACAGGCGATGTGTTGCAATCTTTTATCTTGCGGTTCCCATTAAGGCTCACTTACCCACGAGCCGCTGGGGGGGGGGGCATAAAGTTGCCCCCCCTTTACGTTTGGTGTAATATCTCCGAAACCGGATAAGATACGCAGCTGAAACTTGGCATAGCTTCAAAGGAATACCTAGCGCATATTTGAGGAAAGTTTGGTGGTTGTAGCTCTTAAGATGACGTCACAGTGACGTAATAAAGTTTGTCGTTTTCCAATACGGAGCGTTTCCGATGTCGCTGAGCATGAAACGCGGCGGTAAATGAAGCAAACAGCACCTGCTGTCATTCTGACACGTCTAAGTACACTGTTAACTATATCCAGACCAGTTATCGGTCCTATATTCTCGGTCTCATATGTCGGATATATCGTGAGGAAACTAAGGGACGCCAATCTACGATTGGGCTTCTGACGTCACTGTGACGTCATTTCAAATGGGATCGACACCAAATTTGGACACAACCTCGGCTAGGTATTCAGGAATACGTGTGCAAAGTTTCGTTTCTCTATCTCTTCGCGTTGCGACGATATCGTCGGAAAAGTAAAGGGGGGGCAACTATATGCCCCCCCCCCCCCAGCGGCTGGCGGGTGGCGCGGAGGCCCAGCGGCCGCCGGGTTAATTTGGTGCATCCTGCATTAAGTGTATTCCGGCCCTGTTCCGTGACAAGTACCGAAAAGAACCCGGCGCGACGCAGCGGGACGGGGCTCACCCATCAGCTCTCCTTTGTGGCCCTTGTATCCGAGCAGCCGCGAGTAGATCTGACGCATCCGCTCCACGTTGATCCGACTGGCGTCTGTGTGACACACTATCGGCAGCGGGTAGTCCTCGCCTGCCGGGGGACAGGGGGAGAGGGTCAGTTTAGTACATAACACACCATCGGCAGCGGGTAGTCCTCGCCTGACGGGACGGGGGAGGGGGGGGGGGACAGGGGAGGGGAGGTGTCAGTCTAGTTATACATAACACACCATCGGCAGCGGGTAGTCCTCGCCTGCCGGGGGACGGAGGGGGGGTGTCAATGGGTGTTCCTGACCTAGTGAGACAGGTTAGCGGGTATTTTCCCTCGCCTAATGGGACAGGAGGGATGGTACTGGGTTTCTAGCGAACCGAATGGAAGCAACCGAGGGGGATCGTTGAGATGAGATGGAGGAATAATTACAACATAATCATTCCAAGAACTGTAGTAAACCACACCGATACTTACCGACAATACACTTGGCCGCCTTCTGGACGCTCTTGGGCGCCAGCCACGGCTCGTGGATGTAGCGGGACGGCATGCCCTTCAGCACGGGCAGGTACGTCCTGGAACGGGACGGGAGCACAGTCAGGCCATGCTCAGCGCGGCAGTCGCTACAGAATAGGGTGGGGGAGAGTACATCGGCAGCAGTGGCACGGAGATTCCAACGACTACCAATCGGTGGTAGCCAGTAGTTCCAATGAAAACGCGCATTAAAAACACCCCTCAAAATAAGTCAAAGTGAGAAAAGAGCAGAAAATAAAATACTAGGTCGTTCAATAAGTAAGGTAAAATGTACCATAGTTCATTTATGTGAGGAATTCAAGCAAAATCATATATGCCATCTGAATCTCTGAACAATTTTCTACACAACCATCCAAACTGTTTTTGGGAGTTTGGCTCGTTGTCCGAACACGGTAGGTGTGAAAACATTGATGCAGCAGAGTTCCGTTCTAAAAATCCCCGGTTTGTCACGCGAGCCAAAATTCACCTCAAAATGAGTGAGTTGACCCTGATGACGCTATTGCCATTGGCAATGCTTGCTGGTGAACAGCTGGTACGATTTCAACAAGAACACAGCAGTGTAAGAGACAAAGATCTAGAGCAGGTAGACTTGTGCCCGCAGGGCTCTCTGGACTTGGCACAATCTGTAAAGTCGGGGAGCTGATTATGGAGACCCGAAGCATCTGCGTGACTGCTTAACAGGGTGAAGTGTGTATGTCGAAACAGTTCTAGGCATCATCAGATATGCTTGATATTTACAAGGTCATCACGAGGTTAATACAGACAGAGCTCGCTGAACAACAGAAGGACGCCCAGCGAGGCATCAGTGTGAGATCGGCTTTGCTTTAGCAGTACAGGAAAGCTGAAGTACAGCCGTGATCTGGCGCCGTCCCTTTTGAATCTGTTTGGACCACCGGAAAACCTGCTGTGTACGTTGGAATCTCAACTGATCAGGCAATCAATAAAATAATCAAGACATGGCTTTGGAGTAGCAATAAGGAGTTTTCCAAGCAGGATTTCGACGCCGGGTGGAGTGCTAGGATAAGCGCGTGCGCCTGAACGGCGATTGGATGTAGGTGCCAGTTCCGAAGGCTGGGGAGGCTGGCCGAAGAGACCTGCTTACAAATGCTTATAGCCAATTTGTAGACGATATTTCAATGAACATATGTTGTTAGTTTTGTGTCGTTGCACCAAATGTGGACTGAAATACGTGTGATTTTACCTTACTTATTGAACGACCTAGTACGTATACTTGGTGGTACTGACCTGATGTAGCCCGCCTGCCCTGATGTACTGACCTGATATAGTCACCCTCTGGGTCAACCTTGCGTCCGAACCGCACGGGGCTGTAACAGTGGAAGAACTGCTGGAAGAACGACGAACAGCTCAGCCACATCCAGGTGCCGGCGTTCACCGACCAGTCGGCGTCCAGGAGCAGCTCCTCAAACACCTGTCGGGGAGCAGACCAGTCAGCGAGAGGCAGCTCCTACAACACCGACCAGTCGGCGTCCAGGAGCAGCTCCTCAAACACCTGTGGAGAGCAGACCAGTCAGCGAGAGGCAGCTCCTCCAACACCTGTCGGGGAGCAGACCAGTCAGCGAGAGGCAGCTCCTACAACACCGACCAGTCGGCGTCCAGGAGCAGCTCCTCAAACACCTGTCGGAAGACAAGGCGGTCATTGAGCGGCAGCTCTCTAAACACGGACCGGTCAACGCAAGCAGCAGCCCCTCAAACTCAAACCTGTGCAGCACAGGAAGGTCAGCGAGGATCGGTCGCCCTAGCTCCTCAAACACCTGTGGAGAGCACAAGACGGTCGGCAGGGCGGCAGCTCCTATATGTGTCAAATACGAGCTCGTCGGTTAGCAGTAGCTCCTCAAACACCTGTGGGACACAAGACGGACAGCGCGGCACCCGAGCGCTGCTCTGAGATAGGCACAGATCACTCATTGCTGCACGAAAGACATCTGACAGGGCCGCTTTAGAACAGCCGGTTCCGGGTCCGCATTGGCGCCGCCGCCGCCGGAGCTAGCGAGGCAACGTGACAACTTCCTGGGTGTCGAGCTCAAAGGCAGTTTCAAAGCCGGCTTCCGGCGATGGTAGTTGGGTTTCTGTTCAGGACGCACCGTCGCCTTTGGCCGTGTCAACGAGTAGCGTTTCATTTGTGGTTTCACCCGCGGTGGAAGGAGCTGCCATCTGTACGCCAGTTTGCCAAGTCCGGAGCAGTCCCGGTGTGCAAAGGTTGGCTGGTCTCACAGCTCTGCCTGTCCTTGTGGAGAGTGGCCAATCAGTGACGGTTGACTCCCCGAGACGAATTCGGCTCCGCTGGCGATTCTCACCACACAGGCGTTTCGATGATGCATGACTGTCTGCTGTTGGCCTTAGAGTGACTGCTTTGGTAGGAACAGAATATGGGGACGGCGCCAGACTGCATGACACAGAGCCATTTCAAGCCTGAATGATCTCACAATATCCACAAATAATGACCATGTGCATCAGTCATCACGCAAGCAGAAATATCATTAAGGTAACAAATGACGATAGTACACAGATTCCAGGTATGCATTACGCTTGTAGTAGCCTATTAGATGCCAATTAGTTTTCGGTTGGAAGAGCCAACTACATCGCACGTCCTATTCTCGGTAATAAGACCAGAGGTCTTATCTGGCTGCCATCGCTTGGAATGTCATGCAGCGTTGCGTCATTTCGTCCATAAGCTCACGAAACGCTAGATTTGGTCCAGCGATAACATGATTGTTAGCCCAAAAAAAGATGCATGAAATAAACCAAACATCATCACAATAACGACCACCTGTTGGGTTCAGGCCGGGTACAATACAATGCTCTCAGTGACAGTCCTAGAAGCGCCGCTCCGGAGCCGACCGCCCGCCACCGGACTGACCTGTTCTCCCAGCTGAGCCACAGGTAGCCGCGGCTGCCCTCCCCCTTCCCCCGTCCTCCCGCCGGACTGACCTGCATGCCCTCCCCCAGCTGAGGTAGCCGCCGGCTGCCCCCCCCCCCCCGTCCTCCCATCTGAGGTAGCCGCGGCTGCCCCCCCGTCCTCCCAGCTGAGGTAGCCGCGGCTGCCCCCCGTCCTCCCGCTGAGCTGACCTGCATGCCCTCCTCCCAGCTGAGCCAGAGGTATCCACGGGTGAGGAAGCAGGCCACCGCGTGCCGCGCCAGGTGGTGGATCCAGCCCTCCTGGCGCAGCTGGGTCATGATGGCGTCGATCCACGGAAAACCGGTCTGACCCTGCCGCCAACGCACAGTACGCTGGTCAGCACAGTAAGCTGGTCAGAGACACAGTGAGCATGTCGCCTGATGCTAAAGCACAACTTTATTACGATATTGTCCTCCGTGTGGGCTAGTGGATAAAGAGTCCGTCTCCTAACTCGGTGGCAGTGAGTTCGCACCCGGGGAGTTCCACGTCGTTTGACACGCGATTCCGTATTCAGCCGGCTGAAAGCTGGCGAGAGGGCCAGGCTAGACCCGGGAGAACCGCGTCACCATCTACTCGCGATACGTTGAACTTTTGGTTAACAATATCACCGGGAAACCGGGCGCCGCGCTGGCAAGGTCGGATGGTGAATCCGTAATGTCATTTGCATCTAGCGTGGCGCCCGTTCCCAAAATTGTACATTCAGCTATTCGAACAGAATTTATAAAACAAATAAAATATTATTTGAAGAGCCCCATACGCCTTGACATCGCAGGTGTGACGTCATCCAAGTTCCGGTCGACCGATGGGAGGTTCGTGCCGGCGTTCTGCCCCAACTCAGCCGCGTGCCGGGCCGGCCAGGCTTCCGGAGGGCGCCGGTCAGCAGCGCCAGCGTCCTATCCAGTAACACGCCTCATTCATAGCAGTTTGCCCGGCAGCAATCACCCAACTGAGTACTAAAGCGTCCAGCGTTCAGGTGACCACTCGGTCCAAATGCGGCAAATTGTACAATGGGCTGCCATCTGAGAGACCCGCGGTGGTTACATCGAGGGAAAGTTGAACGTGATTGTCTGTTACGAGTCAATCATGATGTAAGGACGTTCGTTTTTATCATATCATGTCATTACGGATCATGTCTAAAACAGCATGATCACCGGCGAAATCGCTGGCATCAGAGGTCACTGGATGCTATTCGTAACATGATGGCAACTTTTCATATGCCGGGTAAATTGATGCACTTACGGCAAAAAAAAAAAAGAAATGAAATTATGAGACAAACTATTGTCACATGAGAAATCGTCTGTCATTGTCAGAACACACGCAATTGTTTTCCTTTGGCGCAAGGATATTGATGTCGTTACCAGGGAAAGTTTAGCGGTTGCAAAAAAAAAAAAATGCACACCCTATCGACACGGACGCATTGCTTTAAAACTTTAAACAACTGATGAGGAGCCACCCGGTACTCTCTTCTGCTCAGGAACACGCAAATAGTCATTATCATTTAATAAACAAACGAAAGGAGGGCTTTACAACACACATGCCTGACAGTCGAGTGTGTGCTCAACTTGTACTTACGCTAGCCCATTTCGCCAGCGCCTTGGGGTTCTTGTCCCAGGGAATTTGCACGCAGATGGGGTTGCCGACCATCCGGTCGAAGTTGGGATTGTTGGTGGCGGCCACGTAGAAGAACTCCCTCCAGAGGAGCTGGCCGTGCAGTGAGAGCGGCGGGTCGGCGTGCTTGATCTAAAACAGAGCGACGGACACCAATGTGAGTCGAACGGGGTCATATCGAGACGGGGGCGGAACACCTCTGGTGTGCCGAACGGGGTCATACAGAGACGCTGGGGAGCGGAGTGATACCGCTGTGAGTCGGACGGAGAATGCCCTGAGTCGGGGACGGGGGAGGGAAGCGGAGCGGAGTGGAGTGGGACAGAGAGAGGACATAAACTAACTTACTTGGGAGCGATACATCGAGAACGTTCATTAGCGTACATAGTTACGTCAAGCCACGTGAAATATCATTATATTTGTATATCATTACATTCGTACACCACGACAACATACTTCTGGTGCACATACTCACGAAGAAAATATTAACATTCATGAGCGAAGGTCAAAGTACACCTGCATACTTTGGTACATTTATGGAATAGTTACAAAATCATACCAGTAATAATGAGAAGGAAAGAGGGAAATATAAAGAAGAGGGCAGGTGGACTGTGGAGAGAGAGAGAGAGAGAGAGAGAGAGAGAGAGAGAGAGAGAGAGAGAGAGAGAGAGAGAGAGAGAGAGAGAGAGAGAGAGAGAGAGAGAGAGAGAGAGAGAGAGAGAGAGAGAGAGAGAGAGAGAGAGAGAGAGAGAGAGAGAGAGAGAGAGAGAGAGAGAGAGAGAGAGAGAGAGAGAGAGAGAGAGAGAGAGAGAGAGAGAGAGAGAGAGAGAGAGAGAGAGAGAGAGAGAGAGAGAGAGAGAGAGAGAGAGAGAGAGAGAGAGAGAGAGAGAGAGAGAGAGAGAGAGAGAGAGAGAGAGAGAGAGAGAGAGAGAGAGAGAGAGAGAGAGAGAGAGAGAGAGAGAGAGAGAGAGAGGAGAGAGAGAGAGAGAGGAGAGAGAGAGAGAGAGAGAGAGAGAGAGAGAGAGAGAGAGAGAGAGAGAGAGAGGAGAGAGAGAGAGAGAGAGAGAGAGAGAGAGAGAGAGAGAGAGAGAGAGAGAGAGAGAGAGAGAGAGAGAGAGAGAGAGAGAGAGAGAGAGAGAGAGAGAGAGAGAGAGAGAGAGAGAGAGAGAGAGAGAGAGAGAGAGAGAGAGAGAGAGAGAGAGAGAGAGAGAGAGAGAGGAGAGAGAGAGAGAGAGAGAGAGAGAGAGAGAGAGACGCGCAAGACCTTTGACCTTTCATTAATTTAGCTTCATAATGAGCAAGAAATCCAGCGCCGTGAAACACGAGAACGTCAACCCATTATAAGTTGTACATTTCCAATATTGTTTTCAAGTCTATCGCAATCAAAACGTCTATCCCTGATACACGGGAACCAGGGTTGTGCTCGACTAAAAAAAATTGCCGACTCGACTCATCATTCAACTTCAGACAGCCCTGACTCAACTCTGACTCAAATAAGGAGCTGATTTTTCCCTTGACTCGACTCATGACTCAAGCGGCTCAATGAAAATATGAGTCGACTCAAACTTGACTCAAATTTCTTGTTGAGTCAAGTGAGTTGACTCAAAATTGACTCAGATAAAAAAGTTGCTGAGCGGGGGCGGGGGTGAAAAAAAAATCCGGCAGCAGAGCCAGGGCGAAGTTGTTAAGCGGGGGGGGGGGGATGAAAAGCTTGTTTCTAGAAAGTTGAATCAGCTGACTCATGTTCCTAAATGTTTGACTCAACTCAATGTCAAAAGTTATTTTACTGACTCAACTCTGACTCAACTCAACAGCTCAACATTTTATCCGACTCGACTCAAATCTGACTCATTTGAGTCAGAGTTGAGTCAAATTTCTGACTCGACTCATGAGTCAAGCACAACCCTGACGGGAACACTGCAACAGTTGCAACTTATCCAGAGCGAGCACGTTAAAAGGTAGCTTGGAGTAGAAGGCTAGCGAATCCAAGGGTTTACCTTTGAAAACATGTGATCAACGCATTCCTTGACAAAATATCGCAAGAAGATTCAGAGCAAGAAAACTGCAGTCTAGGCTGTACACGCAGAATTAGGATTTCGACACAATGAAGTGTTATTTCTTCACGGGTAACTGTTATAGTACCCCTATCAAATAACCGAGCGTATCGATCCAATCCCGCTCGACATACAGAGCCAGGGTGTCCACGTGCGCAGATACACCCCTCGTCCCGCCGCGTGATCGGTGCCGGAGAGGAGAGAGGGGTGGAGGGGAGGGAGGAAAGAGGGGAGAGAGGGAGCACATTCTGGTCCGAGTCAATAATTACACCCCATCCCCCGGCCGGTCGCGCAACAGCAGCGATTGATCCTCCCACAGCTCACGGATCGGAGCAATGCCCACCCGGCGGGCCTTTGCAGGCCATTTGATCCCTCCGAGTACGGCGCTACGGCCAGACACAAATCAATGCCGGCCATAATAACTCCTTGTGAGTCGCATGTCGATCAGCGTCGGCCGCCGCGCCGTGCCCCGGGCGGTGGTATTACATCACATTCCCGGCCCGTCCGTCGGTCCGTCGGTCCGTCGCCGCACCTGATCGCCGGAGACGGATCCGATGTCGGGACGACGAGCGGACGCCCGCCGCGCCGCCAACGGCTCAATGGCACGGGACACCGCTCGGTCACAAATGATGACGCCAAATTGCCCGCACCCGAGACGTAGCCGCTCACGCTCCGCCAAGGCCAGCTATAGGCGACGCTAGTTTCACTATCCAGTATCAGGAGACGGCGAAACGTTTGGAAACATGAACAGTGCACACGCACCCATCACGTCATGGAAATTATCTGCTTTCTCAGGACGCCATCTAAGTCCGAACGCCACAGGGGAAGGAGAGGAGGGGGGCTTACATTATGGACTGGTTGGTTACAAATGAATCATCAAAGTCCTTTAAACAAGCGCTAACCGGATCGTTCACGCCGTTTCAAGTGACCAAAAGCGCTGATTTACAATGGTGTAGAATTAAGAAAATACGTCGGCTCAGAGGGCAATTACTTCGCCCACAAACTTTACTGCACCCGGACCTTTTCTTAGCCAGTAATGGCAGTGTGGAGGGCCGAATGGAGCATAAAACAAGGCACGCATACTGTTCAGATAGCTTTCAAGCCAGGTAAACTCGAAGCCACCTTAGTGTCAGTCTCGGACTCACGAAAAAGTACAGGGCTAAAAAAGTTATCGCCTCAGGTGAGCCTCAATCTCGAGATGAGGCTGGTTGTGTCGAGCTATTATACAACCAATACCTAGATAATCTTCTTGAGTGCTTTTGCTATTCTTGTTTTGCGGTTTGATTAAATATTTATTGGGGTGAATGTCAGTGCATAAGAAAAAAGAGCATGCCTCGAGGTGTTTTTTTTTTTTGTAGTATGTCTCGAATACATTTCGCCAAGGGTATCAAGATTGGAACTTAAAGAGACTGCTTGTGTGGAATAGCCGAGTGACAGAGAAGTCTTTCAGTTCACCTTTCGGTAGACGTAGGCCAGGTCCCGGTAGAACAGCCAGCTGACGGACTCACCTTTCGGTAGAGGTACGCCAGGTCCCGGTAGAATAGCCGCGGCAACATGACTCACCTTTCGGTAGATGTAGGCCAGGTTCCGGTAGAACAGCCAGCTGACGGACTCACCTTTCGGTAGAGGTAGGCCAGGTCCCGGTAGAACAGCCAGCTGATGGACTCACCTTTCGGTAGAGGTAGGCCAGGTCCCGGTAGAACAGCCAGCTGACGGACTCACCTTTCGGTAGATGTAGGCCAGGTCCCGGTAGAACAGCCAGCTGACGGACTAACCTTTCGGTAGATGTAGGCCAGGTCCCGGTAGAACAGCCAGCTGACGGACTAACCTTTCGGTAGAGGTACGCCAGGTCCCGGTAGAATAGCCGCGGCAACATGACTCACCTTTCGGTAGAGGTAGGCCAGGTCCCGGTAGAAGAGCCGCGGTGACAGGGAACTCACCTTTCGGTAGAGGTAGGCCAGGTTCCGGTAGAACAGCCAGCTGACGGACTCACCTTTCGGTAGATGTAGGCCAGGTTCCGGTAGAACAGCCAGCTGACGGACTCACCTTTCGGTAGAGGTAAGCCAGGTCCCGGTAGAAGAGCCGCGGCGACAGGACACTCATCTTTCGGTAGAGGCAGGCCAGGTTCCGGTAGAACAGCCAGCTGACAGACTCACCTTTCGGTAGAGGTAGGCCAGGTCCCGGTAGAACAGCCAGCTGACGGACTCACCTTTCGGTAGAGGTAGGCCAGGTCCCGGTAGAACAGCCAGCTGACGGACTCACCTTTCGGTAGAGGTAGGCCAGGTCCCGGTAGAACAGCCAGCTGACGGACTCACCTTTCGGTAGAGGTAGGCCAGGTCCCGGTAGAACAGCCAGCTGACGGACTCACCTTTCGGTAGAGGTAGGCCAGGTCCCGGTAGAAGAGCCGCGGTGACAGGGCGCCGAAGCGCAGGTACGGGGACACACCGGTCACGGAGGCCTTGAGCGACTGCGGGGTCATCTTGGGCCGTCCGAAGGAGGCGATCCAGGCCTTTCGCTCCATGTGGCGCTCCAGGCGGACCAGCGCCTCCGTCTCGCCGCCGTGCCACACGCCCTTGTGCGCCGACTCGGTGTCGAAACCTGGGGGCGGGGGACGGTCAGCGAACGCCAGTTCACACACTACATGTTCACACTTCACGCAATTCACATTCTAGAAGTTCAATCGATTCACATTCTCGAGAAAAGTTCATAAAAGCAGTGACTGGTGACGATCAACCTTATGAAACGGATTGGAGAAATGGTAATGTGTGGTCCCCAAACCGACTGGTCTGCCCTGTAAGGAAGACCTAGCATCCAAGGTTATCGATTTAAAAGGTACGTCAGCGGTCACTCAGCTGGCATCGGCTCGTGTATCGCCGATCAACCAGCCTAACATGCTATCACGAACACCGGCCCTTACGTAAACACTAAATACTCCCCCCCCCCCGTCCGCCCCGTGTCGTGTCGTGTTTCGTACCGAGCTCCTCCAGCGTCGGCACTCCGTATCGGTCGTCGTGATCGTCTCCCACCGGCGTCACACTATCCCCAATGACGTCGTGGTTGAGCGCGTGCAGCGGCGCCGGCGGCGGCGGCATGGACAGCAACACCGTCTGGAACTGCTTGTAGGTGAGCGGCGAGCGGCCGCCGGCGCGCTCAATCACCCTGTCCGCAAACGGAGCACCCCGTCACCCGGGGGCGCGAACCCGGCTACGGCTCCCCAACCGTCTCCAAAATAACAACAGACGAGGAACTCCCCACACGGAATTACATTGGTCGACTGTAAGTGCTCATTTCCTGGAGTGAGTGTATTTTTGGAATTACGGTACAAGGTTTCTTTATTTCATTTGACCGTGACTCGATAGTATGTTTAACATCCTAGACAGCACTGGGGTCACGTCTTCACGAGAGAGAATAAAACAAAGAAAAAAGAGAAAAGAGAGACGGTGAGAGAGAAAGAAAGAAAAGAGAGAGGGAGAGAGAGAGAGAGAGAGAGAGAGAGAGAGAGAGAGAGGGGGGGGGGGAGTCGCCGGCGCCCGTCTCACTCACGTGTCGACGTCGTACAGTGTGTGACATGTGCGCGAGACCACTTCCACGTTGTGTTCGAGCGCCATTTTCCGCACGTTCTGGTCTCGCACTTTTCCGAACGGTTCCGGATCCTCTCCAAACGAAAGACAGGTGATGTTCCATTTCTGCCGAGAGCGAACACTGAGATCACCGCGAGGCGCCATTAAGCAGAGATGCTACGACTCGTACACATTTGGGCACGCTTGCGCAACCCTTGTACAATGACCATTACCTCTATTATATCGGCCATGAAGATGTACACAAGTTGCTAACATTACGTTTTACTGTGTTTTTTTTTTTTAACGTTTATAAGCATGAACAAATCTGGGGCACTCCAAGAGCCCGGCACACACTGACATACCGCACCATTCTTTCGAGGACTGACCTTGAACAGGCTGGGAAGCACATCTGCGGGCTGGCCTCTGATCACGAACAGGCGCGAGTTCAGCCGCTGCAAACTCTTGTCCAGATCCTCAAGACATTGCAATAGAAATCTGCGGCAAAGGAACGCCTGCGATGACAATTGAGTCAATTAACTACGGTTACTTAAACGTGTCTCAAATTACGTTCTCTCACCTCGAACGGATTACACAACAGGTAGAACGATCTCAACTCAAGTCGTTTCACCCCTAATTGACTTGAGCTTAGCTAAAACAAAATGAGTGTTTTGATTGTGACGAGAGCAAATAATGGTATAGATAGCGTTCTGGGTGTGCTAGACGAATAGGTAGCTTTCCAAGGTAGCTCAAGTATCAAGTTTCCCCGAAATCCGCGCTCAGTCCAGATTTTCAGAATCATATGACTACTGACCAGCGCCATTGTTTTGCGCTTTCGCTCGGAGGCCTCTTGCACCAAACTACCTACCTAGGTAAATTCAGATTTTACCTAGATTCTCTTGCACCAAACTACCTACCAAAAAACGCTACCGTGAAAATTTACCTAGAAATTCTACCGAGCGGCATAAGAACTTAACAATTCTTAAAGTCCGACAGGCTGTTTTCCTCTTGCACCGAAAGCCGGAAAAAAGTACTCGCGGAGGAATTTTTGACGGTTTGACGGTAAACTCGGGCTTCCAAAATAACTAGCAAAACCTTAGGTAAAATGATTCAATTGGTAACAATAGGCGCAATACATGATAATCCACGGGTACTTTTATGTAAATTAGGCATTACAAAATGTTTAGACAATGATAAATCAATGTTTTATGAGTGAATAATAATATAATTGACCAAATGCTCCATGGGTTCACAGAGGTGCTTCTCCGTAACAAGGCGATAAACCTCCGTAGCAGAACAGCCAGGTTAAAGACTCACTCGTTGCCATGGAAACGAAGCTTATTTGTTCAAGTAATTTAATATCTAAATAACTTTCATCGGTATTTACATAACTGAAAAATGATTTCATAATACCAAAATGCAAGGCCCTAAATACACCAAAATGTATATTTATAAAAACGATGTCCATTTAATTGATTTCTTTACTTACTATTTGTTTGCGCCCACAAATAATTGGTCGCCAAACAGCCAATCAAAACAAATCCTAAAAACGCGAGCTGTCAAATTTACCTAGGTAGGTAGGTAGGATGGTGCAAAAGAAGTTACCGCCGTAGGTAGTTTTACTAGGTAGGTAATTTGTCGATTCTACCTAGCTAGGTATTATGGTGCAAGAGGCCTCCGGTCATCTTGTGTCTCTTGGTCATCCGATACGCCAATCGAAAGTAACAGAAATCGAGAACGCCACATGACAAAAACACAGATTGACCGTGATGTAATGGGCCAATAAATCAATTCTCAATGCGCCGTAATAGTCTCTCGGTGTAGTGTGGCATTACATAAGGTCGGGCGATTACCTCCACTTGTTGATGCCCACGTTGGACGAGCCGGCAAACCACGGATCCAGGATGTAGATGCAGCGGAACGTGGTCGAGCCCGCCACGCCCTCGAGCAGGCTGGCGTTGTCGTGCAGCCGCAGACCCTTGCGGAACCAGTGCAGACTGTGTTTGGGCGGGTCATCCTCGCTCATCTTTCCAGTCCGTCAACACAGGACAGCCACTGCAACAAAAGACACAAGTCAGTTTTTTATCACATTCACCGCCATCCGACATAATCCCCTCCGCTGGTCCGCACAAAGTCAGTTATGAGAGTAAGGTTAATATCTCTTATTATATTCATGTCTCTCAAAACTCTGCTAAAAACCATCCAAGTCTGTTTCGATTGAACGTGTCCATGAGGTGTACACCGTGACAGCGTTTGCTGTCCAAAAAGACATGTCAGACTATCGTTTAATATGTGGATTTGCAAATGTTTCTTGGATACACGGATCCGCTCAGTTTCATGCGGAGAGAGTTTCATCTAAAGCTTTGAGTGAACGTTGGCGTTCGCCATTCCATAACGTTATCTCATATTTGCATGTTACGCTGCACGATCGATGGACGAAAATAACCTTTAATTTCAACTTTCATCAGGCCGAGCAAAGTTACGCAAGAACTTGAGCAGAAGCGACCAGAAATAAACAAAAACTCCTACGGTTTGTGCCTCGCATCGAAGACAAAACACTGCTGTATAGTGCATAATATTTTAGCTGGAGTTAAGATCAAACCGTACGTCACACAGATGGTCCTTTCACTGACCATCTTCACAATGAGCGGGCATCTTATGGGAATTCCTGTTAGCTAAGCGGTGCAAACACAGTAAATGTCAAATAAGGAAACATCGTCTTGCTGGACTTCTGGTTCCCGGAAATGCTAATAAAGCGATAACGAATTCAGCACACGACAATTTAATTTGACGAGAGTTAAAATGTCATACGAATACGAGTAGATGGTTTTCTACGGTTTTCTACGAGTAGAAAAACCGATACGGTGTGGCAGTGACCCGACAGACGCACAGCTGAGATGGATTTGGCTACCAATACTGCTCTAGGGGTCGCCGTACTGTCTAGCTCAGACCGCCGAGATTGGAGCACCGATCAATAGCGGAGTAAACACCAGCTAATTTCACAATATATTACTGAGGTTCCACTTGCTTAGCGCGACAATCATCAGGGCGTGTTGGATACGAATAAACCCAGCGCCATTCGCACTACTACTAAAAAATGGTTAAAATTGCCAATGTATTAAGTACCTATTCAATTTTTCCCGACAATTTAGATAATTATCCAATTATATCAGGTATGATGATGACATGAATGACGTAAGTCTTCATGAAGCCAAATACCTACGCTATTAAAAAGTTAAGAAACCTGCTCCACCGCTGCAGAGTGGCACATTTTGGGACAGTTACCAAGATAAAAGGTGTGAGGACAGGGTAATTTCATCTTTATATTTCGCAAAGAAAAGAGTGGCCTGGAGGCTTATGCACAAACATTTAGGGAATAGGGACCATGCAAAACTGAATATCACGCAAATAAATAAGCTTGGAAAATGACCAGAATATAGATTGCTGAATCAATTCTTTCCTTTTTATAATGCATTTGGTGGCAATGTGATGGCTAGATGTAGACGTTTTCGTTTCCTTTATCAATTTTTGAAGTTGATCTCGTTGCTCAGTGGCTCTAAAAAATAAAAATCATGCTAAAATAGGATGATTCCAAAGAACCTTTCCGCAAAATGAAATGGTTGTATCTATGATCCCGTCGGATCTCAGATCAAGATCCGTGGAACCAGATCCCAGATCCATTGCATTAGAGCAATGCACATTGCACACGTCTGATACGCTTATCAGTGTCTGTTTATTCCACAATTTTCCCTTGGTGCACATGAAGGTATCGTGCCCTGACCACGTCTTATGGATTTCTCAGCTGAAATGCCTTCTACAATGCATGTTTTAGAGGTTGTTTTAGGGTTACCTCGAGTCTCGATATTAGATGACACCGAGCACCGACTTCTGACCAACACTAAATCAACAGCAAACACATCCTCATTCAAGAAAGCATCAAAGTAACGAAAAAGCGGAAAACAATACAGCTTGAAAAAACTACCATCACGAGCTAGACCCTAACAGGTTTCCCTCGAGACAGTCCGAGCGGAAGTGTGGCACGATTGGCTACCTGTCCGGACGTCCGCAGCTCATGCCCGGCGCGGCTGGCCGGTGCCGGCCCCGCGGCGGCCGCTCACGTTTCTCGTCACGCGCACCATACCACACAGCGAGCGGCGACGACTGACCGACGACGCCGACGAAGCGCTCTGTCGACACCGACGGCGGCGGCGCGCCCTGGCGACCCCGCCGACAACTAGCGGCGCACGTAACCGCGCCGCAAATAGTCTGCCGAGACAGCGCCGCCATCGACAGAAGCAGCGGCCGCATGGAACCGCCAGTCTACAACACTATAATAAATGTTTAGTCCGATAGTTCCGTGCAAAGCATGGCTAAGTTAATCCGGTTTTCATTTTATTTTCACTGATTGATAAATGTGGCAGCAAAAGTACATCTCGGAATTTCCATATCGGCAGGCATCGGTAAAATCCTTTTTGAAAGGATTGCATTCCCAATCCACATTCCTAGTGCCGAAGTGGACTGCATTCCTACCCGCAATCCCCTTTTTCACTTGGATTAAGACCAAATCCGCAATCCTTTTTTGCAATCCTGTTGTATTATTATGTGCACTAGTGGATCTGGGGGAGGGAGGGGGGCATAGGGCCGTGCCTCCATCCCCAAATCACCCATTTCTAGTACCTAGTCTTGCGAGTGATTCCTATCTAAGGCACAGGTATTTTATGGGAAATATTTTTTGCCTCAAACACCCCCACATTGAAACCTCTACCCAACCAGTGTTTTATATTTTTGAAACTCGCCCTCAAATACGTAACTTTGCCCTTCCTATGTAGTTCATCAGCGTATATTATTTTGAGCGTTTAAATTAAAAACGTTTAAATTATTTCAAGCTTAGATGTAAAGCCCTTGATAGCAAAGTACATTAAGCCGATGAAGCCGATCTAATAATTTTCAATCGCAACAAACCATTTCAAAGCACTAATCAAACACAATCCGGATTGGATTGCAAAAAATGGAAGTATGATGCAATCCAATCCGCAATCAAATCCTGTTTTTTGGAATGGATTTCAAATCCAGGTGCAATCCACCAAAAAGGAATGCAATCAGGATTTTGCAATCCTGCAATCACAATCCTACCGATGCCTGCATATCGGTGACCTAAATTTAAATCAATTTGCGTCCTCTCACACAAATCAAGGAGATAACATTGAGAAAAACGCCTTTTTGGGCGACATCCATAGTAAACACACGTGAACACCATAGAATAGGTTAATATTGAACACTGAATCAGAATATTGCACTCGTATTCCCACCTCGTACCTCTGAGGTTATGTTAGGTCATAAACAGTACCCAGCAATTTCCGACGAAACCTTTTGCTGGACATGCTAGATTGCTAGTCTAGCATTGCTAGAGCGATGATGATGACAGTGCTTCAGATGTTTACAGCACGACACAGATCGACTGATATGATATGTAATGATATAGATATTAGATATACCACTGACTGATATGATATTGTGACCTGACCTCAAGCCACTGGAACCTAAAACTCCCAGGTCATGTGACACATACATATATGCCCCAAGTCGTGTCTGAAATTTGGTAGTGATACGTGCCATAGCACTCACGCTATCAACGAAAAACTCTGGTACTCAGTTGACGCTAAACTAGTCCAATTTCCCCTTGACCTTGTACCGGTTTTTGTGACCTGGTGACCTGACCTGAAAAGACTGAGACCAGAAATTTTCAGGATAGGTGCCAAAAGGTCGCCACAGATGGTATGCCCGCCGTTTTTACGTTATTTGCGAAAAACCTTGGGGGGTGGGGTTGCATCAACCTCCCCTTCGCCGGGCGAAGGTTAAATTCAACCTACAGTTCACTCGACAGAAAAACAAAACACGATGCCATTCAAATTCAGCCGTTCAAACTATGTTTCAAAAGTCATTGATGAAAGACATTGCCAACAAAAACGTCAATTTTGGCGGGTTTTGCCCTGCGGAGGTTCAATAAATAACATTGCTAGATACTTCCAATTGGGCTAATGCGCCAACAAACTTCTAGGGCCCCACCAGACACCAATTTTACACAATGTGACAAAAATTTCCAAGGGCTATGATAGGTTGGCCACAAATGACGTCAGAATGAGGTCACATTCTGACATTTTCGACAAAACAAAAGGGTTCGCGGGAAGAGCCGTCACGCCTACAAGTTTGAAGATTTAAAAAATGTTCAGGACAAAAATGGTGTAGAATTACGGGGGCTATAAAACAGCAATCTCGGATTTTTGAAAATTTTGGATTTTGACCACCCAAAATAAAAAAGTAATTTTTGGATGGATTTTGGACTCTCAAACCCCAAAAATTATAAAAAAAAAGCGGAATGCATGTTATAGCCCCAAATGCCTTCCATCGACATACCCAATTTGAGATTGATACCTCTTTTTGGCCAAGTTATGGCGAAAAAAACTTCAAAATGGATGACGTCAAATTTTCAAGTTCAATTTGTAGCTGCTCTAGATCACGTAACGCTAAACAAAGACCACCATTAGATTACCCGTGACAAGCTGCATCGAATAGATACCCCTTTCATGCAATAATTTCAACTTTGCAATTCGATCTTATTTGACCTGACCATGACCTGACCTTCTCCAGGTCACCGAAACTGGCCCTAATGGTCCCCTAAACCACAAAATTGCATTTGATATGCAAAATGGGCCATAAAAGACGCATTGCACGAGCCTAGTTCATATTGTGACCCTCAGTGACCTGACCTGGAATCGGCCACATCATTTAGCAAAACATGTGTTAGACAAATAATTATCCATCGATGACTTCCCAATAACATGCCTTTTACTCGATTTTACAACACATGTCTTAGAATGCCTGTAAACGCCTTGGGCATCAGTGCGCTTTCAGAAACCGAGCACTCATGTGCCGTCCGTTTCTACGCCTCCAACCATTCGTTGGCCAGGATCTTGCTTCGGTAGTATTCGTCGTTGATGGTGGTTTTCTGTCACACCACGTGCAATTGGAACATCGCACAGCAGCTGAGCATGCTCCAGACCTGGATCTCAGCCGGATGTTTGACGCTGGTGACGGCCAGCACATTCAAGCTGCTGGGCGCCCACACACGGCCGATTTAATGATTCAAAGGATGGTACAGCTTAAGCGGCGACCCATCCGACCGGACCACCTAACCCATGTCTTCCTTCGATTATTGGACGTGCTGTGGCGTGAGGCTACAAGTGGTTGACCAATGGTTGACGGCTTGTTTTTTTTTTCCTTCAGAGTTGTCGTCTTTTTCAGTTTGAATAGTAGCAGCACAAAGCTGTAGTGGGGGTAACGGTAGAGCATGATGTGGGGCTTCCTATTACCTGCCTTGGTAAGCATTCGAGTCGGTTTGCGGATTAAAGGAAGACTGCCACCTTCAAAAAGTTTTCTCAGATCGGCCTATGATTTATTCCCTGGACAAAACAAAATTTTAGAATTCACCTGACAAAGTATCATCACGTGAATCGCGAAAAAATTGTCGATTTTCATACAATTATCAATCGGTTAATGTCTAGCGACAATGTTTACACATCACTAGACTTCAAGGTCATAAGATTATTACATTTTATTTGAAAAAGTAAGATATTTTATGATTTACTAATATATGATTTCATGAGAAATTGGCCATGTTTAATTTATTTTGCATTTAAGTTCGTAAAACATTTAAAAAAATCATGGCTCATTTGGAATGGGTCTGGCCCATGTTAAACCCCATTTCCCACACTTTTTTGGAAAAAATGAACTACTGAATATATAAGTTTAACTTTTATTTTGACACTCCAAAATTCTTCTCTGATCTCGAAACAATCAAAGTTTTGACATATATTTACCAAAAGATAAGAAAATTCATGTTTCAAAGTTATCGATAAACAGTAGAGATGTCGGTTTTCTTGGACTAAAAAAATGGCATCAAACTGAACTTTGGTCTCCGATTTCTCGCAAACGGGTTCGAATTTCGGAAAACCGACTTCAGTCTGGGACATAGGTGGCTCAGCTCTAGTGAAAACCGTTTTGTGGAAAAAAGGTGGCAGTCTACCTTTAACTGGCGTCGTTTCCTTGTCGCTATCTTGATAACCATCTTCACCACTAGGTAAAGGGCAGCTTTTTCGGTCGCGGCTGGGCTGAGTCGACCACCCAAGTCCAAACTTATCACGCCTCAGGCAGACGTGCAACTGGCTGCTACTGATACCCAACTGCTGGCAGACCAGCTTCAGGCTCATGCCGCCATGGATGCCGCCATGTCACAATCATGCCATTCCGCTACTGAATGGAAGAGACTGTCGTCGTTGCCATGGACGAAAACTACCAAGTGAACCCAGCGTTGACTTGACTCTTACTTAGAGCAAGGGTCACCTCACAAGGTCAGGTCAGTTCTAAGTTGAGAACCGATATCATAGGCACGTATTCATCCAATTTTCCCGCTTCCCACATCAAACAGTGAGAAAAGATATGGTGGAAAAATAGATGTCCCGATAATGTTGTTACACCGGCCTGTATATGCATTATGTGGGTCACTTAAAAAATAAAATCAGGTAACAAAGCTTAAGCTTCGCAAGATTTAATTTACGATTTAAGCGTAATCCAAAACAGTGAGCCACAAGGCACGTAAAGCATACAATAAGAAAAAACAGCAGCTTGGGGGTTGGTACAACTCACTGTCCCTTTCGACTATGAAGGCACATGAACCGGTAGTCGTAAAGCAGGTGTCGCACTTCCTGTAAACAGCTCAAGGCAGTGTGACAGGTTGTAGACTTGAGACGGCTGCCAGATTATGTCACAAACATGCTATCGATGCAGCGCTTTCGATCGACGAGAAGCGATCGAGCCTGGTGATCCCCTGACGGAGTGGAATGACGGCACGTGATTAGGTACCAATTTTAGAGCTCTGTGTTGAGATGGAGATGGCGGGTTCGAATCCCATTGGAGCGAGAAATTACCGTGCGTTTTATCGATTTTCAGACTTCATTTTGAGCTTTCGGGATCAAATCTCACTGGCGGTACGGGATTACCGTGCATGGTGCCGAATTTTTAACTCTGTGGTGCTAAACCCGCTATCTCACCACAGGTAAACAATTTGGGAGTCATGCACGGTTATCCCGTTCAGCCAGTGAGGTTTGAGCCCACAATCTCAAAACTAGTCCGAAAGTCAGTAAAAGGCATGGAATTTTCTCATTCTTGCCACTAGTGAGATTTGAACCTGCGAACTCCATCTTGAAACACAGCTCAAGCCTCAAACATCAGTAAATGTACAATCCTTATTGTACTGTGACTTTGGCCGTAAATGGGCATGTCCCGTGGCTGATATGGTTAATAAATGAAATGAAATGAAATCATTCTGCCCCATACAAGCATCCTGCTCCACCAGGGCCCTTTTTCACCAGTGATAGCAGCAGGCTGCTATTCCATTTTGCAAGCTGACGCCACACTTCTGGTAGTGTTGGAGGAAAAGGCTTGTTAATGTTGACGCCTCCATGGATTATGGAAACCCAATTTGACACGTGTAACAGCAGCATGCTGCTATCACCGGTGAAACAGGGCGCAGGCAAATCCCTCTCATTGATCAAAAACACTGCATTGGTAGTACATCTGACATCATAATCTGGCAGCCATCTCAACGCTTAAGCCCATCACACTGCCTTCAGCTGTTTACAGGGAACTGTGACACCTGCTTTACAGCTACCTACCTACCCATTAACCCAATAGTGATATTGGCTAATACTCTGACCTACCTTTAAAGATGCTGACAGCCAGGCCAATAACAGGTTGACATCAGGTCGAGATGTCTTCTGAGAGTTCTGAATATGTGTTGTTTCACCTGTATTAGGTGGTGAAATATTTTGAAAACCTTCCAGTGCTCAAGAGCAAAAAACTCCAATGCTCTGAAACAAGGCCCCGGAACTGGATCATGTTTTTCATTTCAAACTGCATCTACTATCTGCTCATTGAAATTCACTTGCATAGGTACCAAACAGTAGGTACCTTCTGAACCATGCAACATTGAAATAAAAAAAAAAAAACACAATGCTAAAACTTCATGGTTAGTGACCTTGAAGTTGAACTGCAGTGCTAATAATATATTTCATTTCTCCAACCAAGGAGAGGCGCTAGGAACCAGTTGAAATGTGAATGCCACATTGTGCCATTCCAAAAAGGCAAAAACATCATGACTGCCAGCTGGTTTCATGTGTAGTGGTAAGAACGCCTGCCTCGTAATTCAAATGTAGAGTTCACAGCTGGCTACCCGCATGATTTTTTGCACGTTGAAGGTTTGTAGGTAGTAGGCTAGGTCGGGTTAGGTCTGTTTTGCTTAGAAGGAAGCATCTCCACGTAGCACCTCTCCTCTGTGGAAAAACGAAACACGCATGCTAATAGGAAATTGAAATTGAAATATCCTGACTTCATGTCATTAAATACAACAAATAGGGATGCTTAGGTACATGAATCAATGGTAATGCTCAGATTGGTTGGGTTGGCATGAAAATCATTAAATAATGAAAAAAGAAAAACCATGTCTGTAAATTTACTATGAAATGGTAAATTCAAATTAAAATCTCAATCTTGAAAATGAAACATCGCAGGCCAAACCAAAATGGAAGGTTTGCACAATACAATTTGGTGAACCTGATAACTTTTTCACGATTTCCTATGGTCTGAACCTAGTTCACCATGGTACCGAAATAACATAAACCTATCACGGACACGCTAAAGTGATTTTTTTTTATAACAATCCCACAAATAACAAATACTAAATACTATATACCTATTGTTTGTTTTATAACAAACAATAGGTATATAGGGCCTTGAACAATCCATACGAACCAACTATAAACATGATACGCTTTATACGCGCAGCAGCATTACCAAGAGACACCACTATTCAACTGTCATCCTTTTAGCCATCCTATAATTCAAAAACTCTGTCATTGATCGACACGAAATGGCACGAATTGAATACAAATACGTAATTTAATTATTCGTTTTGAATACAGTGACCTCAGGTAACCTTGATAGCCTTCAATGATCAGCTTAACGTTTGCGCCCATTACCATGGCAGCAATCCTATTATCTCAGCAAGTACTAGGCTGGTCCAGGGCACGGCTGATTGAGGCCAATAGCTTTGATCGAGATTAGAAAGCCACCGGTCAATCTGCCGTATGCAATTCAATCAGCCGTTCCGAATATGGTGATCTCAGGACTACAGGTGACATCATAGGCGTAGGAACGTTTTCAAAAGTGGGGGGGCCAGGGTCCCAGAGGTCCAAAACCTAACCTACCCCCAAAATCCGATTTCTCCTCGGATTTCGGCCACTTTGTTTTCGCAAACATGCTCAGAGGTAAAAAAAAAAATCGAGACAAAAAAAAAGAAAAAAAAAATGGTTTAAATTTCAGGGAGTCTCCCGTCCATAAACTCAAACTGATGGACGCGTTCCCCTGTCTGTAGTGCACCGCCGCACGTTCTCCGACGCGGCGCGGCACTACCGCCGCTGGCGACTGGCGAGCGCTCCGACGCGGGGCGGCGCCACCGTCGACCTCACGTGGCGCTGCTGTCGCAGCTGACGCGAGGCGCAGGTTCAGCGATATCCGCCAGATGGCTCTGCTCCACTTGTTCATTTTCTATGTCCGATTTATGGCCACACGAAACGCCGCGTGACCAGGTCGACGGTGGCGCGCACTCCCGGGTGGGCCAGATCGTGCACGTGCCGGAAGTAGGCGCGCCGGAGCGGTGCCGGGATCCACGGCCGCGGTACACCCTGGGACTCGTCGATGACCAGCGTGCGGCCGCTGGGGAGCCGGGCGTCTCTGAGTTTGAGCCCGTGCTCTGTCGAGCGGAAGCGCGCCAGCTCTTCGTCCTCTTGCTGGCAGGCTGCGAGCTCGTCGAAGTCGTCGACTGGCGGGCACGGTGCTGAGAGCATCGCCACTGTTCGACTCAGAGCGTCCGCAGCTGCGTTTTCTTTCCCAGGCACGTGCCTGATGTCGGTGGTGAACTGGGAGATGAAGTCCAGGTGCCGGATCTCCCTCGGCGAGTAGCTGGCTGACCCGGACGAGACTGCCGACACGAGGGCCTTGTGGTCGGTGAAGATGGCGAACTGGCGGCCTTCCAGAGTGTGCCGGAAGTGCTTGACCGCCAGATACGCCCCGAGCAGTTCGCGGCCGAAGGTGCTGTAGCGTGTCTCTGCTGGTTGGAGTGACTTCGAGAAGAAAGCCAGCGGCGTCCAGGTCCCGTGCGAGTGTTGCTGCAGGACAGCGCCGACGCCGGTGTCAGAGGCATCGACCTGCAGACTCAGCGCTGCGCCGGGAGTGGGGTGCGCGAGCTGCGTGGCCTGAGCCAGGGCAGCCTTCACGCGTTGGAAGGCGTCCTCAGCGGTTGGCGTCCACTCCACCGGCGCCGCGCGTTTGCGTTTCTGGTCCAGCAGGTGGTGAAGCGGTCGGAGGAGGCCGGCAGCACCAGGCAGGAACCGGTGATAGTAGGTCACCAGGCCGATGAACCTGCGCAGTTGGCGTTGCGTGGTCGGCTGCGGAAACTCCTGGACTGCGGCGACCTTCTCCGGCAGCGGGGCGATGCCGTCCGGGGACACATCGTGACCGAGGAAGCTGATACGGTTGACGCCCAGCACGCACTTCTTTGGGTTGATCGTGACGCCGAACTTGTCGAGACGTTCCAGTACCTGACGGAGGTGACGGCGGTGCTGCTCGACGGACGTGCTGGCGATGAGGATGTCGTCGATGTACACGTAGCAGCACGTCAGCCCGCGCATCACCTCGTCCATGAAGCGCTGGAATGTCTGACTGGCGTTGCGAAGACCGAAGCTCATCCGCTGCATCTCGAATAGCCCGAACGGTGTGACGATGGCCGTCTTCGGGATGTCAGCGGGTTCGACCGGGATCTGATGGTACGCGCGGACGAGGTCGATCTTCGAGAAGATGGTACAGCCGTGCAGGTTCGCGGAGAAGTCCTGCAGGAACGGTATGGGATACCGGTCCGGGACGGTGGCGGCGTTCAGGGCGCGGTAGTCGCCGCACGGGCGCCACTGTCCGGGCTCCTTCTTAGGCTCCATGTGGAGGGGCGACGCCCAGCTGCTCTTGGATGGGCGGGCGACCCCGAGGCTGATCAGCTTGTCGAACTCCTGACGGGCGATGCGGAGGCGGTCGGGCGGCAAACGCCGAGGGTGCCCCACACGAGGAGGTCCACGTGTCACGATGTGGTGAGTGACGTTATGGCGCACGGGCAGGAGTTGCGCAGATGTGGCCGTCACTCGAGGGAACTCTCTAAACAAGTCTGCGAGAGTGGGCGCCGCGCACATGCGCACACCGACGGAGCCGATGTCGGCTCGGGTTCCCACGGCGCACGTCGTGCCGTGTTCAGCCTGGAGGAGCTGACGGCGCATGTCCACCAGCAGACTGCAAATTCCAGAGGCATCCAGCAACTTTTTCATTACGAGCAAGCGTGAAACGTGCAAAGCGAGTCTTTTCAATATACCTATAAAAATCAGCATGAACGGCCCAGCTAGGCTCAGCCAGGCCTATAACGTTTTTAAGAGGTTTTATATCAGCGACCACTGCAACTGGGCTGATTGACTATCACTTATCAGAGGCCGGTGTGGGACTTTTAGACGGTCTGGGCCTTCAGAGGCCAGTTTAACCCTCCACGGCCCGGTCCTATAGGTTTTCTACATACGCGCTGGCCGAGGGGGCGGGGGGCGGGTACGACCCCCCTCGCTGTTTCGCCCCAGGTGGAGCTAGCGCGTCGCGGTAAAACGAGCGTGTGCGCCGTTACGAGACGCAGAGATCGATACCCGATTTTATGGTCCTAGGTCAACCGGTGACCTCTGACACCGTTCCGTGCTTCTATCCTCAGGATACTGAAATCCTTCTCCACACCGCCACCCCCCTCCGGGCTGGACAGGCAACTTTATCTCATGCGGGCTGCTCCCTTGGAGCGGCACCGCTGCTCCCGAGGGAGCGCACCCCGTAGCCGAGTGCAGTGAGTGCCTTGGGGCTGGGTGGCCTGTCCTCTGGACGGGCTCAGCCCCGGCGACTCACTAGGGTGCCTGCCCAGTGCCCAGACCAATGTCTCCCCCTATATCCTATCATCCTTCGGCTCTGAAATGGTCTCATTGGACCGAAAGGGCCTAACCCAACAAAACAAACAAAAACCGGTGACCTCTGAGGTCAGGTCAAGTGCCTCAAGGCACGGTTCCGTTTTTGGTGAATAACTTCGCAAAAAATGGCCGCAGAGCCGCGATTTTGCCAGCATCGTGTTCGCCTCTCTCAGGCGCGTCGAATGATATGCTTTTTGTTTGGGTGAGGTAAACTTAGGGTGTTCACCTCGGGTCACGGTCAGGTCGGCGTCCCCAGGTCACGAAATTGGTCGAAGGAGGTCATGTCGCATATCATTCGATTCGGCAGGTCTTCTTGAGTCCATAGGTGGCTTTCCCGACTCGCTAGCTCAATTTGATCGGTACCTAGTTATTGACGAAAAACTAATAAGACCCTTATAACTAGCTGGATAAGCATTTCAAACATTCGAGTTTATTGTTCATTGAATGAGGCAACTCTCTGCAATAAACGAACAGACCATTATGTTGAGTGCACAGTAGGTACATACGGTCATGCTCAGGTATGCCCCCACGGAAACGAGTGGATGCGAAACGCAGGCACGAGATCTTGTTGCGGAAGCTAAAAATGAAAATGAACGTGGTAACTTCCCCAGTAAGCAACATGATGGTCAAAAGAGACATGGCATAATCCGCATTACAGGAAGGTCTGGAACGCATGTGAAAGAAACACTGGATGACTCGTAAAGCACACGCAGTTACGACGAACACACGAGTGCGCACATGACTCGTAAAACACACGCAGTGACGACGAACACACGAGTGCGCACACCGGGCGCTTGTCGGGTACATGTTGTGCATCACTGGGCGCTAGTAGTCGGTAAGCAGCACATAGGTGGCGCAGAGATACTACAGATCGAGAACATCACGTGCGAACCGTCGGCGACCCCGAGAGGACGGTGGCAGCTCCCGGTCTGAGCGAGGGGTGGTTAGGGAACGCGAGCACGGGTGACAGTGATTCGGGAGACACACCGGTATAGCAGTAGGCTGTCGGTCAGGGGAGTGCGTCCCTGATTCAAGGGCCACAGCTGGAGGGGTCGCCGAGGGCGATGAGGCGGCGTTTGCAGGATCTGGCTCTGGACTGGGGCCCTGCGCGGGGGGCGGAAGTGACTCAGCCTCGTCGGTCTGGGACGGTGGTGTGCCAGTCAGCGAAGACTGAGCAGTGCCAGGTCGCAGCTGTGGGTGGTGCAGACCGTGATCGGCGGGGTGGGGCCTGGGCGCGGGAAGAGGGACAGTAGGTGTCGTGTGCGCGAGGGGTACAAACGAGCGCAAGAACTTCCGATTGCGTAGGGTCATCCGTCGTGATCCGTCGAGCATGATCTGGTATTGCCGAAACGGCAATGCGGCCACCACCACTCCACGGCGGTCCCAGTTTCGAGGGTGGTTGCCCGACTGATTTTGAACCAGCACATGCTGGCCAGCTTTTAGTGGAGGCAGGTCCTTAGTGTGTGCTTGCAGACGCTCATGGTCACGAGAGGTGCGCTTGGCTAGTGCTTTCTCCCTCCAGCATGCGACATCTTGCCACGTCTGGCTGAGATCCTTGTGGTTACGTAGGGGGGGCTGCAGCGGTAGCCCTGGGAGGAAGTCCCGCAACTGTCTCCCGAGGACTAGCTCAGCTGGGGACAAGCCGGTGTCTCTGTCAGGGGTGTTGCGGTGCTGCAAGAGTGCGCGAGTGAGTTTCACAGAGTCGAGGGACCCATCAGCAGTGACGTTGTCCCGTATGAGGCGTTTGGCCGTTTTCACAGCGACCTCAGCACGGCAGTTCGCGTGAGGAAAAGCGACCGATGTGAGGCGGTGGTGGATCCCGTGCTGAACGAGGAAATCCTTTACCTCTTGGGCCATGAACTGAGGCCCACCATCACTTGTGAGTGTTTCGGGGACCCCCAGACCGCGGCAGAGTTCCATGAGGACGTCTTTTAGGCTGATGCCGCGCCAGATCTGAAACCAATTGCTGAATCGGTCAACAACGACCCCGTATGTGTTCCCCATGTACGTGAAGTAATCGGCAGCCACGTGTTG